GCGTTAAGCATAAGGGAAATAGCCGAAGTATTTAGCAAACTCCGCGCACCGGTTACGCTAATCCTGTAAGGGGAGATCACTGCGTAAGATTGGTAATTTAGGGGAATTCCCAAATAATTTCCACTTTTTGACAGCGAATGGGAAAGTACACTTTTTACGTTGGATGTGTAATGCAAAAGTTTAAAGATATTTTCAAGAAATTTTGGTAAGTATCCTAAGAATTATAGATTTAGGAATCCTACAAGAAACTAAAAAAGTTCTGCTACTGTATTTATCAAACGCTAAAATGTTATTTCATGTTACTGTACTGTAATAATCTGTATTATTATTGGCTTAGGAGTATGAGGAAGTAAAATGTCATACTGATCATATCCTGTGGAATTCCCGACAAAAAACTTACAATAAATTGAAAACTGTACGAATAAGTTTCATTTTGTTTGCTATTCTTAGAAAACAATTTGTAAAAAATAAATAATGAAATAACAGCAATATTTTGTCCCCCAACTAAGTATTAAACCTTTTTGATTTGTTTTCTGTTTCAGTATAAAGTTAATAGCATTTATTGGTATAGCATTATATACTTTAAGAGGATAGAATCTTAATACATAGAAGGTAATTAGAATCTAATGAAATAATAATTATACTGTAACAATTATCATCAAATTTTTAACATAGTTTTTGTTATTGTTTTTCACAATATTTATATGTCCTAGACAAACTGATATTCCTTTCACTTTATGGTGGGCTTGTTAAAAAAATTAGACATACAGGCTTGTAGTTTATCGGTCAAGAAGTAAAATTATTACAAAGCAACATCATATTTAAATGTAATTATACTCAACATCACTAATTCCGCGTCATCACTTATCTCACGGTAATGGCATATTTTCACGTGACCAGTGTTAAAATTGGTCAGAATTGACATATTTTATTCAAACATCTTAACAACAAAGTTTTTGTGCAAAATAATCTAAATCTATAGATTTTTATGTAAAACTGAACAACATTTTACAAACTTCTGTAAAAAACAACAATTGTCCATTAAATTTGTGCATACGTCTGAAACAATCATCATTTTCTAAATGTTCTTGTTTGTTGAAAAAATAAATTTTGAGTTACAATGTAAAGATACTTTTAATATTTTAAATTATTGAAAATAACGTAAAGAAATTTTAACTGAAACATGAAAAAACTGAAATAAAACACCATTACCGCGAGTTTAATGATGACATACTGTTTTCAAACTGGCCGACACACGGTCTACATCTGACAAATTAAAACTAATTTTGATTGGATATATTGTTGTTTCCTTGTGCCATATAGCAGAAAAATGACTAAATGATACAGTTTATGACAGTTTTTGTAGTGTAAGTTTATTGTTTGTGTTCTTTACTGTTTTAAAGTGTTAAGTACCGTGAACTAAGAGGAGCACAGTATATGTTAAAAAAATTAGACATAGAAGCTTGCAGTTTATTGGTCAAGAAGTAAAAATATTACAAAGCAACATCATTTTTAAAGGAATAAATGAAAGGCTAGAGATTTATATATGTAACCTTGTACAGAATTACAACTCTGTCCTAGTCCAACTAATTGTACTACTTGACAAGATATTGTGCTATTTTGTGTTTGGGCAATATCTTGCACTTCTGCTGACACCCCACTTTTTTACATACTTGTTTCTTAAAATTAGGAATAACACCTAGTAAATGAAACTTAATAATTTCTTGGGTCAGCAAAACTGGTTTCTATCCTACTTTTTGCCTCAGTCACAAATGACAAGGACCATGGGGTGACTGACCGATCCATTTATAAATCACACAGACGCCGTCTGGACATCGGGCGGAGACCATCCTGTCATTGAATGCTTTTTGTAACATCATATGGCAAAAAATCGTCTGGTGACAGTTTCATTCATGACCACACAAGGTATCAGATTTAAAATCGCCCGACGTTCACAAAATCGTGAAAGCCACCCATGTTGTAAAAATCTTTAAATCGGGCGGTGGCCGTTTTATTTGTGACCTGGGCATTACATAAAATGTATTTTGTGTTGGCTTGAAATTTGGTAGAAATTATTATTATTTAATGTAGCATTTCAACGATTTAATCCTAACAAAATGTATAGATTAAAGCAAATGTTCTGACTTTGATTATATCAAAGCTTAGTATTGGTTGAAGAGCTTTTACTCATTATTTTGTAGATGTTGATTATCCATGCAGAGTGTGGTATTTAAATTACTCGATGACTTTAGTCAAATGTTGAACAATATTGCCTTACTAAGAAACATATTTGTTTTAAATTACTCCATCAGTCTGTTTGTACATAATTTTGTATTATGTAGGCTTGGGGTCAAATACATTGAGTTTTTTTTTATGACCTCTGTTGATTTTGAGGTCATTAGGTCAAAGATTAAAGTCAAAATGACACTTTATTATATCCTGGTCAGATCAGTAACTTTACAAATTAGAAATAATCAGTTAACCAGTCGGTTTGCTAAACTTAAGAAGAATGTTTCCAAATGGCCAACATATGACCCTTATGTCCTCGTCACTATGTGTTATCAATAACTACTTACTTGTAAGAATACTATTAATATTATATGAATTGATATAACAATTAATGATGTTACCTTGAAAAATGCAAACTGGTAAGTATGCAAAATGCCATTATGACAGGCAAAATCAATAAAGTAAAGTTAAAGTTTGAACTGGATCTTCATGAAACTTAGTCAGAGTATAATGGTGGAAAAGTCAGAATGTTTGTTTTGATTGTATCAAATATTTATTGTCTGAAATGAAAAAAAAGGGTAGACGACATATGCCACACAGACTTAAGGAAAATCTGGATCTCCTTTTCAACATATATTATTGGCTAAAGTGAAGTGACCAATAAAATGACCCATATGGGTCACTCATTTGATGAAAGTTAAGTTCTCACATCAGTGACATCATAACACTTTTGGAGAAGGTTTTTTGTACCAACTTACTTTTCCGGTGTTGCTTTAAAATAATAGTTATTTTTCCACAGCTGTCATAGGATTACTAACTCAGTCATGGATTTTGACAAGATTAGGACACTTTTTCAACCAGATATGTAATTCATTCATTTTTGGCTGTTGATAAATATGCTTGTCTTGAAAATGTGGGATTTATCATTTCATTATCTTGACCTTAGATAATGATATGATATTATTATCTGTTGTCATATGAGTAAAAATTATTCAGTGTTTTCTATTTATAACATATTGTTGATAACCATTGTACATATATTGTATATATATACTTAACAATAATGAATGCATTTCATATAAAGCAAGATCTACTGTTATATATGGACAAACATGTAAATGTATGTTTAGTGAAACATTGAAATTAATTATCAGATTTTCTTTTTAACTTTTGAAAAATTGATGAAAATGCAATTCATATATTGTTTTTCATTGTTATATTCAAACTTTTTATACCAAAAGAGGGTGCTGAATGCAACCATTTAATAAACTATTTGGTTCCCTACAATGTATAAAGTTTATCTAAAATACCTGTCAAATAGCTTCAAGGGTTATGGTAAAAATAAAAATAAGAAATTATTTAATAACTGATTTAAAGACTTTTATTTAACAAAACCAAATGTTTACCCCCACCCCCCACAAGTTTTTATGAGTTAAATGTCTACTTGTTAAATGTCTACTTTATTACAATATTTTTTTGATTGCAGGAATTACATTTTTGTTAAGCTGTATGCTTATTTTGCTAGAATTCATTGTTTATTGCAGAGTTACTAGTGCATCTATAGAAATGGAGAGACAGGATGAGACCAGTTTTTGTGAGAGGTTTCAAGATGCATGTCCTGAGAAAGTTTCCCAGCTGAGACATTCAATACGACAAGATGTCAAACAGACAGATGGAGAAATCGTCAATCTAAAGTATGAAATATTAAGATATTTTGACTCATTTTAAAGTTTATTATTTTCCTTTTGTGAATTGTAGTTTTATGTGTAGGTATTTTGATTATTTTATGTGATTTTCTATTTTCTGCATACTAGCGTATGGTAGCTATAAGAAAATTGGGAAAAGTTAACAAATAAATTAACATATAACTTTTATGGTCATATAAGGGACTTTTTGTCAAAAGTAATAATGCCTAAAAATGTGAGCTGGAATGAAAATATATGTAGCTACCCTTCGCAAGTTTTTAGCATTGGTAAAAGTCCTCTATACAGTTTTTATTAAAAGAAATGTGAAATAAAAAAATTAATTTATCTACAATGTTTAAAAGGATGGTGATACTGCATAAATGTGTTTTTGTTTTGCTACATAGAACATACAACAGATTCCTGACTGCATTTATACAAATGATAAAATTGCCAGTGGAGTTTGTACACATGTTTAAAGATAAATATGTTGACATTGATATGCAAGATGATCTTGAGAGAACGGAAATCATCAATTGGTGTAGGACAACAAAACCTGTGCTGGCTTTACGGACTACAGGTTTGTTTCTGAATGTTTTTAGCAGTTTTCCATTACAAATTGTGATAAAGTTTAGCTTTGCCTTGAAATTTATATTGTTCATTGATGCATATAAAAGGTACCAAGCTTTTTAGGACTGTAATTGGTGGTAAATATGTTTGTTTCTTGAGTAGAAGCATCAAAAGTGATCTTGATTGCAAGATTGGTGTAATTTTCTGATCAAACTAGCAGTACAAATGTATATCATTACTAAACCTTCTTAAAATAGCAATTGCAAATTTTTTAAGGGAATATTTTATTTTGTTTTTGGTATATATTTATTGTATATTAAGTTATAGAGATTTTTCTATGAAACTCTTTATTCAGAAACATTATATAACTAGATGTACAAGAATATGAAAACATTATGGAAATTTTTATTTATAGATATTTTGCCAATTATAATTTCCCACAACTTAGGTATTTCCTAAAGAAAATGCTAAAATCAAAGTTCAGAATTTGATTAATTTGCATGCATCAACTAGTTCCCAAATAATTGTTTGCTTTGGTTTGATTAAAAACTGAAATATGGAATAAGAAATGAAATTCTCCTTTTTAGAATTTTTCTTCATACTATGCCATTATTGAAAATGAAAGATACATGACATGGAAGTGAAATATAGAGTTAAATAACAAAATCTATTTTTTTTAAATTTAATTTTTTCATAATTTGAAATATTCACTTAAATTATTTAATAATATGAAAAACATGTTTTGATATTTTGCCATATTTTTGCATACACAGCTGACGGGAATTGCTTATTACACGCAATTTCTCAAGGACTCTGGGGCATAGAAGATACAGAGTTATTCCTTAGAAGACTGTTATATGTGAACTTGGCTACAGATACAAAAGGTTCTCTGAGAAGAAGGTGGATGTTTCACCACAAAAACTCGTCAGATTTAAACAGAGTAGATGTTAGACTCAATACTGTTGTGAGTTTTGGAATTACTTTAAACTTTAGATATTTCTTTCATGCTTGTCCAACAACATTTTGTATGACAATGTTATAACTCATTCACCTATATATCAAAATTATTCCCAAGGCCCCTTTTTGAAGATAGAAATGCTTTCTTTTTTTTAAGGATTTTCTTTAAACTAATTGTACCTTGTCACTTAAATTACTCTAGAGTCACATAATGACAAGGTTCATAACTTGTGACAGCAATGCTTCAAAACATTCATGAAAAAACAACAATTAATATTTATTTTCTTTACATAAGTTAGATACATGTAATATGATGAATATGCTATATTTGGAAATTGATTTATTTGTGATACTTTAAACTAAAGCAATTTATTCACAGTAATGGAATTATTTCATTGGTTTTTCCATCTTCATTTAGGAAGTATTGAAATAGTTGAGTGATGGTTGATGTTTATTTTACAAAGATCACATTATGGGTGGGTTTGAGCAGGAGATGTTATTCATTATTAAAATAAATAGAGAATATTTGTCTTTAGAGTAAATATAAAATATCACATAAATGTAAACAAATTTGTAATTAGAGTACAGTTTTAATCTACTTGTACAGAGACGATTTCTACTTCCTGTTTATTATCGTATTATGGTATTTGAAACCAAGAAGATATTATAAGAGATTTAAAACTGATATATTATACAAATACTTGGGTAGTTTTTGGGAAGTGTTTACCACAAACTGTTAAATTTAAGCACAGGGAAGTCTGTTGACATTTGCAATTAAACTTCACAAACATTTTATAAATGCTTTCCCTTAAAAAGTTAAAAAATACTTGATTTGTTTTAATTAGTAAAGGGAATTTATATCAGGGAAGTTCTATTGCCTTTTTCCTTTTTACAGTGATTGCCAAAGGAACTTTAAATATACTTAAGTGGTATTATAGCATTAAATATAAGTTACATGTCATAATTCTTTAATGAAATAGCAACTGGAATTGAAAATAAGTTACTTGAGTTTTTCAGTAAGAAAAATGGTATTTTTTTTGTACAAACTCTTAATTAGGATTTAAGTTTCATGCATCATTTATAAAATGTTGTCAGTCTTTTCTTTGAGGAATAGCTAAATAATGATGTAAATGTAGCTACATGTGCAATTTTCTTGTCACTGAGAGTTTTGTTGAATTGTTACAACTATACAGAGGTTTTATATTTTCACATATTAATTCTAAAAAGCTTGTATGATGAAATTTTGGATGAAAAGTAAAGGTTATTAAAATCTTTTCTGTTATGCCAGGAATGCAGTGAAGAGTGGGATTCTGTCATCAAGGCAACAGACGATCTTGGTCAGGAACAAAATCATGGATTACCATATACATCACTTGAATCTATCCATCTGTATGTGCTAGCAAACATATTGCGCAGACCTATCATAGTGCTTGCTGATACAATGGCTAGAACTGTGTATGGGGAAACAATTCAAGACAGTCAGATTAACGGTATTTACCTCCCCTTAGAGTGGCCAGCTGAACAATGTGATAAAAACCCTTTAATTTTAGGATACAACATGAACCATTTTGCTCCTTTGCTTTTCGAAGATGAGGTCGCTCAAAATCAGGGTGATGCTGCAATAAGGGCCATACCATTAGTGACAAAGGATATGGACTCAATACCTGCAAGGTATTTGATGCCCAATGAAGAAGCAAACTATATTAATATTTTACGGGACTATGTTAACACAACTGAAGTTTTTCACGGAATCACAAGTATACCTGCTGCTAAAGTGAATCTTGTTCCACTAAATCATACTGTAAATGTAGTAGATGCTTGTCGAAAAGATTGCGAGAAGAAATTTAGACGTTTATTGGGCCCAGAATCTCAGCAGGCTGCTGTGCCCCCATTTAATTTTCAAACAGAACTCAGAGAACCTAAGTCTCCACGAAGAGAGTTCGCTGAGCATCAAAATAAAAAACGTAAAGAGTGTGCAACAATAGGCTGTAAGCATTTCGCTAATCCAGAGACACAGAATCTCTGCTCAAAATGTTTTAATGATTTCACCATACAATATGCTAGGCAGGAAGAGGTTGCACGTAAGATGACTGCTGAGCAACAAAACAGACTGTCAAGGAAAGCCCCAATTCGTCAGACACAGGTACCAGGTCCCGTGCCAGTAAGACAGGGCTCTAGGCCGGAGGATTTTCATGATTTGTCAATGATGGGAGAAGATTGCCATGCAGGCTGCGGGTTTAAATGTTCTACAGAGACATATCCATACTGCCATGAATGTCACCCAAAGTTTGTTGGTACAGCAACAGCAACTCATAAGCCTCAACATACTGTACCACCAAAACAACCTATGCAACAGGATTTTTCGATCATGCCAGAAGACTGTCATAACCCATCATGTTCATACAGATGCTCTAAAGCCACATATCCCTACTGTCACAACTGTTATCCTATCTTTATTGGATCTGCACATGCCTCACCAAGCGCACCTCCTCCTTCCTTTCATGAAACAACAGGTGTAAACCCTACTCAAGAGCAGGTACAAGATGTACAAATGGGAATTCAGTCAAGTGATGAAACTGCAGTTGTATCTGGAAATAGAATGCCTCTGGTTGGTAATAAGAAACCTGTTCATATTCCAGTCACACCGTATGTTGGGTTAGAAAGGCAAACTGAACCAATGGATGTCCAGAGTGGGTCTGGTGCACTTGATAAAAAATGTGTAACAGTTAATTGTAATGAAAATGCTGTAAGGGGTAACAATGGTTATTGCGAAACCTGCTACCAAGTAACCATGTTTGGAGCTGGGACTTCTCCAGCAGTAACTTGTTGTAAAACGCCTGGTTGTAATGAAAACATAACAGTACCTGAGGCAACACAATGTGTTTCATGTTTTCTGAAAGGAGACAGTAGTAGATGCAAGTCACTTACTGGTTCTGGCACACAGGCTGTTGGAATGAATATTGCTCCAACTTTAGAGGAGAAGATTTTAAATGAAAGACCTGGAGAGAAGAATCATGTATTTTCGTTATCTGGTGCATCAATGCGATCAGTGCCCATGGAGCATGATGAAACTGCTGCTCATGTTATAGCTCCAGTCATAACGAAGCTTCAGGCAGAACAAGAGGAGAAATATCAAGTAGAACAACCAAGAAAATATATTTGTGCAGCAGCCGGCTGTGATGGTATACGTATAGACAATGAACAGGGACTCTGCTATACATGTATGAAAAACTACCCTGGTGGTGAAACAGCTGAAACTCAGCCGCCATCTGGTAGTAATCTTAATGAATCTCAGGCCTACCCCTCTTGTAGTCCTATCGCTCCAACAAAAGAAGAGATGAAAAAGTTGAATCCAGTGGTTGTTAGTTCAAGAGATAAAATAAAATGTGCATCGCCTTCTTGTAGCACGTTGATTTACCCGCCCAAAAAACTATGTGATGAGTGTAGTGCTGTTCTGCAACGATTTCAGGCTAAAAAGACCAAGGAAGATAACAGAAAATCAGGTATGACAAACAATATTTCATCTCATTTTGCGCCATTGGCGAGTGACAGGGAAAACCCCTGATTGTATTAGCTTAAAAGATAATAAGTAATGTAGTATACTTGTGATGATGTTTGAAATCTTTTTAAGATTATTTAAATCATATTGCTGAATGATATTAAACTATTTTATACTTATTGTTAAGATTGAATAAACTTAAAATTAAATTAATTTGAGATTCCTTATCGTTAAGACTGTAAAGAGTTTATATCTGATTAACCAAGTTAGTAAACCGCAAAACATGTTTATCATTAGCCTGATAGAAAGTATTGGATAGAATTATGTATTTTGTGATTATACTAAAATGTTTATCAAACTGAATGGTTTTAGTTTATTTTATACACATGTAAATGTTATCAAATTTTCAGTTGGAGGAGCAGGTACACAATGTCAAACATTAGGTTGTACTTTCTTTGGGTCACCAGAATCTAATGGATTTTGTTCTTCATGCTTTAAAGCACAAGGTATAGTCTTTGGCCTCGAGTTTATAATCTTCTAATAATCGACATATAAATGTGTGATTTCAACTATCTGACACAAAACTTTATTTCTGCCATACCTTGATGATGCCAGTAAACATTACTATTCTGAAACTGTTTTAAAAATATTTACTATGTTAATATAGTTGGGTGGTTAACAAATCAGACTTGTAATCGAAGAATTGCAAGCTGTGTGTCGGGGGCAAGCCATTGTTTATGTTATGATAAAGATTTAAAAGTTTGCGATGTAGCACTATATACATGTGTATTGGGTTGAAATGTGAACTTCATTTGTCAACAAATAAATAAGTTATAGTAATAGTGACTCCCCAAACTTACCTCAAATATAAGATAGTAAATAAAACATATTAGTACAGATTTTTGCTTCAATGAAACTGAAGTGAAAAAAGCGTCTAATAAAACATACGTAGCTAGGACTGCCAACAGGTACCTAGACAATATTGACAGTTTCTTAATGCATTTAATTACAGCAAATCTTTTAAGTATATTATTCCACTAATTAAATGAAATAAATGTTATGTACATTAAAAAAATTAATTTCAGTACCAGCACGGCATACAGCACCCTTGATCAGTAAATCACGTGCGTCTACAAACACAGCACCAATAATTCCTGTAGGTCAACAAGTGCAGTCAAGACAGACAGTACCCCTTGTAGCACGTAAAGCTAAACTCTGTATAGAGAAAGACTGCACGAGATACGGGGACCCTAGCCAACTTGATAGATGTTCTTATCACTATGAACAAGCCACTACACAATATGTCCCGCTGTCTCCAGCATCGTTAGAACAACAGCGACAGATTCTGGTTGGTCAACATCAACAACAGGTTCGGCTACCTATTCAAAGCAGGATTACTTACGCAAATCCGTCTGAAACTGGTAGAGATAAAAGAAATCATAGACCAGAAGTGGTTCCAGCTGAACTTCATGGTGGAGCTACAGTTAATGAGCATGCTATAAATGGAGATGACCAGTTTGGAATTTCCTACAATAGATTGATTGATAGTAAGAAAATTAAGTCGTATTGTAAAAATAATAATAAAACTGGCTGTACAAATTATGGAAATTCAGCCAAGGGTGGGTTATGTAATACCTGTTATTCTAGACAACAGGGTATGTCTGCTAGATAATTAGTATTGCTAACCAGTCTGTAAATTTGAATTAATGATAATTTATATAATTGATTATTTCAGTGTATCAAGGACAGTTGATATAATAATAAAACTATGACATTTATATATATAAGAAAATAACACTTATAGAAAAGTGAAATTGATGTTTATAGGTACAATGTATTAATATCCAGATTTTGTGTTTTTTGTTTGTTATCAGGCTATGTACATACCTTGAAATAATTGCACCTTATTCTAAGTACTTTATAAACTCACTAATTTTACAAAGTTCTTTAACATGAAACTAATGTAATGAATTCTTTATTAATAGGTTTTTGTGTAAATAAAGATCACTTTGCAGTTGCAACATTGTTAGGGATGTTGCCTCCATTGTATGCTGAAACAAAATATGAATAATCTTTTTTTGTTTTGTTTTTGGTTTTTTTGTTTTTTTTGGTTGTTTTGTTTTGTTGTTGTTTTTGTTTGTTTTGTTATTTTTATGGTGGAGGGAGGGGGGGGGATCAAATTTAAATGGGAAATTTTCATTTGTGTTTCAGCTTGAGCATACATAAATGTCTTCTTTAGTATTATATTATGTTAATGAGGTAACATTTTAGTTTAATTGTTTAACATTAAAGGTACAGTGTCACATGTTAAGATTATCTGCTATTTATCAAGGATTCAAATAAAGAGATTTTTTATTTGTATGAAAAGAATCATTTGTTTATAGCTAGGACTTGTTAGAAGACAATTTTTCTGGTCATTGTTTTAGCTGTTCAATGCAAACTCAAGTTGAATACATAACATTTAAAGACCGTAATTTAGTAATCAATGCTGTAATGTAATACAATCAAAATACATGTGTAGTACAGACCGGTTTATGTTATGTATATTATTAGATGTTGTAACTTGTGTGTCTATATACTTATCTACAAGTGAAATATGATCTGTTATGTTAAAATGTTATTATTTTTCATTTGATTATGGCTAATAAAGTACCCAGCAGTTATATTGACATAAAATCTATTACAATTGTTCTCGATAGTGGATGTCATGATTTTGTAAATAAATTCCTTAACCTTTTACCCCATGAGCATACATGTATTGTGAAAAATGGCCGTTTTCATTGAAAAGGTTCCTGTTACAAGTTCAAACTGCTATGAAACTATGAAAAATGCTTCAATACTGATGAACTTTGGCACAAATGTTGACTGGACCATATGCTCTGTAACAGCATGCTCAGTCGTAGATATCCTGTTGCCATGGCATTAGGGGGACATCTCAAAATTTCGAAAAATCACTATTTTGCATTGTTTTTTTCCATCAAAACTCATTTGAAAGTGCTGCAACATCTCAATGAATTGAGATAGAGTAAAAGGTCTATTTTTGGCCTGTCACATGTCCAAAATTTTCTTGACGATGAGGGGGACTACCGCCCCCCTTCAAACCCCCCAAAACAGAAGGGGGCACATCCCTCTTCTGGCAACCCCTGACGTACCATTTTTTCACTGTTTGAGGCTCAAGGGGGGGGGCAAAAAGCCGTCAAAACATGTCTATATAAAGGAAAAGGTTAAATATTTTATGTAAGATATGAAAACTTATATATGTAGGCTTTTTCTTGTAAAGTTTGTAGTAAGTGTCCTATTAAGTTGAAGTCTGTGATATATATATATAATATTAATAATGATAAATATACATGTATGTACATACTGGTAGTTGATGGTGTTAAGTTTGTGAAAATTTAAAGTTTGATTGCCTCTTGATTTTAGTTCAGATGTGAAATACTGTCTACTTTTCAAAGGACACTTTAATTTTGCTTTTGTGGTTATATTTGATTAGATACAGCTTAGATGCTGTGAAAAAAAATCACATTGAACCTGATGTTTATACATTTAACTTGATTCTTTTACAACAAATTCAAGGTTTGACTTGTTCCTTTTTCTAGGTCAATTTAATATTATTTTTGTAATTTCAATATTTGAAAGTTTTGTTTGTTTGTTTGGTTTTTTTTAATATGCAGAATGTCATACATAGTTTAATTCTTTTGTCCATAAAATTTTGAGTGTGCTTGTCATAAATGCCTTTTATATATATATATTTTTTTTTTTTTTTGCTTTATTAAGAATTGTTTACACATGTATGCCATATTTTAGTCACACAATATTTTACGAATGAAGAATTTTCATGAAACTTTGGTAAAATGTTTGTCTCCCTGAAACAGTGTACATTATTTTCAACTTGGTTTCACATGCCAAGGTCACAGCTCAAGGCCAAAGGTTAACATCAGCATTTTGTGTCAGATCTCTATCTTTTGAACCCCTTGAAAAATATTCGTAATATTTTGGTCAGCTAAAGGTAAAAGGTTTGAACAAGTAATTTGATAACCTATTATCCTCACTGAATCTTTTGAAGAATATTAATGTCACTTTGGTCAAATGGAAATATAAACAAGGTTGAAAATCCACATGTAAGACATGCCAGTTCAAGGTCAAATGTTTAAACCAGCAAAACAGTAAATCATTCCAAAGGATTTTGAAGACGCTTGCATGTTAATCTTTTTAAAACCTCCTTCACCCCTTTGCTTGATAGATATTGATATTATATAAGAAATCTGACAAAACTACATGCAGAAACTATATTGTTTAGATTCCATGCTTCGAGGTCAAGGTCACAGATACCAGCACATTGGGCCATCTTGTTTGATCCGTGTTTTACATTGATTATAATGTAAACTGCTAGACTAAATGTGTTTTAATCAGATATAATTTCCTTTTAATTTTATTTTATTAATATGTATATTCTACAAGCAGTGAGTTGATATGTTAATAATGGTATTGCATTAACTCATTCAACCCTGTACACTGTCTACCACTTAATCCTTTTCACATTATAACAATCTTATTTGATTTGTTGAAGGCAAAGAACAAGATGAACAACTTCCACAATCTTATATTGAACATAATACATGTATATATAACATTAACTGCTATTAGAAAAGGTGTATGTATATAGGTGTTGCAGGTACAAAAACATCAAGATGGGTGTATACTTTTTTTTTACATAATATAAATACATATATTTCTGTTTTCACTGACTTTGTATGTAAATATTTTAAAAGTATAGTTAGTATGATGATAAACATTCCTCTGGTCATGTCAAACATTAACGTTAATTTGAGTCTGGCTGTGGATTAAACTATGATACCTTGTCATGTATTTTGTGATTATTTATGTAATATGATAAAAATTACCATTCATTGTGAAGAAAGAGACATAAATAAAAAGAACTTTTTATTTATTTGAGTTTACTTGTACAGTTTAGTGTTGTATAATCCAAACCTTTTATGCTCCCTGAAATATTTCTTTATACAATTAGTTGCTGCTTTGATTGTCCATTCATTATGCTGCCTCCAATGGCATTATCATAGCCATGGCAACAAAAAGGGAGAATTGAAAATCTTTTTAGCTCACATGACCACAAAGTGAGGTATAGTGATAGGGCTTTGTCTGGCATCCGTTGTCATGCATCGTCAACAATTGGGTTGTTAACACTTTAGCAGTCACAGTTTTGATTGGATCATCATCAAACTTTGTCAGAATGTTTGTCTCAATGAAATACAAGTCAAGTCCGAAGATGGGTCATCTCGAGTCAAAAACTAGGTCACAGGAGCTAAAAATAGAAAAAGCTTGTTAACACTAGTGGCTGCAGTTTTAATCCAAATTTCCTGGAAATCAGTCAGAAAGGTTGTTTTGATGATTTCTAGGTCAAGTTCGAATATAATTCATCTCCAGTCAAAAACTAGGTCACAGGAGCTAAAAATAGAAAAATCTTGTTAACACTAGTGGCTGCAGTTTTGATCCAAATATTCTGGAAATTTGTCAGAAAGGTTGTTTTGATGATTTCTAGTGAGTGTCTACCAAGTTTGTTCAAATAAAGACCTGGGGTCAAAATTGGCCCCTCCTTTGCGGGTGGACATTGTTTTTCCATATATGTATAAAGTAAAAACTTAAAAAAATCTTATAAAAACCCCAAAGATCAATAGCTTAGATATTTATCATGAAACATCTTCTAATGGGTGTCTACCAAGTTTGTTCAAATTAAAGCCCCTGGTTTAAAATTGGCCTTGGCCCAGGGGCCTATATACATGTGAGCGATTTCAGGGCCATCATGGCCCTCTTGTTTACTCAATTGTCATCAAACTTGGTCAGGATGCCTGTCACGCGGTTGTGGTTGATGGGTCAGGGGAGCAATCTTAGGCCATCATGGCCCTCTTGCTTGAAAAAAAGTGAATGCCTATCGCTTAGATATAAGTGTTGGTGTCATCTATTCAAATATCTGATGCAACCTCTCCACCACCATTTTTACCACTGATTAAAAATAATGTCTTTGTCCCTGTCAATACCCTTGTTGTGACAGGAAAAAATATGTATATGTACCAAAATTCTGGAACATGCCTAGATGATGAAGACTTTTTTTTTATTAATTTAATTGAAGCGGCATGTTTTCAAGTAAATAATTCTACTAATTATGTATATGTTTGCAATGAAATAAACTAATAGAAATGACTGAAACAGATACAAAACAAGAGCTGTCCATAAGACAGCACTCGAAAGTATACTAGTGTGTGAGGGTTAGGAAAGGACATACCTGTAAAAAAAGTCACTCAGAGTTATGTGACCTGTGCACATCATGTTATATAATCACAGAACAAGTATGTGAAGTTTCAGTAGTTATGGAGTTGACTAATCAAAGAATAGATTGTATGCTTTAGGCCAGTGGCAGTACAATAGCTCTTTATTCTTTGATTAGTCAAGCCAATAATTTAAGTTAATGAACTGAGACAAACTACAGGGATAAATAGAAACGAAAAATCAGGGCTTTCATTAGCATTTTGAGACTTGGGCCAGGGTCCATAAAGGTGGGGGGGGGGGATTTCGCATGATTTTTAAATATTTTTCATTCAACAGAAGAAAATTATTTCATTAAAAACAAGCAAAAACAAGATTCAGTTAACAAATTTATCAACAATAAGCTGCTTTCATGAAATATTTCAGTTATTTCCAATGAAACTGAATGCATCTTTGATACTTTGTATTAAAATTCAACTTAAAAACAATCACTGATCTATGCAGTTGAATATTATTTTCTAGGGGGAATTTTTTTCAGTTTAAGGGGAAAAAAACACACTATTTTAATGGGTGAATGGGGCCCATATTCGCCCCGAAATTTTACCAAATGAGCGCTCTGAACATATTTGTAATGTAATGATTTCTCTTTACTTTAGTTTGTTTGATATGAACAAGTTCATTTTGTAAGTCTGTAGTGTTTAATAATTAATGAAAATTATGTCTGTAACAAGTACAATTAATTTTTTTAACATTTTTGTACTATCATTAATTAAGTGATTTTTAACAACAAATTGAATAAATCATATTTTGAAAAATAAGTCTTGTGAAAGGACAAAAGGTATCACTAAGGCATTAAGTTTCAGATGAACAATCCTGAAATTGTGAGCAACTCTCACAATAGAATAGCTCATTTAAACTCCCTTCAACTCTGTCCTATGTTGAACATAGCTTGATAGAAAAAAAAGAACCTGGATACTACATGTAGTAGTTTACAAATTTTCTTACTTTACTTTAAAGTATTTGGCATTCATGTCCCAGTGGTTAAGGTTGCCCAATTCAAACCACTTGCCCCTCACTGCTATGGTTGTAAATCCCTTCAGTGACTTTGTATTCTGTCACATGAGGAACCTTTCCAGCTTGTTTACAAAAGGTTGATAGTTTTACACGAGTACCTGCTCCTGCCTGAAATGTTGCACTTCATCAGTAAAGCTGGAAAGTAGCTGTATGACCTTTACACTGTTTGAGTGAACTGGGACCAAAATGTCCCAGGTGTGACGAACAATCAAACAAAAACAAAGTATTTACCAAGTGGTATCTTTCACGTAAATTCCAACCTACAGTTAATTGTTTTGGATAGTGATCCTCAAGGCATGTATATAGATTTTTGTCAATATTTTCATTTTGTTGTAAAGAAAAATCTTGCATGTAAATATACAAACATGAAGTTTTTTCTGTTCACAAAAAGTTCTAATAAACAAAGATATACATCAACATTATAGTAATTGCCTTTAGTTGTTGATCTTGTAAGAAATTCTAAACCTGGAAAGTTTCCATTGGGCTATAATTTTTTGTAAAAAAACGTGCAAAAGTTATACATCTTTGGGAGTGACCTGCATTTATACCAAAGTCATGTATAAAGTCTCAAGTGAACACAACCATTGGGTAATAACATATAAAATCTGCTTGCAAAACTTCAACCAGGTGATACACAGATGTAAGGTTGAGAAGGGTAGCCCTTTTTCTTCTTCAAATAGTCAAGCTTAAAACTAATTTTTTTTTTTCTCAAGTTTTATTTGTATTTAAATAAATGCTTAACAAACATGAAAACGCAACAACAAACAAACATTAATGCCAACTGAATGTTTTGCAACTAGTTATATTATAATAAAGAAAAATAACTTTTTATAATTAGCAAAAAATTCTTCCAGTATAACTACATGTATTATAATAATGTAGTACAGATCTGTATTACAATTTTTCAAAGCCAGCAGAAAAACCTTTCCCACCAGTATAATGCCAGGTCAGCCTTCAGATCCATATTGTCTGATCAGGCCCTATACTGTTTGCCAAACAACATAAGATTTTTATCTTGTTATCTTCAAAAATGATAATGGGCATTTCCAAAAAAGATGGCCGAGTGACCCCCGAGTCTACTTAAGATATTCAGCAGGTTAAGGGTTAAACCATTGTAATGCTTAATTTTTTCTAAGAACTTGCCATATGAAAAAGTCCATTTTAATGTAATGTAAGTGCTCATATTTAGCAGCCCAGTCTGGTCCAACTACACATTAATCTGCCAACCAGCCCAGCTTCATACTTATGTAAAAGTCATGTCATTATCATTGATGTCATTAAAAATATAAAGGAGTACTTTTACTACAAAAACTTTCATATATTGCCAGAACAGAGTAACTGCATAGAAGCTTAGATATTATCTTCCTTAACATAATGATATTTCCAGAGAAGCTTGATGGCTTCCGTAATATACGGTCAAGACAGCTTTTAACATGTCTTTAATAACCGGATGATGACTGTAGATTGTGTATTGTTCTGATGGTATGTATTAAAATGTTCCCAGAGCTTTACAGCAATGGTGCCAGCTAACTGTAGCTATCCTTATGCTCTCCCTTCACAGCATGCATGGCATAGTTTATACTTATATCTTTAATCCATTTCCATTCCCTTAACACTGGCAAGTACAACATTCCATGAATAAGTCGAACATTCATGTTGTCTGAAAAATAACAAAATATGAGATTTTAAAATACCATGTCATGTTACGATACTAAATAAACAAGCAATTAACATAGTATTGCAAGCAATCCATAAGTCCCCTACCGGTAAGAGCCCAAGCAACATTCTGAAGGGCCATTGGCCATTCACTTATGTTCCTATTTTAAGTAAATTTGTTGAAAAAGTTCTTTAAAAGTGATCACAGGAAACAGTTTTTATGTACATACAGACGGACTGAAGGACACTCTAAAGTCATTTTTTAAACATCCCTGTTATCAAAATATAACATTTTTAAAATCCTATCATGATTGAAGAAGTTAAAATTACCAATTTCTCAAAAAAAAATCTAAGTTCAAAAGGGGCATAATTCTGGAAATAGTCTTGCTAGAGTATTGAACACTCACAAATGTTTAGTGATAATAAGAAACATTTATATGAAGTTTGAAGTAGATACATTCAGAAAAAGAAGTTATTAAAAAAAAACAATGTTTTTTCATGAAAATTTTAAGTTCAAGGGAGGTAATTCTGATAAATTTTGTGCTAGAGTTGTAAACCTTGTCATATATGATGTGGTTGATTACAAGCAACTTATATTTAAAGTTTGAAGAAAATACCTTAAGAAATAACGAACTTATAGTGAAAAAACTTAAAAACTAGAATCAGAAATCTTGAAATTCAGTCTATTTGTTGCCATAGCAACCAGAATTTTCAACATAGGAAGATAAGAAAAGGATGTGCATAATTTCCAAACTGCCATATACCCATATGTCAAGTTTCATAAACATATTTTCAGTACTTTTTGTGTTATCACTGGATCCAGGTTATGTGTAAAATTTGCCATATTTTCAGTCTATTTGTTACCATAGCAACCAGAATTTTCAACATAGGAAGAAAAGAAAAAGACGTGCATAATCTCCATACTGCCATCTATCCATATATCAAGTTTCATAAAAATATTTTCAGTACTTTTTGCGTTATTGCGGGATCCAGGTTATGTGTAAAATTTGCCATATTTTCAGTCTATTTGTTGCCATAGCAACCAGAATTTTCAACATAGGAAGAAAAGAAAAAGACGTGCATAATCTCCATACAGCCATCTATCCATATATCAAGTTTCATTAAAATATTTTCAGTACTTTTTGTGTTATCGCGGGATCCAGTTTTGTGGACGGACGGACAGACGGACGGACTGACGGACGGACAGACGGACGGAGGGTAAACCTAAAGTCCCCTCCGGTAAACCGGTAGGGGACTAATAAAAAATATTTGTTGTTGTTTTATATTTACAGTTATATTTGTTTATAATAAGGGGTGTTGTGTATGAGAGATGAAGTGTGTATCACCATTTAAGGGGGATAGGGGTCTTAAGGGGTGAAGTGTATGCAACTTTTTTTTTTTGGGGGGGGGGGGGGGAGGGGAAGGAGGATTTAGTGTTTGTGAGTGTTTTTCACAAAGATCATATGAAATATCAAGCCTGGTTTCTGCCAAAAAGCCTAAATGCACATATGTTAGGTTGTTCATGAGAAGATTTTTAAAGATTTCCTTTCCATTGCCATGACAATCAATGTAGTGTGTCAGATGAGCTAAAAAGAGCTGTAATGCACTATTTTTAAAGTTATTTGCAAATGGTGCAGTGTTTGAGAAGCTACAAACAATGAAATAAAATCATTATGATCACAATGTAAAGTCAACTTGTCAACATTACACTTTTCTAATACCTTTTCTTCTCATCCTCTTTTGGTCAACTTGCCCCTTTACAAGTAAGCTCTTCACTACCTTATTGTCTTAAATCTACTCAATTAATTTGTTTCATATATATAATTTTTTTTCTTCTCGATTTCAAGGGGAAAATAGCAATTTGAAGTTCAAAAGGAAGAAAAGACTTATTATATATGAAAACAAATGTAAAGTAAGAAGACCAAGGAAATTAAATGAATGACAATGAAGTTATAATCTTTTACATTTATTTTACATTTAAATCTTCAGATGTTTTTCAGTAGGTTAAATTTAAAATAATGCCCAATAAAGTTAAGTTCATTTGATTAAAGTTAATATATTTATTAATTACACACTTTATACATTGTACTTGCAATTTATTTTTTTGTTTTGGTCTGTTGTAAAATTAATACTGAAAATTTCATTTTTGGGTTACGGTAACACAAGCACTTAGTTTTTTGTTGTTTTTTTTTAGTTTATTATTTAGTATATCTTCATTAATTTTCCTGAAAAGAGGTGATTAGTTGCATATGGAATAGGTTGACTCAAATAATTCATAGCTTGTGTAATTCATGTACTTGTAAAACTTCATTGATACAGACATTTTACTAGTGTTGTTGTTAGAGACTACACCTTGTACATTCATCATTTTTATAACAAGATACATATTTATTACATGCTTTTCGGTAGTTTAAAGAAATATATCAGTGAAATATAAAACTGATATTTCATTGTGAAATGTATTACGATCTTACCCTGAACTAAACAAATATCCTCTTTGTATTGTTGCATTTATTTCTGATGTGTGGTATCACACTAGAGTGTAAGGCTTATATTACATGTATATTAGTAACGTTACTGTGCTAATATGTTTTTAATAACTAAGTTACTATGATAATGAAACTAATGAAGAATTATGCCTGTTTGTTATAAAAGTTTCAAAATGAAACATGCTATGGCCAGGCTTGGGGTAGTGATACCGGTAATGGTAATGCAGTAGGAATGCATTACTTTTCTTGAGAGTAATGCAATGTAATGATATTGCATGCCAATTTGCATTACTTGTAATCGTACTGGAATGCAAAATTCAGGTAATGAAGGTGCATTACTATGCATTACTTTGCATTACTTCACCAAACCTACTACATCATATATGGTATGGATGATCCAAAGAACACAAGATAAAATTATGATGGCCTAGGTGCATTACTATGCATTACTTTGCATTACTTCACCAAACCTACTACATCATATATGGTATGGATGATCCAAAGAACACAAGATAAAATTATGATGGCCTAGGTGCATTACTATGCATTACTTTGCATTACTTCACCAAACCTACTACATCATATATGGTATGGATGATCCAAAGAACACAAGATAAAATTATGATGGCCTAGGTGCATTACTATGCATTACTTTGCATTACTTCACCAAACCTACTACATCATATATGGTATGGATGATCCAAAGAACACAAGATAAAATTATGATGGCCTTAATCAGTCAAATAAAATATAAAATCATTAAAATTCAATATCCCATCTCTTATATGACTGCACTGTTCTATAACATTAGTATCAATTGAAGCATTTATTGTACTTGCAGGCATGTACATTGTTCAGTGTAGAATGGGGATTAAATGATGAGTTTGATATCAATTATTATAGACCTGAATAAATTGAGTGAAGACTAACCCAAGACCATTACAATCTCTTATTTCCATTTCATTCATATTTGATAGTATATAACCATTGATTGTTGTCATAGAAATGACATGTAACCAATCTGATATTTTATACACCTTTATGAAAAGCCCTGCTACCAACCATAACCTTTTATGCAAGATAAAATTACTATTTGTCACTTGCCTTTGTTTGACCATTGGGCACATTAGCACCTTTTTGGAGTTTTCATTGTTACATTATGTCAAGCTGCCATGTGCAAGACTTATTATCACGAAATGCAAAGTCACTATTACTGACTTGAAATACAATTTTATGTAAATAGCTTGGCAAAAAGAAATCTTATGGTCAAAAGTAATGGTAATGATACTGCATTACTTGCTAAGTAATGGTAATGTACTGCATAATCAAAAACAAGTAATTGTACTGGTACTGATACTGCACCAAACCCCAAAGTAATGGTAATGGAATGCATTCCTTTTGCAAAGTAATGACCCCAAGCCTGGCTATGGCATGAAACTAGTCATAGAACAAGTCATAAAATGAAAATCAATCATTTTAATGTCACAAACTTACTGTTTTCCAGCACCTTCTGGAGATCTTCTGGTGGGACAAATTTCTCCCAATCATGTGTTCCCTCGGGGACAACCCTAAATATTCTCTCAGCAGCATATACAGCAAGGCCCCGAGATAACTGTGTCTTGTTCATTGTTGTAATAAATAAAGATCCTCCTGGCTTAAACAAAAACACAAACATTATATCAACATAATATTGTTTAAATTTCATCAATGGTAAAAATTATTGATGACAATTTTTTTCAAATCATTTAATGACAAATCTTAAATTATACTGACTTTACAAGAAAATACTAAGATACATGTAACAGTAAAGAAATTGAACATTCTTCTCAATTTGTATAATTATCATCATCTTCATAATTAATCAAGCATGTCCAATTAACTCAACAGACAGAGTTGTAAATCTAAAGGTCTCGGTGCATTAAGTCCATAAGCCTTGGTGTGCACCAAGTCTATAAGTTTATACATTCATGAAATTTTTTGTGAATATTTCCCAAAGAGCTATCTTGAAAAAATAATAGCCAAAATTTTAACTTAGAAAAAAAAATAGCCAACATTTTTAAATAATCTAATAGCCAAAAGTTCAGCAGAATATTCATGATTCTGCGATTATAAACAAAAGCAGTTGATGGAATTAACATATCATCTTAAGACCTTTCTTTAAGTTTTACAAGACTACTAAATATTTTTTTCTGTACAGAATAAAACATTAATATCTCTGAATCACTAGATAATAATACTAATAATTTATTTCTGAAGAGAAGAATTTTAAACTTTTCATTTTCAAATCAGCCTGGGACCAATTATATAACATTTGTAGAGGGCCACCTTTGGAATATTACTGTGAAGTTTGTTCAAAACCAACCTTGTGTTTTTTAAGAGGAAATATTTTTAAAGAAATTAAGGATAATGTTAAACAAGAGGGCCAAGATGGCCCTAGATCGCTCACCTGACCCGTCAAACTCATCCGAACAATTACCTAGACAAGCGTTCTGACCAAGTTTCATGACAGGTGTGTCAAAAATGTGACCACTAGTGTTAACAAGGATTATCCATATTTGAGCAGTGTGACCTAGTTTTTGACCCCAGGTGACCCATATTCGAGCTTGACATTCGAGCAATTACCTAGACAAGCATCCTGACCAAGTTTGATGATAATTGAGTCAAAAATGTGACACTAGAGTGTTCACAAGGTTTTTCTATTTTTAGCTCCTGTGACCTAGTTTTCCATCCGAGATAAATCATGTTCAAACTTATCCAAGCATCGATTAGACAAGCATTCTGACAAAGTTTGATGATGATTGGGTCAAAAATGTGACCACTAGACTGTTCGCAAGGTTTTTCTATTTTTAGCTCCTGTGACCTAGTTTTCCACCCGAGATGACCAATGTTCGAACTCATCCAAACAATTGACTAAACAAGCATCCTGACAAGGTTTCTTAATAATTGGGTCAAAAATGTGACCACTAGAGTGTTCACAAGGTTTTTCTATTTATAGCTCCTGTGACCTAGTTTTTCATCGGAGATAAACCATGTGCAAACTCATCAAAGCAATTATCTAAACAAGCATCCTGACAAAGTTTGATCATGATTAGGTAAAAAATGTGACCACTAGAGTGTTCAAAAGGTTTTTCTATTTTTAGCTCCTGTGACCTAGTTTTTCATCAGAGATGACCCATATTCAAACTCATCTGAGCAATTGACTAGACAAGCATCCACACTAAGTTTGATGATGATTGGGTAAAAAATGTGACCACTAGAGTGTTCACAAGGTTTTTCTTTTTATAGCTCCTGTGACCTAGTTTTTCATCAGAGATGACCCATATTCGAACTCATCTGCGCAATTATCTAAACAAGTATCCTGACAAAGTTTGATGATGATTGGGTCAAAAATGTGACCACTAGAGTGTTCACAAAGTTTTTCTATTTTTAGCTCCTGTGACCTAGTTTTTCATCAGAGATGACCCATGTTCGAACTCATCCAAGCAATTGACTAGACAAGCATTCTGACCAAGTTTGTTGATGATTGGTTCAAAAATGTGACCACTAGAGTGTTCACAAGGTTTTTCTATTTATAGCTCCTGTGACCTAGATTTTCATTGGAGATGACCCATGTTCGAACTCATCCAAGCAATAATCTAAACAAGCATTCTGACAAAGGTTGATGATGATTGGGTCAAAAATGTGACCACTAGAGTGTTCACAAGGTTTTTCTATTTTTAGCTCCTTTGACGTAGTTTTCCATCCGAAATGACCCAGTTTCGAACTCATCCGAGCAATTGACTAAACAAGCATCCTGACAAAGTTTGATGATGATTGAGTCATAAGTGTGACCACTAGTGTGTTCACAAGCAATTGTGGACGTACGACGGACGACGGACATTCACTGATCCTAATAGCTCACCCTGAGCAAGCTCAGGTGAGCTAAAAAGGGACATATTGCTATCATAAAAACTTTATGCTCAGGTGAGCTAAAAACATACCCCATAGAATCTAGGTTATAAACTTGCTCTGTCTTCAGTTAAGGACATTCAGTAAGTAGTTCAAGAGAATTCAGAATCAAAACATTAAGATAATAATTGAATAATAAGATTTTTGATTAAACTGCATAAAATTGAAATCTCACATGTTTATTTTACTTGTAACATGTTCATAAAGTATTAATTTCACTTGCAAGCAAACAGTTGGTAGTACAAAATTCATAAGTACATGTAGTTACCTTGACAAGTGCACAACAAGACTCCACAAAATGGACATAGTCAGCTACATGCTCTACAACCTCGGAGGCTACAACAGCATCAAACATCTCTGATTCTGTACTTACAAGGTCTTCTACACTGCCTGAAAATATAATATCTGAATTAAAGTGGATATTCTTCTTTAGTTTGTTGTTATGAATGACACTAACAATTTCATCAGGCAATATCGTTAAACTAAAGTTAAACATCAACATCACCTCTCAACCATGTGATTGTAGTTTCATACCCTACTCAGGTCACAACTATATTTTCTCCTATGAAACTAGTACTAGTTAGTTCTACAAAGCAGAGTTGAAATTTGCTGATATAAGTTGCAAAAATTTGTTTCACAACATAGCCAGTTTCAACTATGGTAAATTACTTAGTTTGGCATATTAATCTATTCTCTTTTTATATGCATGTTGGAATCGAAATAGATATTCGTTATTCTTGCGTTGTAGTAAAATAAAGCAGGGTTTATCATTCAAATGCTTTGTCATTAATTACTTAGGCCTATTGGTCGTCATGATTATTTTCCTGTGCATTTGAACACAAATTGTGCATTATTATACAACAATGCACTCAAAATTGATATCTATTTGCTAAACAAAAGACTCATAACTGATGTCCATTTCCAAAAGATTGTAAATGATATATACCTGTAATATATTTAATCTTTGGTAATAGATTTGGATCTTCCTCTAAATGAAGTTGAGCAATCTTTGTACTTTCTTCAACTGGGTCCAGTCCTACTACAAATGCACCAAGTCTCGCCAAAGGCTAAAAGTTTTCAATAAAAACATATATACGGTAAAGTTCATGAATAGTTTGGTTAAGGCTGTTCAAAATAATTATGTGGTCAAGGCTGTTCAAAATAATTATGTAGAAATTAATACAAAATAAAAGTTATTGAAAACAATCCTTTAAGAATTACAAAGTATTTTAGAAACAAAATGAGGATTAGTCTGCCAAATTCTGGAAAATGCCTTACTTTTATTTTGGCCATTAAAGGAGTATTTTAAAGCTAAATGCAAGGAAGCTATCCAGTTAACTTATGGGAGGTCCGTGTTCTGCTCATGAGGCACCCACTTACGCTTCAAATTATACATGGACAGGCAGTCACAGGCCCCTGACGTCTTCCTTCACCATTAATGCTGGCAAGTGGTTCAACAACGATCATAAAATCTCAAATACTTACAAATACAATGTACATAAGAATATTTAAGTTATAAAGAAAATATTAAGGAATGAATTAAGTCAATTATTCAAAGAAGTTCATTTAATATTTAACTGTATATGCTAGCTAATACACCAATTGTATCATTGTCAAATATATATGTCCCATTACATGATAGATTGATGGGTTTTTCTATATTTTTTTACTTAAATTACAGTGTATACAAACTTGCAAAATTTTAAAAATACACACACAATACAATACATTTTCTTTACATTTTATTATGTTGAAATAAAAAGCTTTTGTAAATTTTGTAATTTTGATGTAATAATGAGTGTATAACTGGAAAAGTCTAAATCTTCTGCTCCTTTGTCAATCTTTAGCTTACTAGAGATACATGTAGATGCCTTACCTCAGATAATATACCTCCCCCACTCCCAACATCAACAATTCTGAGATCCTGCAGTGGCTGGGAAGGATCATCGGATAAATCATCTCTATGATTCAATAAACCATCACGAATAAATGGCACTCTAAGTTTGTTCATTGCATGCAAAGCCTCAAATTCTCCAGTTTCATTCCACCAAGACTTGGCAAGAGATTTGAAATGTAACAACTCCTCCTCATCCATTGTATTTGTCACCATTGGTCTTCCGGAATATTTCCTAAAAACAAGATTTATTTTCAAGAATTTCCTTTATTCATTTTGAATGTACCCGTATTTAATTATGAATAACTTGTTAACAAGGACATTGATTATAGATGATACGTTGATATACAACAGATGAGAACAGATAAGGGATCATAAGTTAAAGAAGTGTGAAAGTTGTATAATGCATTATGACAATGACAATAGATTTTATTACCATTAAACACATCCCATATATACAAATGGTGAACATTAGTGCAAAGGCAATAATAAGTCCTCTATATTCAATTAGCATTAATGAATGAAATGCATCTTCAGTAAGCATTAAAGATAAAAGTATTACTGGTATAAAAAGTCTTGAATACAATGGCAAACTGTGTATGGCTTATGAATAGTATTCTCTCTAAGTTAGCAAAGTATATGTTTTGCCAAATCTAATGAAATGCATTTTCGGTGGGCAGTAAGTATTTCAGTATGTCTGGTACAAAAGTGTTAAATACAATAGCAAACTGTGTAAGACAAATGAACTGTGTTTCTCTTTAAGTTAGTGATGTACATTGTATATATTTTGCTAAATTCAATTGAACAGATTTTATACATGATGACATAAACTTTTCAAAGTTGCAACTTATTTTAGTGTATAATCTGAATCAATGTCTTTCAAAAATAATTTTATTTGAAAGGCTGTTGTATAATGCATTACATGTATATTATTTATCTTTGTTAATCAGCACCTTTTATGACGGTGATACTTATCCTTTACTGTAACAAATTAGTGATATTACCAATTAACCATTAAATTTATTTTCATAATTTTCAAAAAATTTGATATTTTTAACTATTTATAAAAAGAATTCAATTTAAAAAGAAGAGGATATTCAAGTTTTTTCTATCTATACAGGATTTATTTTCATTGAGTCAGTGGTATGAAAATAAATATTTCATTAGTGGCAGTAATAATATTGGTAATTAGAAAAATATGATATTTAACAAATAAGACATGGTCTTAAGGACAATATGCAAGTTTACAGACTTGTTGGACAGACTGAGGAAGGTATACATACATGTGAACACTTCCACTTTAAGCGGAAGACTCCCACTTTCAGCAGCCATATTTTCAAAGATTTTTCTTAATATACATTTGTAACAGATATTTTCACAAATTAATAAAATCTCCCAATTTTTGATGTAAGAACTTACTTCTTTGTTAATTGCGAATTCTAAAACTTCCCTCTTTTTAAAGAAAAATCTCCCACCTGATTATCGAAAAAAGTTCACATATATGGTATATGGCCCAAAGTCTATCACCCAAAGCCTATCAAAGTCTATCAATTATCATATAAAAATATATTTTAAAATGGAATTATATTCAGAATGACTTGACACAGGTCGATACAACTTGATAGCACATACAGTGATTTGTCTTTGGCCCGTATTCAGAATCGATACTTACACTCACACTGAATGAGTATTCAGTAAATCCCATATAATTGCCTAACGGTTAAGACAGTCCTCACCTTTCAGTAAAGTGGTATTCAGGTTATAAAGTAAATGTCGAGTGAACTCAGGAAAGTTGAGAATCTGTGAGATTAGGAGGGGACTACCTTGAGGTGTCCTCAATTAAGTAATACTGAATACCACTTAGTTTTGAGTATTGATTTTGAATTTATTTCGTCCCATAAACATTTAAGTGCATCAAATACGCGAACTGACAGTATTTAAGTGCATCAAATACGCGAACTGACAGTATTTTAGAAAATAAATGTTGAAAAACAGATACTTAGGAATGGAGATGATCCCATTAAATTAATGTCAGAAGGTGAATTTTATCAAAATATTTATTTTTCAAAGGGGTGTTCCCAGTGTGATACAACTAGTATGAACTATTAAGAGTGTATTCAGCTCGCGGGATACCAGTACTTATGCCAAAAAGAAATGAACTTATATGATTTCAAATTGGAAATATCTTGAATTTCCTTTTATCCATGAAAATGACTGTTCCTGTGTTTGTCAATGTGACCATCGATGATTCTTGATGATTTTTGTCGTATTCTTCTAAATAAAGGCATATGTATAACAGTTAGATACAAATTATATCACCCTGTTTGAATTTTGGGATTGACATAGAATTCCCAATCCATATATTTTTGAAGATATTTCAAAGGAAAATGACAGAAAAAATATCTTCATAGCGTCATGAATAACAATGGCATAAAGTGAGCATTGACGTCCGTCTGAGTATTTTAATTAAAAAAACAACAATCAAAATCCACGTAGCAAAACAATATCTTGAACATTTGTTTAGCATGATTCATTTAAAATACACTTTACTAAACGAGTATGGTGTTTCATTACTTAGATCCAGTTTGAAACTGATAATGAATTCCCGCTTCAGTCGTAAGGTATTCCAGCATCACAATCAAACAGGGTCGTTTTGTTTGTTTGTTTTTGTTGTTTTTAGAGGGACTTATGTACAAAATCATTGACTTTGATTCAAGAAATTAAAACGATTAGGATTATATTTTGCAAATACCAACAACAGTCTTGTTAAAACTTAAAGGCATGTTATACCTCTTTCTATTTTAATTCTTTAAAAAAATAATTAAAAACTATTTATAGTTGCACTGAACGTGCAGTAATGTGTTATAATGGTAGAAAAATGTAAACAATGCAGTATTTTGACTTTAATTCAAAATGATAATGCAAGATTATACCCTTTGCAAAAGTTGAAATTTTACGAATTAAATGTTATAGAATTTCTGAGGCATAATGGGCCTTTAAAATGTCATAAGATGATTAAAAAGGGAAACGTAATTGTGTATTGCAAACAAAAATTGCATTGACATAAAAATTGGATGCTACTTTCAATGAAATGTTTTTTGGGTTTTTTTTTTTCAGTTCTAAATGCCTGTCATAAGCCTTTCACTACTTTCTTAGCTTTTTTTTTTCGTCCTGTCTTTCAGGTTTTCCAACATTATTTTGCTATTTTGACATTTACTACTTGAAATACTCTTTAAATGTCTCCTCATGCTTTTGTTTTATCGTACACACGTATAATTATTTAAAATCTTTTTTTCTTTTAAATTAAGATTTTTAATAATTAATTCTTTAACAAAATTGTTCCACTTCGTTAAAATACACTCTTTTAAACGACATGATTACACTTTTACAATGTATATTGATAAAACCGATCGGTCAACTTTTGAAGTCTCCCTCACGAGAGGTAAGGTTGAGTAAACAAAACGAATACCACTTTGCACATTGTGAGTTACTTACCGTAAGTCTACTCCAGCGTTACTTGAGGCGACCTTTCGTGAGTTTGAGTCGAGATTGAGATTGAGTATCGTTTCTGAATACGGGCCTTTGACCTTTTTGTTATGGTACTATACAGCTTTATTGGTCAACTGATTGGATTACCTTGACTGATCTCAATAATCACTCAAGATAATCCAACCACTTGACCAATCAAGCAGTATTCTAACACAACCCGCATTTTTCCCTATTGAACATAGAAGAGCCAAAAGTGTGTTTTTATGTAATAAAATCACTGTTGATGTTCTATATTTAGACATTTGATGTAATCATTATAAACATGTGATGAAACCTGACTTAAAATGTGACACACTGAAATAAGTTAGGAAACAAATCAGGCGCAACTTAATATCAGGTAATGCAGTATTCATTTGTTAATGTTATGTTAGAATCAAAATAATATAACCGAATTGGTGATTTTATCGCTTGATAAATCTCTGTTTGTCGTTCGGATGCGAATCATTACATCACGAGGGCTATGCCCTCGTGATTATACTGATATAATTGCTCATATCCAAACTCCAAACAGTGATTTAATTGAGCGATAAAATAACAGTTTGGGATGCAAACAGGACGTTCGGCCCCAAACCAAATCGGCCCCTGTGCTAAAATCAGCCCCTAGACCTTTCGGCCCTCTTCTGCGAGAAGTTTCGGTCTTATTTTATTTCAGTTTTATTAAAGTATTAAAGGAATTTTTATACTTAAAATCGTTAAAAAGTGTAGTATATTGATAGATTGATGGCACACAAACAATTAAGACACTTTAATCCTTAATTAATAAATTAAGTTTGGGATATATTATATTATTATACTTAAACAATGTGTCATGTCAAACATATGGTGGCTGATTTGTGCCCTTTGTGTTTTCGTCCTGCGACCCTGCCAAGCGAAAAGTCGAGAATTAACAAGTTAAAATGACAGGGTCGCGCAGCGAAAACACGCTAATTAGTGGGGGCGCGCGACGAAGTTTAATAAATAAAACTTCGCCCCGCGAGGGCGCGGAGCGAGAATTGAGAGATAAAATGGCTGGGGCGAGGTTAAATAAAATAAAACTTCGCCCCGTGCCCCTGCTAATTAGCGTGTTTTCATCCCGCGACCCCGCCAAGCGAAAAGTCGAGATTTAACAAGTTTAAATGGCGAGGTCGCGGAGTAAAAACACGCTAATTAGCGGGGGCGCGGCGAAGTTTAACAAATATAACTTCGCCCTGCGAGGACGCGGAGCGAGAATTAGGAAATTAAATGGCGGGGGCGCGTGGCGAAGTTAAATGAAGTATAACTTCCCCCCGCACCCCCGCTAATAAGCGTGTTTTCATCCCGCGACCCCGCCAAGCGAAAAGACGACAATTAACAAATTAAAATGGCAGGGGCGCGGGGCGAAAACACGAATGGCGCAAACATCAGCCACCATACAAACATGTATTTTAATTTCTACACTGTAACAGTATACAAAAAACGCTGCCGAAAAAACAAGGACCGGAACGTCTAGGAGGTGACAAGACCATGTCCAGAGATGAAACGTCCAGATACCTCACAAAGCCTTATCTTACCTTTTTGAAATGACATGTATTGCACTTCTATTACAGAAACATCGAGACACTTCTCTGCATGTATTCGTCACTTTTCGTTTCATTACTGATTCAGTTAAGACAGAAAATTGACATGTCCGTATACGTGAACATGTATGACATTTGTTATTAATTCTAATCAATTTTGTCGCATTGAATGCAAACATTTTTAGGTGCACGTCAAAAAATTAAAGTTTACAAAAACGTTAGGCCACACTATATACCGTACTGGTATATTCCGGCAAACAGGACGTTTCGGCCCCAAACAAAATCGGCCCCTGTGCAAAAATCGGTAGACGTTTCGGCCCTTTTCCGCGAGACGTTTCGGCCCTTTTTTAATACAGTTTTATTCAAATATTAAAGGAATTTTTATTCTTAAAATTGTTAAAAATTGTAGTATATTAATTGATTGATGTCACACAAACAATTAAGACACTTGTATTTTTCAATGTGAGCGAAAGAAAGATCTTTGAACTTGTGTATAGAAATTATGCAAATAAATGGTGACTAAATCATCATAATGATTATTTTTAAAAGTAAATATTATCCAATTCTGAAACTATGTGTCTACAAATTGTTATTTTAATATAGATTCAAATTCAACGCTATATTTGATATTTTTGAAGTCGACTTTCGTATTGTTAAATGTGAGCGAAAGGAAAATCTCAGAACTTGTGTATATAAATTATTCAAATAAGTAGCGATTAAATCATCATTATGATTATTTCTGATAATAAATATAATCATTTTCTAATAATATACGTCTACAAATAAGGTTGCTTTAATTGATCAAAGGGCACACGGCACTTCTTTCCTTAGAAACGGATCTTAATGTAAATTCATGATATTTGAAATTTAAACGTTTTCCGCGTTCTTCATAATATACCCTACCCTACCCTACCCCCTACCCCTACCCCTATACCCCTATACCCCTACCCCTACCCCTACCCCTACCCTACCCTACCCTACCCTACCCTACCCTACCTACCTACAGGGGTGTCAAATATTCTTCTATGGGGATAGTAACCAGACTATGGAAAATCTTATAGAGAAGGGAAATGTATTTAGCTGAGGTACATGTTGTAACCGATTCTGCAAACTATAGCTGCACTGAACTGCTCTGGGGTAATGAGTAGGACAACTGCAGGGGGTAGGTGGTTCCAGTGGTATACCGTCCTATATGAAGGAATGAGAATTTATAATAGCCCGGAGTTGCTCTGAATAACATATAACATAAGGGGTGGCTATGGCGTGATGTTCTGGAGAAGGGTGTCAACTATTCTTCTATGGGGATAGTAACCAGACGATGGTTAATATTATAGAGAAGGGATAACGTAGCATCTAGATACGTCTGAGTTCTAGTTTTCGAAGGTTGAGTCGGGTTGCTCTTCTTTGGACTTTTTTCGATTTGATCTATTTGAGTTTTGGTGTGGGGAGACCTTACTTCGGAACCATATTCAAGCTGGGCTCTGACTAACGTCTAGTACTGAGCGACGGACTTAATGGATTGGGATTTAACCTTTATGTTTCTGCGTAGGAATCCTAAGGTTTGGTTTGCTTTCTTGGATGTCCTCTCTATATGTGCATCCAACGTGAGGTTTTCTGATATATCCACGTCTAGGTATTAAGCTGAGGTAACCGATTCTAACTGGACTCCATGAAAGTAGTATAGTGTTGGAATAGGATGTTTCCTTTTTGCGACGTGGAAAACTTGACACTTGGAGGGGTTAAATTCCATATCCCACTCCAACTCCCATTTTTCTAACCGATTTCGGTCATTTTGGAGGGTGACTGATTGGTTTGCAGACATCAAAGCAATATATATTGCAGTATCGTCTGCAAACAAGCGGGCCTGGGAATTTATGTTTTGTGGGAGAAACAGGAAGGGTCCTAGAACAGAGCCTTGGAGGACACCTGAGGATACAGGGATGGGGTTCGAGCAGCTGCCTTTCAGCACAACAGACTACAACAACAACAACAACAACAACATATTTATTTGATAATAAGGCCACCGGCCCATAACATACAAAGCAACATGGATAAACATTTTACGTCCCTCTAATTAATATCGTCAGCTTTACAAAGAATATGGTGTATATAAATACATATATTACGTATTGTTGTATCACAACTCGAGTTCATTAATGAGTAGAAATCATTTAAATTTGTTCTTCCATCATACCAATTTAGTAAGTATAGTTGGCGTACTTCATTATATTTATAGCAATGGAAAAAAGCATGAAATTCACAATCTATAATTGATATATTTCTATTATTTAAACAATATGTACAAAAGCGTTGTTCTCTTGGTATATTTAAATGTCTGCCGATTTCTATTTTAAGTTTGTGGTTGGAACACCTAAACTTAGAAAAAGATTTCTTATAAATAAATGGTAAGTCCAATATTAGGTATCTTTCTACATTTAAAAGTGATTTAAAATTTCTATAATGAAAGCATCGACTAGAAGTATTAATATCATTATGCCAATTTTGAGTGTAGCAATCAACCAGTCTCTGTTTAAACAAAAGGATAAACATGTCAGGATTACCTATTTCTTGCGAAATCCAGGCAAACCCAAAACCATACTCGAATAATAAATTTTTTATCTTAGTAGCCCAATTATATCTCCCACTATCATCATGATTTTTCAACATAAGATAACATTGTCGCGGATATCTTGATTGTTGCATAGTCAATAACTTGCACCAATATTTTATACAGTTAGTCATGTAAAATATACATAATGGTAACCTGCCACATTCTCCTAGTGCCATTGCATTATTTGTAGTTCTATTAACATTAAGGTACCTTTTACAAAAATCATTATGAACAGTTTCAATAGTATTTACATAACAATAACCCCATACTTGTGAGGCATAACATAATATTGGTTTCACCAAAGCATCAAATAATTTAAAGTATTCTTTGACTGGAAAATATCCAAATGACTTTTGATACTGTTTGATGACTAGAATAGATTTCTTTGCTTGAATAGACAATTTATTGTGGGTTGATGACCAAGATATAGTAGGTGTAAGATGAACACCCATATATTTATAAATTGATACTACATTAACAGGAGATCCACGATAGAGCCAAGATTCATAATTTCTAAGACCACCTCCATTACGGAATACCATAATCTCTGTTTTATTTAAATTCAATTCCATACCCGTATCTTGACAAAATACGTCTATTATATTAATTTGTTGCTGTAATTTGACAGCGGTTTCTGCGCAATTAGCAATGTCGTCCGCAAACATAAGACAGTTAATATCATGTATGTCGTTAGTTATAAAAATTCCTGTTCCACACGAGAGACATAGTAACTCTGCAAATTCATTAATAAAAAGTATGAATATAGTTGTGCTGCTTACGTCTCCCTGTTTTGTTCCAACAGGGGAAATAATCAGAAGAAAAATAACAGCAATTGTTATCATCAAAACTTGGTCTATTTTAGCACGATTACAGTCGAGTTTAACACAAGATGATAGATCGGTGTGCATAGCCCCAAGTAAACGTAAAAGTTTGCCGCGGAGACCTCTACGATATAATATTTCAAAAAGCTTCGCGTGATTTAATTTGCCGAATGCGTTCTTAAAATCAACATAAATACAATGGAATCTACCACCTTTTCTTGTTCAACATTTCTGAGCCATTGCCTGTAAACAAAATATATTATCTACCGTTGAGTACCCGTGTCGGAAGCCGGCTTGTGACTCGTCGATTTTATTATTATTTTCGGCCCAATTATAAAGTCGAGTATTGCTAAGTCTAGAAAATACTTTATACAGAGTATTCGTTACAGAAATCCCTCTATAGTTACTAGGGTCATTAATCGACCCGCTTTTATGGATTGCCGTAACCACGCTTTTACCCCAAATTTTAGGAAAGACGCCCGTGTTAAGTATTCTGTTAAACAACGCTTCAATAACGTTAATACTGTCATTTAATGTATACTGCAGCCTGTTATCTAGAAATTTTTGACCCATTTTAAAGTTTGATAGTAGGACAGTTCGAGTCAATCGCATTTTGAGTTTTCTTCATACGGGTTGAAAATAGAAAATTATAGAAAACTTTATATGACTTTAAGGCATTGTATGGTGTCGGCAAATTGTATTGGCAATTATATTTGCATTTCGCGCACTTACTTCTATTAAGCAGAATCCACTTTAATAAATTCATTATACGATGTTAAATGGCTGCCTTTATTTACCTATAGTGATTCCGTTGGATAAAACTCGTTTAACATTGATGAATTGATTCAAAATTGACTTGTTTATCAAATTGTATTTTAATTTGAACTAAATTTGATTAATAAGGGTGATTTTAATCTGTTTTAAGTACTGCAAACGAACTGCCAAAATTCTGATAGCCTTTGCAAATTACTATTTTTTATTAATATTATTTTTTTTTTGCAGTTTTTGTAACTAATACAATAATTTTATTATTTCATTCTATTATTTATTCCTCAAAATTTGATACTTAGAACACTTAATTCAAAAGCCATAAATAACTTTAAATGGAACACTTATGACTTTTGAAACTTATACTTTATACATTTAAAATATTTAAATAACTTCACTCTTGGTATCATAATTTTATTATAATGCTTATCTATATTTCTAATTATATATATATATTTTTTCTATTAAATGTTCATTTGATTTATTTATATTTAGATATAAAACATTTGTTCAATTAGTTCATGAAAGTTAGTTCCTGAAAATTACTTAAAACTGAAATTGATAATTATTTGATATCACACAAGTTTATTCAAATAGTATAAACTTATTTCTGACTAACCTCAGGGAAGGGCCTACGATAATGTTGTTAGAACTTTTAGCCCAACCCTTTTGTATGTACACTTAATTATGTCTGTAAAATTATGAAATTGTATATTGTGTGTATATTTATACAATAAAATATTATTAAACTAAAATAGGGTTGACCAATAATTTTACTGTCACACAACTTCAAAACAAAAGCGACAAATAAAGTCTGCAATTTGGAATTATCCCTTTTCTAGATTTATAAATCTTGTCGCTAATTCTTTCTTGTCGCTCATAAGTCAAACAGACACAGTCTACAATGTCCGGGATCAATTTATTGAGCTTCGAATAATCTCCCAAGAAGGACCGAGGTAATCTAAGACAGGTTAGTATTCTGTCTTTCATTATTTATTAATGAAATCGTGCAAATTGTATGTATTATATTTGCAATATCGGTGAAGTTTATTTATTTTGACGAGGTCAATATTATATCACCCCACCCATTATTGTAAGCATGCTATAAACATTTTGGCACAGGCAAGTAGGGCCTATTGGTGTTATGAGAGTCGTTCCCCTTGGGGCCCCTTCTTCTTCTCTTCATACAAACCCTATGCTAATTTAATTTAGCATATTCAGTGACAGGGAAAGTATTTTTTAATGAGACATTATGTCTCATGTTGCAACCTTGATTGCTTTTAATAAGCTGTTTATTAGCAGCGATTTTTTTCCATGAATTGTGAATGGGTCCGGTACCATAAAAATTGTGAAAAAAAGCGTTGTTTCTTAACAAATTGTGAATTTTTTAATTAAGTTTGTTAATATCTTATTAAGCAGTAAGCAGGTCTAGGATTTCATGATATTTATGGACTGTCCGTAAATTTATAGACAGTCTAGAAATTTAAAGATTTTTCAATCCATAAGTTTACAGATATTCAATGTGAAATTTGCTGTTTTTAGTATTACAATAAAATCCGCAGCTAAAGACAAGTTGTTTTATTGATTGTTTATATTTACAAAGGTAATGGGGTGAGTTTCATCTTTGTATGATGATTTTGAAATTTTTGTTAAAAGTGAAAATTGAAAGTAATCAAACTGTTCTGAATCTTAGCAAACTGTTACATTTAATCATATAATACCTAACCTTATTCATTTTAACCTGCGGTTTTAAATTTCAATGCAACTTCTAATATTTTCTTACTTAATGTCTGTAAATTTACAGATAAGAAAATCTGTAAAATTATGGATTGTCCAAAAATTTACAGACTGTCCGTAAATATAATGAAATCCTAGACCTGGTAAGAACATATATTCTATTTTTTTTAACATAGTGTTTACTGTTACGAGACATTGAATGATGTTTACAGAAATTAACAGACTGCTTGTTTCAGTTTTGATTCGTCCCTAGAAGTTTCGTATTTAAACAGTATGAAAATTTAAAGGGCGAATGCACCGAAAATCATCGTTGGCTAAACGCATTTTAGATAAACAAAGCACAACAGGCAAAATTTTAGCATCATTATAAGAAGAGAGGAAATACGTTATTAAAGTCTTAATTATTCAGAATTGTGAAGGTCCGTTTGTGATTGTAAATGGGTCCGTTATTGGGTACCACTTATATATGTATAGCCTTTATAGGGAAAAAAATCGCTGATTAGTTACACGTGTCCGACACACCTGGATATATTTTTTTATTCAATCTAAATTGAAAAACATGAAAAAATTGACTCTTAAACATTTAACTGTTAGTTATCCCCTGCCGATGGAATTGGGAGGGGGATATAGTTTTGGCGTTGTCCGTCCGTCCGTCCGAATTTCGTTTCCGGAGTAGTTCTCTGCAACTACTGGCTGGAATTCAACGAAACTTTATGGGAATCATCAATATCAAGAGGAGATGCGCATCTGACCGTCCGTCCATCCGTCCGTCCGAATTTCGTTTCCGGAGTAGTTCTCTGCAACTTCTGGCTGGAATTCAACGAAACTTTATGGGAATCATCAATATCAGAGGAGATGCGCATATCGTCGGCTTGTTCCGGTCAGACACTTTAACTCAGAGTTATTGCCCTTGATTAGTTATGTAGTATGCATATAGAGTAAAAATCGTTTCCGCACTACTTCTCTGCAACTACTGGCTGGAATTCAACGAAACTTTATGGGAATCATCAATACCAAGAGGAGATGCGCATATCATAGGCTTGTTCCGGTCAGACACTTTTAAGTTTAACTCAGAGTTATAGCCCTTGATTAGTTATGCAGTATGCATATGGAGTAAAAATCGTTTCCGCACTATTTCTCTGCAACTACTGGCTGGAATTCAACGAAACTTTATGGGAACCTTCAATACGAAGAGGAGATGCGCATGTCGTCGGCTTGTTCGGGTCAGACACTTTAACTCAGAGTTATGGCCCTTGATTAGTTATGCAATATGCATATGGAGTAAAAATCATTTCCGGAGTAGTTCTCTGCAACTACTGGCTGGAATTCAACGAAACTTTATGGGAATCATCAATATCAAGAGGAGATGCGCATATCGTAGGCTTGTTCCGGTCAGACCCTTTAACTCAGAGTTATGACCCTTGATTAGTTATGTAGTATGCATATAGAGTAAAAATCGTTTCCGCACTACTTCTCTGCAACTACTGGCTGGAATTCAACAAAACTTTATGGGAACCTTCAATACCAAGAGGAGATGCGCATATCATCGGCTTGTTCCGGTCAGACACTTTAACTCAGAGTTATGGCCCTTGATTAGTTATGCAGTATCCATATAGAAAAATATTTGTTTCCTCGCTACTTCTCTGCTACCACCGGCTGGAATTCAATGAAACTTTATGGGATACTAAGAGGAGATGTGCATATAGTCGCCTTGTTCCAGTCAGATACTTATAACTCAGATTTATGGCCCTTGATTAGTTATGTAGTATGCATACATCTCATTGGCATTTCCAGATTTTACTATTTAACACAAAGTTATGGCTCTGTTATTTCCCTGAATATTTATCAAGTTCAAAGAATATTACTGTTTATGCCATGATTAATATATAAATAAAGCCTTATGTCTTCAGTTGTTGTGTTGATAATAACCAGTACTCGGCGGGGGATATAAATTCAACGAATTTGCTTGTTTATTAATGGATTACATATTTTAATACATATTCTTGTATGATACAACAAACGTTTTCTTTCATAAAAAATATGGGGACATTAAATACGTAATGATGATACTAAAGAACTGAAAATGTTTTATTAATGTATATTCTTTATGATACTACAAACGTTTTCTTTTATGAAAAAATAAGGGGACATTAAATATTGATATATACATTTTTCACAAGTAATTATTAAGTATAAAGATGATAATATCTATGAAAAGTAACTTTTCTATTTATTTTTATATAATATAACATTAATATATTGGTTTGTTTGAACCACATAATTATCCCCCGCCGATGGAATTGGGAGGGGGATATAGTTTTGGCGTTGTCCATCCGTCCGTCCGAATTTCGTTTCCGGAGTAGTTCTCTGCAACATCTGGCTGGAATTCAACGGAACTTTATGGGAATCATCATTATCAAGAGGAGATGCGCATCTGACCGTCCGTTCGTCCATCCGTCCGTCCGAATTTCGTTTCCGGAGTAGTCCTCTGCAACTACTGGCTGGAATTCAACGAAACTTTATGGGAATCATCAATATCAAGAGGAGATGCGCATATCGTCAGCTTGTTCCGGTCAGACCCTTTAACTCAGAGTTATGGCCCTTGATAAGTTATGTAGAATGCATATAGAGTAAAATTTTGTTTCTGGAGTAGTTCTCTGCAACTACTGGCTGGAATTAAATAAAACTTTATGGGAACCTTCAATACCAAGAGGAGATGCGCATATCGTCGGCTTGTTCCGGTCAGACACTTTAACTCAGAGTTATGGCCCTTAATTAGATATGCAATATGCATATGGAGTAGAAATTGTTTCCTCGCTAATTCTCTGCAACTACTGGCTGGAATTCAATGAAACTTTATGGGAATCTTCAATACCAAGAGGAGATGTGCATATCGTTGCCTTGTTCCGGTCAGACACTTAAACTCAGAGTTATGGCCCTTGATTAGTTATGCAGTATGCATATAGAGAAAAAATCGTTTCTGCGCTACTTCTCTGCAACTAATGGCTGGAATTCAACGAAACTTAATGGGAATCTTCAATACCTAGAGGAGATGCGCATATCGTCGCCTTGTTCTGGTCAGACACTTAAACTCAGAGTTATGGTCCTTGATTAGTTATTCAGTATGCATATAGAGCAAAAATCATTACCGTGCTACTTCTCTGCAACTACTGGCTGGAATTCAATGAAACTTTATGGGAACCTTCAATACCAAGAGAAGATGTGCATATCATTGTCTTGTTGGGGTCAGACACTTTAACTCAGAGTTATTGCCCTTGATTAGTTATGCAGTATCCATATAGAAAAATATTTGTTTCCTCGCTACTTCTCTGCAACTACTGGCTGGAATTCAATGAAACTTTATGGGATTCTAAGAGGAGATGTGCATATAGTCGCCTTGTTCCAGTCAGATACTTATAACTCAGATTTATGGCCCTTGATTAGTTATGTAGTATGCATACATCTCATTGGCATTTCCAGATATTACTATTTAACACAAAGTTATGGCTCTGTTAATGTTATTGCCCTGAATATTTATCAAGTTCAAAGAATATTACTGTTTATGCCTATGATGGTTAATATATAAATAAAGCCTTATGTCTTCAGTTGTTGTGTTAATGATAACCAGTACTCGGCGGGGATATAAATTCAACAAATTTGCTTGTTAATGTATGGACTTATTTACAAATGTGGAAAGATGTTTTCATAAATTATTATAGCATACATGTATTTGGTAATGAAAGAGTTTTCAATGATTTGGGTAATAAAAACTTATTACAATCCATCCTTGTGACTTTCAATGACTTGGGTAATAAAAACTTATTACAATCCATTCTTGTGACATTGTAAAATACATTGCATGTTAATAAATGCATTTGAATGAATTATATGTTGTTTAATGTATATAAGATAAAGAACATTTTAAAATTTTATATTTTTACTGTCCGACCGTCCACAAAACTGGATCCCGCGATTACTTGAAAAGTACTGAAAATATTTTAATGAAACTTGATACCGTAGAAGTACTTATTTCTGCGGGCTTAAAATTCTGCGATTTTGGTTAAAATAAGGGGTTTTAAATTTCTGCGTATCATATTTCTGCGGTGTCATCATTCTCGCATTGATGTTTTTTATTTCTGCGTTTTAATTTAGATATTTTTACAAAATTAACCGATATAAACAGACAACATTTCAAGATATGTTGATGTAACATGTACATTACTTCCGGTAAACATACAGATGACTTATAATGTGTGTTCAGCGTGATCTGTTGTTGTTGTTTTAGGTTTATATTAGCTCGGCGCCGGAAATTCCATATGTCCGAGATCTCAGCGTCCATGCCGGTCCACTCTAGTAGTCTCTCATCGTGATCACCATGTATCGGTATATAAAATATGATAAACAAGATCAAGGAGGAAAGGCGGCGTTCAATGAACGCAATAAACAAAACGTTAATAAACAAAAATCAACAACGTGCAATGACAACAATTAATTGTAATACTGCATGTGTATAAATATGTCAAAAGTGTGAAAAATAAGCAATGGTAGTATCGCACGTAGACACAATATATTGTTCAAATACAAAAGGGTATGTTTATTGCACCCGTCAAACTATAATAGTTTTATTTTTAAAATAAATCAAGCTTAGGGTGAGCGAAAATCATACAAACATGACATTTTTTTAAACAAAAAGAACAAGTAAAGTAACTTTTTTTTCTAATATTTCATTCATGACGGGTACATAAAGAAAAATTATTCCCATCTACAAAAGCTGATAACGGTACATGGTAATGTAATTATACAATACAGGTAGTTGACATATTCCTACATACATGTAGACATAGCGAAAGGCTTAATTTTCTGCGGTTTTTAAATCTGCGGTGTCGTTATAAACCGCAGAAATAGCAGAAATAAAGTTCCCGCAGAAAAAAGTACTTATACGGTATATGGATAATGGATAGATGGCAGTATGGAGATTATGCACGTCTTTTTCTTTTCTTCCTATGTTGAAAATTCTGGTTGCTATGGCAACAAATAGACTGAAAATATGGCAAATTTTACACATAAACTGGATCCAGTGATAATGCAAAAAGTAATAGAAATATTTTTATAGAAACTTGAAATATGGGTAGATATCAGTATAGAGATTATGCACGTCTTTTTCTTTTCTTCCTATGTTGAAAATTCTGGTTGCTATGGCAACAAATAGACTGAAAATATGGCAAATTTTACACAAAAACTGGATCCAGTGTTAACGCAAAAAGTAATAGAAATATTTTTATAAAACTTGTAATATGGGTAGATGTCAGTCTGGAGATTATGCACGTCTTTTTCTTTTCTTCCTATGTTGAAATTCTGGTTGCTATGGCAACACATAGACTGAAAATATGGCAAATTACACATAAACTGAATCCAGTGATAACTCAAAAAGTACTGGAGATATTTTTATGAAACTTGACATATGGCAGTCTGGAGATTATGCATGTCTTATCTTTTCTTCCTATTTTGAAAAAATATTGGTTGCCTTGGCAACAAATAGGCTTAAAACATGGCAAATAGAACAATATTTGTGATTAGTCAAAGAGCTGAAAATTTTTATGAAATTGCATCTTTAATTCAAGAGTTATCTCCTCTTTAAGAATTTTGCTTTTAAAATTGTTATATTTTGGTAACAGGGATGTTTCTGATTTTAACTTTAGAGTGTTCTTCAGTCCGTCTGTCTGTCTGTTCATAAAAACTGTTTCCTGTGATCACTTTTAAAGAACTTTTCCCACAAATTTACTTAAAATAGAGAAAAATTGAAACATTAGTGAATGGCCAATGGCCCTGCAGAATGTAGATGGGGTTCTAATCAGTAGGGGACTTATGGATTGCTTGCAATACTATGATAATTGCTTGTTATTTCATATTCTATCAAAGATTACTTTACAGACTAAAGGCATCAAAACTGATTTTTAACGAATCTGCAAGAGGGAACGAAACAAATTTCTTCTAAATGTACTTAATTCTACAGAAGTACTATGTACAGTCATATAATAATATAAATCTCCTAAGCAAAGGTCACCCATGATCAGTACACTGCTGCCAATGGAGGTAATCAATGTGAGGATATGTAATAGAAAGGGCACCAAAACACTATCTGATTTGTAGGAGGGGGCGTAGCCCCCGAGTATAAATCAGATTGCTGAGTGTTTTGGTGTTCTTTCTCTTTTGTATCATAGTCAAACATTAAAACACGTTCCCTGGTGTCAAAATATGAAACCCCGGGAAAAAGGAACCAATGAACAAGCATCTGAATATGATATTTCTGTCGCTTTCCCTTTCTCTTCCGTCACAATATGTAAACCCTAACAAAAATGAGCCAATCAATTGGCATGCTCTGGAGTGCGGGTAACTAATACCTGCACTTCAGTTAACGCACTGTGCATGTATATGAATATGATTTAACTCTGACACATTTTCAACAGAAAGGTCCCTATGATACAACTTATTTTAAACAACTTGCCTTGATAACATGCAAGTACAGTAATAAAAAAAGTTAATATGTTAAAATATTTTTTATTTTTCAAAAGTGGGCCAAGTTGACCTGTGCCGAGTTGGTATAGGGCCGAGTTGACTCTTTACTTTAAAATTAGTCAGAATTGACATATTTTATTCAAACACCTAAACAATAAAGTTTTTGTGCAAAATATTTTAAATCTATATATTTTTACGTAAAACAAAACAACATTTTACAAACTTCTGCAAAAAGCAATAATAGTCCGTTAAATTTGTGCATACGTCTAAAAACAATCATCATTTTCTAATTTTAAGTTCTTGTTTGTTGAAAAAATAAATTTTGAGTTATAATGAAAAGATACTTTTAATATTTAAAATTTTGCAAAATAACATGTGGAAATTTTAACTGAAACATGAAAAAAAACTGAAATAAAACACATAGGTGTTTGGCATGTTGATTGGTCACTACCCCTGAGGTTTCAAGGTTTGCACTTTGCACATTTGATTACATCTTCCTAACTGTGTCACATGTTTGTTTGCTTTTATTAAACTGTCTGTAATTAGAAAGCAAGGGAGGTGCAAAAATTAAAAAAAAAATTCTGATCAACACAATGATATATTTTTGCCACACAGGTCCATATTACCAGAAACTAGGAATCTGTCATTCTGCTTTACTGTACATTTAGTATAATAATTACAGTTGTTACAATGTGGGCAAATCAGTGGCAAAGCGGAGGGGGATGGCCAGTACAGCAAGCACATCTACAGGCAATGCCTCATGATCAAGGTGAGTGGTTTAAAACAGTTTTCAAGTGTTTATACAAGTACAACTGTCATACAATTTTTTGTGTTGGTAGCAGATTATAGAAAAAAAAGAAAGAAAATATAAGCAAATGTGTTGATGAACTAACTGAGAGAAACAATGCTATTGACCACGAATTCGACGTTTTTCCTAATGAATGTCGCACACCGTCATTTTACGTTCTTCCAAAAACGCATAAACAACCGAATGCTGATCTTCCGTTAAAATATCCAGGTCGACCTATAGTTTCCGCCTGTAATTCACCGACTGAGAATATTTCTGGATGACATTTTTCTAATCTGGGACGATACTCGCGAGGAACTCGAAAATTTCATTTGTGATCTAAATGGTTTTCATCCGATGATTAAGTTTACGCAAACCATTTCCAGTTCATGTGTTGATTTTCTTAATGCATAGATCCCTGACCTATCTCATTCTTATCAGATTAGTGGATACAATAACAATTTCATCATAACCTTTTTGTTAACAAAAAGCACATGTCAATGTTTGCGGTTAAATTTATTGTTATTCAAATAAAAGGTCAGAGTAGGGATCTATCAATAATAAGCCTTTGTAGCTTTTAGGGACAATTTTATGTATTTATATAGGTAAGCATTATTATACCAAATGAACCACCCTTCGGACAACATTAACGAATTGTCGAGCATCGCTGTAGTTGTGATAGAAGTCACTTCAGGTCACTTTCTTCAAGTCAAAATTAAACTCTGAATCCCCCTTAAATAGCAAGATTTTGCACCTTATTTATAGCAAGATTTTGCACCTTATTTATAGCAAGATTTTGCACCTTATTTATAGCAAATACATAATCCAGGGTGTCCGTTTGACCCTTAAAATGACCCTTTGACCCTTAAAATTTCCAAAAGGCCTGACTTGACCCTCAGTGTTTTAATTGGAGGGTCAAATTTTGATAAAATCATGGGGATTTTGCCTTGTAGTCGGTAAAACGGTCAAAATGACCCTCAGGATTTCATGGCTAGTGAACACCCTGTAATCTCTTGATATTTGGAGGTTACCCTAGTGCTAATTGACTAAGATTTGCCTCCTAAATTCATGGTGACAAGTGTTGACCGAGTTACCATACCAGAATCAAAATTAAAGAAGGCACTTTTAAAGATTCATTTAATATTGAAATTTTATTGGTAAATTGTTATTTAGTCTTTTAAATTATAATACAATATGTTTGTAACATAGCTATTAGTTTTTCATTGGATAATCATGATAGCTATATAATCTATATACATGGCTGCTGTAGATTTATGAATTAATTTCATTTTATTCTCTAATAAAGAAAGTTTGCAGTATTATGAATTCGTTAATAAGATTTTTGACAGGTTAATAAAGAATTGTGTTGTTAGCCATACATGTGTATACCCCTTTCTTAGCAGCTCTGGTAATTTATGCATGTATGTTCTTTATGTACATTGAGCCATATAAACCTGTGAAAGTTACAAACTTCTTAATGTAAGGTGTGCAATATTTTCTATTAACAGTTGACTGGGCAGCTCTTGCTAAACAATGGATAGCACAGAAAGATGCAGTAACACCAATACAAGATCAGGCCCCTCCTCCTCCAGTATCTGTGCCACCTCCCTCACACAACCAGGGACCACCAGTTCAAGCAGATAGTATGGAATTATGCAATGATGAAAATGGCGAGCAAAATCAAAGCAATGGAGGTAAGGAAAGATTAATTTAGTGATATTAAATTTATTTAGAATGTTCAAACTTGGACAGTATATATATATTGTAATATAACACATTTCTGAAACATTATTTACGTTTCAAAGCAAGTTTTAGAATGAATTTTAGCACTATCAGCCTCTATACCACATTGTAGAATAATCATGTTTAAAATGGTGGTAAAACATGATTAGAAATCTGCAGAGAATGTAGTACCAAATAATGGACCTGGTCAAGATGATACAGTACCAAATTGACCATAATGGACCGGATCAAGATAACATTTGATACAGTAAAAGCATTTTGGAAGCAGTCAAATAAATAGTTGATAATGTTTCTTTAAGGTGGTACATGGAGCTTGGTAACTTTTTTCATTGCATGTTTGTATAAATGTTTGAATATCAATTATATACCTTTAAGTTTTCATATGAAAAATTTTAAATATGGTCATTTTCAACTGGAGAAATGCATAGATCTGCATATATTTTGATAAGAGGAAAATTACGGTAGTGCTAATTTTGATGGGTCATATCACATTAATGGATTGTATCAAGTAGTATTCCCAGTCACTCTGCAGGCTCACTCTGCGGTCTCTTGGGAATAAGAGGTTAATACACAGCAAAATAAGGCTGAAGCCCTTGGGGCCATTATTTGTTTGGGGGCTGATTATCACCTGGCCCATCTTTGACATGTATTAATGTCTTTTATACACTTAATAGATCTTAAATTTACTTTCATATTTCTTTCGTTGAAATTCCTATCCTCTGTAGATTTCAACTCTACTATACAGTATAGTAACTTCCACAGAGTTGCTTCCCTTATGTGTATGCAACAGAATCTAGAAGCATAATTTATTTTCATGGAATGAAACATAGCTAGTATTTTTTTCTTTAAACCTCAACTGTGTTTGTAGAAATGACGCTTATGTTCTAATTATAAAATCAAGCTATTCGTGCCTCAATCCTACTTTCACTTTTACATCTAGCTGTTGTTTTTTTTTTTTGATAACGTAAAATGTGACATCATTGTTTCAGTTTGTGCAGGTACTCGTGTTCAGTGGGCCGATTATGATCAGTTATTGGCCTGGGCCGCAAACTGGAAATCGGTCACATGATACTCATAATCAGTTGAAATCATAGGCAATTTTGTTACTGTATATAGTAACAAGTGTATCAATGCAACTTCATCAACTTAAATATGTATGTATAGATATAACCCATCAGAATAGCTCATTTAATGATTTATGAAATATTTTCTATGTTCCATTTCAGGAATGTATGGGGGTCAAGAGAATTGGAATTGGGGAGGCAATGTGGGGTGGAATGCTCAAAATCAAGGATGGGGAATGCCGCAACAACCTGTTCCAGATTCTAAGGTAAAAATTCAGGCCTTTTCTTCTTCATTTTAAAATCTCAAAAAATGTAAGTTGAATTTGGAAAAAAAAACAGACCTAAAGGCTGTTTTATAAAATCATTTGTGCTTATATTACACAATTAAAGATACAGTAAACTCCGCTTATAACGAACTCACTGGGACATTCAAAACCTGTTCCTTATATCCGGAGTTCCTTGTAAGCATATAGCGAATTAGTTCCTTATATCAGGAGTTTTAATAGCGAACAGATTTACATATAGCGAACTGATTGTTTACCATTGTCCGCCATTTTTGAAGAGCATTTGATTAAGAAATAGAAATATTAGTCATTTATTTATATTTTAGACACAATACCCGATAGCGTACTTTTTGGAATTTGAAAATCATTGCTATTTCAGTTCTAGTTTTACTCCCTATCTCAATTTCACATAAAATATAATATTTTGTTTCTAAACTCTTTTCGTTTTCTTTCCATGATTGAGAATAAACAAGACTTTCGATTTTTTATAATTTAAAGGTGACTCATGGTAAGATATATATTACTTTTCATTTAAATCAAGCGTCTTTTGCAGTTTGCAATGGATCATGCTTGCAGGTATGCATGATTATGTTGAAAACCAAATATAAATTATTATAATTATTTTACTTGAGCAAAATTATTGAAGAAAATAAATAAATATCTTGGTGAAAAGAGCTCATGCTTAAAATATCCTAAATAGAAAACTATACAAATTCATTTGAATAGATGTATTGAAGTAAATACAACGATAAACGGTACATTCGCATGAGTTTTAATGCGTGCGAATGAAAACGAAAGTTGAAAATGCGGGATCTATTTACGGATAGCCAATATTTGGAGTTCGTTATAAAAGTGTAATTTTCTGTACTATTAGCTAAATCGGGACTAAAAAATGAGTTCCTTATAAGCGATAATTCCTTATAACCGTGTTCGCTATAACCATATATTTTTATATTAAATAAAGAAGGGCAAAATTCGGGCCAAAATAAATTGTTCCCTATAACCGGAAGTTCGCTATAACCGTGTTCGCTATAAGTGAAGTTTACTGTATATATGAAACATGCAAAAACTTGTTTGTGATCTTCAAAAATCTTCTCTACAGAAACTACACTGCCATTTGGTATGTAGGGTAATCTTGTTTTCTGCTCTTCCTCTACAATTTCACAGTTGATTCAATTCCTGATAAGATTTAAAAAATGTATATTTCCAGGCAGAAACACAGGGATTTGACTACAACCACAGTAGCTTCCAGCAGTTTGACTATAACCATGGTGGAGAATATGATGATTATCCGGTAAGCGGTGCTTTATTTAAATATTATAAAACTAGAAACTTGTGAAACTAGAAGTATCTTTTTGGCTATCCTTCTTACATGAGTTAGCATTGGCTATCAATTGGAAAAGTATAGGATGCATCTTTATTTCTTTTAAGCCACAGAAGGCACTTTATGAGAAAACTCATTCTTGTCTGTTGATTACAATCCAAGGCCTATCCTGTTTTGACTGAATTATAGTCCTTTGTATATATATACAAATTTGCTTTAGTTTTACATTAAAGATCAATCTCCATATCTATTTAAGTGCACTTGAAACTTCATTAATGCCTTTGGAGAAACTATCCAAGTCTGATAGCTCTAGCATGGATTTTGACTGATTATGCCTCTGTGTTTGACTGTAAAAATTTTATTGGTCAAGGACATTGCTTAAAAGATACCATTGCTGGAAAAAAACAGTGATAGGTTATTGTAAGATAATATTGAAATTGAGGACTTTTATGCTCTTTATTTGGTTCAATTTTTGTACAGATTTGGTAGGAACTGTTTTACATGTAGTTATTGGTCTATTTATTTCAGATGAATGCTGGGGGTGGGGAACCACCTTGGGGAAGTGGTCCTGGACATGGTCACTTTCCTCATCGGAGAGGTAACTTTACAAGACACCAGAGAGATATGTCCCCTAATGAAGATGAATCTGTTCTTCTGGGTATACCTACCTCTTATACTTTTTAAGCTCATTCGTTTGATAAATTTTATAGTGACTTGCACTAGAATTGATGAAAAGCTTTTCAAGATCAATCCAACCATGTTCATGAATTCTAATGTTTGAATATGTTTTAAATATGATTATAGACCCAAGTGTAATTTTATTATACATCTTCAGTCTTAATTGATGAAACAATTTGTATGATATAAAAAAAATTCTTGTCAGATGCTGCTAAAAGAAAAACACTGCCTGCCTGGATAAGAGAAGGCCTTGAAAAAATGGAGAGAGAAAAACAGAAGAAATTAGAAAAAGAGCAAAGAGAGAAAGAACAGGAGGCAGTGCGTTTAGCTCGTGCTGAAGCAGAGAAAGCAGCTGAGGAGGAGCTGCGTCGAGAAAAAGAGGGATACCAGGATGGCCCTCGTGTACCAAAGAAAAGCAGATTTGTATGTTAAGCTGAAAATCCATGTACATGTATATTGATTTGTTGATGTGAAAATGTATAGTTACTCAGAAGTTTCTGTTATCAGGGGGTCGAACGTATAGCGGTGCGATACTCCTTTAAGTGAGGTGAATTCATGCGATACGCCCTAATGGCGGTCGGGAGCGAAAACGAAAGTGGCTATGAGCATGTTTTTTTCCAAATATTTGTTGTCTATTGTAATTTTTTGAAGAATAGCATTGAGCATGCTGATCAAAACTTATAATTGTGCATGATTGTCAAAATAAAATACTAAATTTTATAGAATTGAGGAAGTTATTGAGGTATTTGTTGCTGCAAATTCAACCGTCAATCTGATATGCACATGCAAAGGAATAATGTATCAGTCGTTTTAAAACGAGATATTCAATTAGTTTAAGTTCCAACATGTTTATTTTTGAAAACAAAACGATAAACAAGAGTAGTTTTCCATATCTATCCGAAAATATATAAAATATTACCAGTTTTCTTACTGTACGCCTAATATTTGGTCCGATAAACCAAATGTACGCACAAATGTTGGTATGTTTTTCTGTAGCAACTTCCTCATTACAGTACATTCTTATTCAATTTTGATGAAATATCAAGTTTTGAGTTTGTATGTTAGTCATATGAAAACCACAGTGTCAATTAAAGCAACAGTGTCAATTAATGTATTATACATGATATAGTTAATTTAAATATTCTTTTCTCACAAAGGTTAATCATTAAAATTAGATAAGTTATTGCACAGAAATTTGAAATTCTATCAAGTAATCAATAGTCACGATAATATTCGTTTTGTTTCTTCCATTTATTTTTTTGCAATGGAACTTGAAATTTATATAAAAAAAATACTGGTTTGATTTCCTCTATGGATTGGATGTTATATATTATATACAGAGCACATCATTGTATTTCAGTAATTCTGATGTTTGTCATTAGCTCTGTCGCTTTGAATATATAACTATACTACTCCATAACCAGGGTATACCAAACAGCTTTGTGTATTTGCTTATGAAAGCATTCATACTTTTAGTGATTTAACATATCTGTCAGTAGTTTTACTTTAAAAACTAGGCTTTCTTTGCAACATTTAATGTATTTACCCCTCAATTTTTTGTAAATATTCATTTCCACTAGGAGTTACTCTTATTGTTAAAGCAAGTGTACCAAGAGATTTGTACTGTTACAGGCCAACAGCACTTTTTAACAGTATAAAATCTTGGCAAGTGTTTTTTTTATGTAAATAAAAGTATTATAGATTACAGTATCTGTTCGGGAAATAAAATAAATAACACACAAGCATTTGTGAGTAACAGTAGAAATATCAACCCTCCTAAAAATACTGTTTCCCTCGGCTAACACCTTGGCTAACAGTATTTTCCTTGGGATGATATTTTAACTGTAACCCACAAACCCATGTGTTATTTATATACTACTCCATAAGCAGTATGACTCAATCTAATATTATATACTTAAAAGCTTTTTGTTTATTTGCACATGTGTCAGCATTTGTACTTGTGATACTTTACCTATCTGGCAGTAGTTTTGTTTGTTAATCAATTTGTAATGTTTTAATTGCTCTGCAACATTTACAACTGTGTATTTGCACATGTGAGCATCAGCTGTTTTTAAGAAAGACACTGGGCTGTTTGGTGTCCAATGACTGACTGAATTTTGAAATTTGTATTTTTGTGTTTTTTCCTGACAGGCCACAATTATGTGCACTACAAAAATAGCAAGTTCTAAGCAACATTTTAGAGAAGAATTTTACCACTTAAAGATTTTTACCACCTGGTTCTCAGTCTCTATCTCTAGAACAGCAGTGATATGTACTTTCCCTGTATTTTATAGGTTGTTTAAATGTTCAATTCTATTTATAATATGAAAAAAATATCAGTTTGACAGCAGCATATACATGTACAAAAGATCTTAAAACCTCATGAAGTAAAACAGCCCTTATATCACATATTAACTGCTATTATTATGAAATGTTCTGCTTTGAAAGTGAGTTAATTTATACAAGATTTCTTAATTGGTTTCTTAATTCATTCTTACATATTTTGGTCAAATTCCTACTTTTTATCTAAGATCTTAGAGTAAAAGTTACTTTTTTCCAACTCTTAATTATCACAGGATATGTATTATTAATTATTCAAATTAAGTTCAAACACTTATATAGATGGTTATACAAAACTTTTATTTCAAATAAATCTTTAAGGAAAGAAGAAGATTTCAGAATTCCGGAAACGGGCAAATATATGGTAGATATCTTAGTATAATCATAGGAAAACATGTACAGCAGATGTGATAAAAAATATCGAACCTTTAACAGCGTACAGTTATTTTATCGCACCAAAATCCAGCGTACACTTAAATATTTTGACCAGTAAGCGTCTATGTATATCGGAGCTCAAAGGTACTTGCTATGCAACTCAATTATGATTACTCTTATAGAATAAAGAAGATAAAGAAATTAACTATATTAATATAAGCTTGCATTAAGCGATTTTATTCACCGACCCGAAATTAGTTGCCGTCAGTTAACCTTCAATAACTTTTTTAATTATGAATTTAGGTCTCTGTAATTTTGATGAAATGTGTGTAGGTTCTATCATCACATCCTCAATACAAAATATGCAATTGTAATCGAAGATTTATGAAATACTTAATAAAAAACACTCACTCTGACGTGTGTTTACACGGGTAAATCCGCCATTAGGGCGTATCGCATGAAATCACCTCGCTTAAAGGAGTATCGCACCGCTATACGTTCGACCCCCTGGTTATAAGTAGGACCAGTTATACTTACAAAACTTCTCTGTGGTGGAACAGTTAATATGTTAGAAATTTGATCAGTTGCCCAATGGATGCCCATTCCCGTAGGGACATGAAAAAACATCAGATGTAGCTATCAAAACTAGTTTAGAAAAAGTTGATGAATGCTACTGTCAGAGATATGCCTAAAATAATGCTTGAAGTGGCCCATAAGGTCTTTCTCCACATATAAAGCTGCTCAAAATTGATGAACTTTACATGTTTCTATATATTAAACCAGGTTTTCGAAAGGAAATAATTTGAATTGAAATACATTTACTATCAGATGTGCAGGTCCAGGATGCTTCTGACCTCCAGTGACCTTACTATGTATAACAACCAGGAATATATATATACCCATGTATGTTTATATTGCAGGATTCGGATGATGAAGATGATGATGATAGAGACAAATCTGTTTCACCTGCACCTCGTAGAAGATCTGGGTCAGCACATTCACGAAGATCCGGATCTGCTCATTCACACTCTCCTCATAGCAGGAGATCTACAGAGAGACGGAGTCCATCTCCAGTCAAAACAGAGGAGGAAAAACAGGCAGAGTTTGTAAGTTTAAATGTTAAATGTTTTCTATAAACAAGATCTGTATCATGGTTGCAGGAAAACTATTGCTTGATGTTTTATATTGATGACCAATTTCTGTTGCAAAAGAGAAAAATATTTTTATGAATTTTATAAAATTACTGCTAAGGGCTACCATGAGGTTTGCATTTCTATGGCACTGAAAATAAAGCTAGAATTAGATTCCAATAGGAAGAATAGAGAGTATTTGACACTAAGAGCATGAATTCTGTTTACAGATGATGAAGGTACGACGTATGTTAACAGAGATTTTACTGGAGGTGACAGATTCAGAGGTGCACGACATTGCTAGAAATGTGTATAACAGAGCTAGATCTAATGCCTCTAAAGGTAAGTTTATAAATTCATGCAATATCTTCCAGTATTGCATATATATTGTGACATTTAAAAACATTGATGTAAATATAAAAAAAACAGGTTTGTTTATGAAGGAATTCTTTCGATAATAAGATTAACTTTGTTATTTTCTGATATTCCTCATAAAAGATATGTTTAACTTTAAATGTTTTTTTTCCTGTATTTATATCCTATGTGCTAATAAACTAAAAATAAAATTTGTTTTATTTTGTTTATCCAGATATCTATTTACAGTTAAACTACCTAACTGCTCATTTTCCAAAACATGTTCATTTATTGAAACAAACATGGTACCTTGAGTAATTTATTCAGTGTCTTATCCAGTAATCTAAACCAAAAAGTTTGTATATAATTCCCCTATCTATTTTTTTTTCAAAAGTATGGATGACCAACGTTAACTTAAACAGAAACTCCATTGCTTTATGTAAACATTTATATTAACAGTTATTATCACAACTAATTGTGACATTGTAAACTATAACTATATGTATTATTTATAACCAAAAGTATGCTATTGACATTTTCTTGAAATAATTTTCATGGTTTTTAGTTTAAAATTTTAGTGCAATAGTGCATGATTCTTGCACATCTATACCCTAGATCAGACAGCGGTGTGTTTCCATTCTAAATTGTATTTTTTTGTAGGGTGTTTTGTTTTGTAATCAATAGGACATCTGACAGTTAATACATGTATTGTTAAAAATGAATTTAACAAACCTTGTGGAGCTTAATTGTTATGAAATACAAACTCAATACATATAATTTAACTAATATCTGAAATTTGACTAACTTTTGATTGGATGAGTATATTAATAGTATAGTATAAGAGTATATTATAGATAAGTCTGCAAACCTCAAGAATGAAAGTGGGTGTTTTTCGTTTTGGCTTATTTTGACAAGAGTATTTACTGCCTAAATTTCCTTAAACTAGATTTACATTTGAATAAATTGTAGGGATGGCAACAAGTACTGATTTCAGAACACATTCTTCTGATCAAGTACCCTGTTGCTTGGAAGATTTCTTAGGACTTTTTAATTTACAGATCTAACTATTGTCCATTTCTGACACAAGAATGAACATAGTTATTTGTAGTAGTGACATAGCTCATGATCCACCTTTCTATTTTCATACACAGAATTATTAGTATTTGTAAAACCAGGAATACATCTTAAAACATAGAAAATAATGTTGATTTATATCTAATATATAGGTAAATCTGATGTTACTGAAAGCAGTTAACCATTGTCATTTTTCCATTAAATATTTTCACCGCTGCATAGATGTTTTTATTACATTTAACAATTCTAAGATTCTGTAGTGGAGATTAATCTTTTTTAAGATATTCTATTTTTACTATATTTGTGATGGAAAAACAAAGTGCTACAATTCTTTTAATTAAGTACTTTAATATCTATTTTGTTAACTGATACATTTAACAAGTTGATTGAGTTGTTAACCAGTTACTTGTTGCCATCCCTGATAAATTGTACCAGTGGTAGTGCATATACTCAAACACTTGACCAGATTTTCTCCAGAGAGAAAAAGCTGGTGTGACTTAAAAAATCTTTGTGTAACAGTGCTTAGTAGATAGTCTTCATATGTGATTTCTAGTTTTGGTCATTAAAATGTATCTACTGGTGAACAGGGAAGAGAGATTTATGGATATGCTTGATTGAAAAATCCGGACTTGTTTTATATGTTAACTCATTTCTTGACATTAGAATAAAAAACAGATGATATTGGACATAAAGTGATTGGATACAGATACTAATGCCTTGGTCTCGTAACCTGGAAAATCTGTACTGAGTCTTCACAATGATTTTTTCCAAGCCAAGGTGAGGGCTTGTTTTTTTTTTTAAAAAAAACATTTCATACCATGTTGTTTTACCTGTGATATTGTGATAAACAGCTTCCATTTTTCAGTAGAAGAATTTGTTCGTCAGATAATGATATATCTGATGATAGACTTGCCAGTGAGAGCAAGGTTCAGGTGTAGACTATAAACTAATGTTGTCTCTTGTATAACAAAGCTCCAGCAACCCAACTCGCCAAGTCAACAGCTTTGGCTTCTATTACTTCACTTGGTAAGTTCATATATTGAAATTTTTATGTATAGATAATTAATTACATTCACTATTTTTGTTTAGAAATGAACATTTTAAGCTTTAAATTAAATAGTGATTAGATAGTAAATAGAACTATTACAAAATTTGCTGGAAACGGGCAATAAAATGGGGTAGGTAATTATATCATATATTTAACAGGTTTGTATATTTTATTATCTTGATAAAAACAGAAAATGAAAATGTTCTCAAAGTAACTTTTGTATCTCTTTAAAAATATAATTGTTAAATAATAGATGATGGTAACATTTGAATAATTTCTTCCAACTTTTTCATGTGAATGGCTTTGAATTTTGTGCTTTTATGTCAGTTTGTTAATGTTTGTTTTATATTCTCTGGATTGTGACAGGTTTTATTACTGTATCTGTTCTTAACTTTATGGCATATATGAAAATAGGAATTTGGCAGCATGATAATATGTGACTATTTTACAGGTTTACTTGGTTATGGTAGTGATGACAGTGACAATGAGCAGGAAAGTGATGTGGACAGACGACGAGGTCGTGGTGGCGAGTCTTCGGGGTCAGAGTCAGATGATGACTACGAGGATAAGATCAGAAGAAAGCGGGAAAGTTTTGACAGAATGCAGCGACGTCGTCTTGAAGACCAGGAGAGAGAAGAACAGGAGCAGATAGCTAGGAAAAAACGTAATTCATTTTCATTTTGATTAAACAACATAATCATGATTTTTGAAAACAGATCCTGACTAAGTCATTTAAACATCATTCCAAATTAACTTTAACTTACAGAGTTGAATTAGCTGTTTTCAGTTGTTATAAAGTATATGATTGTAGTCTTAGTTAACTTTACACTGATTCCAGGTAGGAATATAGTTTGAGTCTAAGCATGTATACTATAAAAGAATAGTTTATGTAGTTCTGCCTAAACTTGATCATAATTGGATGGAACTTATTCGGGTTTTATATGATTTGAAAAACATTAATTTTGTGTTTTAAAGTTTGAATTTTACTGAAGTATTGATTTTTAGCTTGACTTTTGAAGTTTATGGAGAGCTGTCCTATTCATCCCAGAATACACCTCCAGTTTTCTGATTAAAGTTTATGTGTAGTAAAAAAAAAATTCTTGTCTAATCAATGACATGAACAAGGAACGAGCCCTGGTTTAAGTTACATGTTAAGGACATATTCCATGGTCAGTAGATGACTCCAATTGATTTTGAGGTCAAAAGTCCTCGGATTTGGTGTGAAACTTTCTCATGACTAGTAGCTGACTCCTATGTTAAGATCAAGATCATTGTGGCCTTGACCGCTAAACACTGAGAAAATTATAACTACAACCTTTACATTTGGGGTAAAAGTTGGTCATGGCTAGTAGATGATCCCGAAATTGAAATTGAGGTCAGTAGGTAAAATGTCAAGGTCACCTTTTCAATAAAATTGAATAGATTTATGGCAAAATCTTCAGTTATTTTTATTTTGACCTGTACACCCATCAATTATATGATTGGCATAAAATCACTTTAATTATAAATTAGTATTGTTCAAATGTTTATTTCATTTGGGTAGCTTGAAAAAGTTATTTTTATAGACACCTTGAAGTTGTAAAATTTTGGATAATGAATTTGTGCATGTTGGTAGGGTGAAATATTAATGAATAGACATTTACTTTTCAAAGTTTTGCGTTGAAATACAATTTTGGTTTTGGGTGCATGCTGTCCGAACAGATCTTTGGTTTATTTGCCTGGTTATTATTCTCAGTTATTATGGTGTACTTAATTTGCATTTATGTAAAAATTTCTTTTTCTGCTGGGATCTGAGGTAAGTTTTTGTTCTAGTCTGCATTTTTGCTTTAAGATAAAATCGAGATAGTATGTTTTTGTGATATGAATACATTGTAATATTTGTGTAAGATTATAGGTTGTAATTATAAGTTCTTAGTGCTATATGACAACTATCTTGTGTTTTATGTTTTTATTACAGAGGAAATCCAAAATACTCCATCTTACCTGAAGGAACCACTATCAGAATCCCATAAATACCCTTTTCAACAACACCGACACAAAGATATTCCCGGTCTAGAGCAAGAATCTGATAACCATAATGAACAAAATGATATAAATAGAAATAAAAAAGAACGGAGACCAAGTGATCATAGGGCAAAGCATGAGAGTGAAAGGCAATCAGACAAAAAAGTGAAAAGAGAGAAAGAGAGAATGCGTGAGAAGGGAAAACAGAAAAAGAAGGAAAGTTCTAGTAGTTCTAGCAGTGGAAGTAGCAGTAGTGGATCGTCTAGCTCTGGGTCTGACTCTGATTCTTCTAGTTCTGATTCTGATTCATCATCTTCAGAATCTTCTGTACAAAAACGCAAACAAAAGTCAAAGTCTGACACTAAATCTAGTAAATATGCACAAGACAATGCAAGGTCTGATAGACAAAAAGAACTGAATAGAAGTGACTCAAATAGGGAGAGAGAAAAATCCAGAAGGGAGAGTGAGAAAGACAAGAGAAGAGAGTATGAAGATGTGTATGATGATGAAAGAGAGAAAAGAAGGGAGAAAGAAAGAGAAAGAGAGAAGAAGTCCGAGAAGAATAGGAGTAGATCTAGGGACAGGAGTGATAGAGACAAGCATAGAGATAGTAAGAGAAGTAGATCACATGATAGAAAGGAGAGGTCTGGAAGAAAAGACAGGGAGAGAAGTAAGTCCAGAGATAGGCGTAGGAAAGAGTATGAAGAGAAAAGTGAAAAATCTAAACGCAAAAGCCGAGATGAGAGGAGAGAATCTTTGGACACATCTCGAGATGCTAGAGATGATTATCATCGTGAGGACAGGGGTAGAAAATCTAAAAAATCTAGTAAAAGGGATGATCGCGAAAGGTCGAGGTCTCCAAAGAAACGGAGAAGATCCCGATCAGAATCTTCTGAGAGTGATTATCACTCAGGTCATAAGCATAAAAAGTCAAGTCGTGAGTCGAGCCCATACGAGTCCAGTAGACGGCACAGCAGACATGATGAGTATGAGTATGTAGATAGAAGCGGTAAGAAGTCAAGTCACAAACGCAGGTCTCGATCAAGGTGGGCAATTCATTTCTTGATTCATATGAGCGCTATTATTTATTTGATAGCAGAATACCTTTTAATATTGTGCTTTTGTGCCTTTGATATTAGTATTTGATCATGATGTGTCTCTATGTATTGATGTACCTATAACAGCCTTTGTAAAAATGGTCAGGTATAGGTATTCAAGTATGTGTATGGTTTTCTTTTTCATATTCTAATAATTCTAATCTTATCTTAACTCTTTTGGAAACTGTCTGATATTCTTTCAGGCATGAAATATTTCAGCCGAATGAATTAATTAATGGTAACAATCCACCATTCAGATGGGAAGCAATTGGATTTAAACTTTATTAGAACCCAAGATTAGATGTGTTTGGTGTTTTTCTTTTCAGATAATGAGGATGACAGGTTGTGAAGTAACCAACACGCATAATCACCATGGCAACCACTTTCCACATTTTAATCTTGCATGATGAAATGAGATGTACATAGTCCTTTTCTTAATAAATATTTACATTGTTCACAGTATTTTCATTATGACGACAGGATTAGAAGCTTTTATAGGATCAAGAATGTCGGTCCTCCACACTCTGTCTGCATGATAGTATCTTTTTGTTTGAACGAAACTTACACAGAGCATCTTTTAGTTTACCAGTTTATTTTGGTTCCTTCCTTTGAACCAACTTATACATGTATAATCATAATTGACAGGAGTAATTGACTGCAAAAGTACTTAAAGGGCAAAACCTTTCTTTATCATAGCAGTCTGATAATTTGATTTATTTCACTGAATTTTCACACAACTTGCACAAACGTCAGGATCCCATTATGCATTGCAGAGTTGTGGGCCTTAAACTGTTGAATTTGTAAGATGGATTTGACCTGTTCTGAACTTGGTCTAGGTGACCTGGCTTTACTGGTGGCAAATCACTCAGTTCCAGCAGGTGATTGGTTGAAAGGAAAAAATTTGTGATCACCGTATATGAGTAAATGTGTTGGTATGGGTATATGACAATGCAGTATGAATTAAGGATTATTTAATAATTATAAGACTGCAATGAATATTGTTACACAAATTATCTTGCACCACAATAATGCTTGACAAATGCTGTTGCTTTTCTCTGTGATCGCTTTTCGTCCGGCCATAAACTTTTACTTTAAACGACATCTCCTCCTAAACTGCTACGCCAATTTCATCCAAACTTAACAGGAATGTTTCTTTGATAGTAAACTTGAAAAATCATTCAAAGAATTAATTCCAAGCAGAATTCTGGTTGCCATTGCAACTGAAAGAAAAAAAATTAAAATATCTTTTAGAAAACGGAAAGAGCTAGAGCTTAAATATTTGGCATGAAACATCATCTTGTCAGTGTCATTTTGTTCATATAAATGCCCTGGGGTCAAAATTGGCCCGGCCTGGGGGGAGGGGGGGAATTGATATTTATATAGTAAAAAAATCCTCTTAAAAAAAAAAAATAGCTAGAGCTTAGCTATTAAGCATGAAACATCTTCTAGTGGGTGTCTACCAAGTTGGTTCAAATAAAAGCCTTTGTGTAAAAATTGGCCCCGCCCCAAGTGTCATTGATTTTCCTTATATTTATGGTAAAAACTTTAAAATATCTTCTTTTAAAAACTCCAAAGAGCTAGAGCTAAGATATGTATTATGAAATATCTTGGGTGTCTACCAAGTTTTTTCAAATAAGGGCCCTCAGGTTAAAATTGGCCCTGCCCAAGGGGTCATTGATTTTCCTTATATGTGTATAATATAAACTTAAAGATCCTGTATGTTTTGTGATTGATATTGTTACTGTGTGTATACCACACTTGCCAAAAATTATATGTAAAAAACCTAAAGAGCTAGAGTTTAGAAACTTAGCATGAAATATCTTCTGGAGAGTGTCTACCAAGTTTGTTAAGCCCTTGGGTCAAAATTGGCCCCTCTGAGAGGTGTCATTGTTTTCCCCTGTATGTATAAAGTAAAAACTTAAAAAATCTTCTATAAAAACCCCAAAGAGCTAGAGCTTAGACATTTATCGTGAAACATCTTCTAATGGGTGTCTACCAAGTTTGTTCAAATAAAAGCCCTGGTTTAAAATTGGTCTTGACCCAGGGGCCTATATATACTGGTGAGCGATTTCAGGGCCATCATGGCCCTCTTGTTTATCTTCATTTTATATCAGTTAACAGGCGTAACATGAAACAAACAAACACTTAAGTATCATCTGATCCTGATCTTTTCTTTGTGATACGGAGTCAGATGCTTGTTCATTGGTTACTTTTTTGTGGGGTTTCATATTGTTACAACAGGGAACGTGTTTTTATATTTGAATATGATACAAAAGGGAAAGAACATCAAAACACTCGGCAATCTGATTAATACTCCGGGAAGGGGGGGGGGGGGGGGTTACGCCTCCTCGTACAAATCCGATAATGCTCTTTCTGTAAACTATTTAACTCTGACACATTTTCAAGAGAAAGGTCCCCAAAGTATTATACACATGAAGAATATATTTCATAGTAAGGAGAAAGCTATTTAGATTATTTGTCTCTTCAAACCTGACAAACACTTTAAAAGAATACAATAACAAATATATTGAAAAAGTTACTTGATTAGTAATAGCACTAATTAATTGACTGTTAACTATAAAAAAAAGCAAAACTATGAAATCAAGAAAAAAGAACGTAAAGAATTAATCGCATATATCAACAATATTTCTTAATGTACGCATGATAATTGGTTCGATAAACTACGCAAAACTGTTCGTTCCTTACGATGAGTGTCATGCATGACCGACTGATGTCTGTTCACTGGGCATTACCAATTAGTTACTGGTATGGTGAAAATAATGAACAATGACTTATAGCATATGTGTATGGTTATATAGCACTCAAAATATTATGTAGCACTCGAAAATATTATATAGCACTCGTAAATAGACACATTGAAACTTTAGGACAGTTCATACTGGAGAAAAAGTCTCCCCTGCTCTGATACAATGAAATTACCTATTTGGAAGACTAAATCGACATGTGTGTGTGCGTGTTCTAGACACAGCTTCATACTGAAGATTTTGGAATGTGTGTTACAAGCCCAGTTTAACGAACGATCCGTTGGACATGGCAGTGCACATAGGCCTTCTTTATGTGTACCATCTTTCCAGGGTATAGTCTTAAGCAAACATGTTGAAAAATTAGCATCAAAGGGCATTTTCACCAGGACGTTCCACCAGTTAGCCAGAAATTGAGAGAAAATCATATATTAAAATTTTATAAGAATTTTTTATAAAAACATAAACACCAAGAAGAGGCTTTACATTTATTTTCTATTAAACAATTTAAGTGAATAATTAGTGTAATTAACATATATAGTATTTACATTACAATATATATATATGAAACACAGCCGAATTTGTAGCATCACGAAATTGTACACCCAAACTGCAGACTATCTTATGGATATACACTTTATAGCTCCCTTATGTTTAAGTTCACTATTGCCTTGGATGTTTGTTCAAATCCAAAATGAAATTATTAAAACTATCAAATTCTTTCTTGGTTTTATCCTAAAACTAACAACGGCAAAATCTGTCTTTCTGCAACCAGCACACTGCACTCCCATTGACGTTTTCTTTTTTCCTAACTGCCTCAGAACTCCTTTCTTAAGTTCATATAGATTTAGAAATATTTATTGGAGTAAAACATTTAATTGAAGAAGGACAAAAACTCGGTTATTATAAATAGTTTACCAATTCAATACGAAGAAAACGTTGAAGTGTCAGATATTAACAGAAATTCTGTTTTGCATTTTCGATAAACTGCCTAGAATTTGAAATAATTTACTTCAGATATAAAAAAGATAGGACAGGAAATCTAAAGGGAATATAAAAAAACTTATAACAAACTTTTAACATCAATGGAAGTTAATTCTTGGAATAAAGGTGACACAATTATTTGAGGATTTATAAGTATATAGGCAAGGTAAATGACGTCAACCACAAGAATAAACGGTGAGAGCATAGATAACTTTTCAGCAATATCCTATTAAAAATATTGATAACGGTATATAGATTTAAATAAGAATTAGCACTGTCAAAATTTGCGAACCTTTTGCAGCGTACAGTTATCTTATAGTACCAAAACCCATCTTACAGATTAATTTTTGGACAACAAGTCATCAAAAATATTTTTGCACAAAATCATTTGCTAATCAACACAATAATGAGCGTTTAAATAAGTTGCAAGTAGAACTTACATTTACGGTATGGGCTCTGATCTTATCATTTTTTCACCGACACAAAATCAGTTACAGCCAATTTACCTTCAATAACGTTTTGACTATTGAACTTAAACGCCTATGATTTCGGAAAAATGTGTAGGTCAGAGCCCCACATGATCCACACAATATTTGCGATTTTGATAGTAAATGACTTGAGCAATTTTATAAAATATACTCTGACGTGAGTTTATATGTTAAAATCCTCCATTACTTCGTATCGTACCTTTTCACCTCGCTTAAAAAGTATCGTACCTCTATACGTTCCACCTCCCCGGACTTTACCCTGACATGTATTTTGTTAACAAATATGTTGTGGTGAAATTATTCGAATTGGACAGATTAGGGATTTGTGGAGATTTATACACGAGGGACGTATTCTAATAAACAGAATCTCAATTTTGTCAACAGCAATAGAAATATGTGATATATTGAATTGAATGTATTTGCTACAAATTACTTTGCATTGAAAAGATAAGGTTATAAACTATTCCCGCCAAAATTAAAAAACATCGTCGTGCTGCTGTACATACTGCAACATAGCACTCGTAGTAACTCGGGAATCCGCACCGGCTGTACATATTGTATGTCCGACCTTTTAATATCTTTTCATATTGTCCGAGTGAATGGTCCTTTTTAATATAATCTCAATTTAATTTAATATTTTAAAAATCAGTATGGGAGATAAGTTATAGGAAAGTAAGGTGATACCGAGTACGGAACTGGAGGATCGGAAAGTTCTTATTTCTAGTAGGGAGATACTTATGATCACCATATACAAGATTGTACTGTATTTTGAAAAGGAATATGAGGATTGGAGTGTGCGGCTTTCTTGGGAGGCCAATTGAAAATTTCTAACATCTAAGTCCCACTGCTTTGGAAATCATAATTGTTACATATTTTGCCGCAGCTCTTTCCATCCTATGACGCCCCATATATAGCATTGTTTTCATTTCCAGAGTCAAAAAAGTTAATTCATATCAAATTCATATTGCACAGCACCCCATCTAGCCTCATTTTTTAGAATCTAAAATCTATACAAAATCCTTATTGAAATTAAAGTAACAAAGTTCTGTCAAAATTACACACACAAAAAAAATTGAAATAAAGAGGTCATTAAACATGGTTGAAAACAATACTGATTCTACCGGATTCGTACACAGCTGCAAAACATGTATCACACTCGGCTAGCACCTCGCCCAACAGCTTTGTACATGTAGTTGTCCAGTAGAATTCAGTATTGTACTCAACAACCTCATATTATATAAGCTGGCAATATGAAACGTATTAAAATCCCGAAAAAAACATAATAGAAACACAGATCAAGGGGGTGATACCATGCGCGCATCCTCAAAGTTCTGGTAGCGCGCAAATACACTTTATCAAACGAGTCATGTAAGAAAACAAGAAAAAAATTGAATTTGATTTCTTTTGCAAAGAAGATGTCCTTACTTCTAGTTTTAATGTGGAATAACGCGAAATAATATTAGGAAAGGGAAGAGTTGTGACAAGGCATGTGCATGGTATCGGGTTACTGGTTGGTGTCAGCCCGTTCTCACAAGATTGTGTTGGATAGAGTAACAAGCTGATGTTACGTCTCTGCTCTAAAGTTCGGTAATTCAGATCTTGTAGCATTTCAGAAACACTGCTTAATTTATTGTTATCTGGTAGCTGATATTTTAACTTGCTTCTTTTATATTGAGATAGTAATACTTAAAATTGTCAAGAGAAAGCCAAATCGTGGAACAATATAGGTCTACTCTAACTGGGACTGATGATTTTTATATTCTTTTAATTGATAAATCTATTAATTGTATTGTAGGCAGTGTCAGGGATGTCATTGCAATATAATTACTAGGATAAGGCAAGGTCCCGAGACCGGGCCTAGAGGACAACCAGATCCATATATGACGATTGCAAGTTTTGACCTTAAGCGACAACCTGCTGCGAGCGACCATAGGAATGAATTGGTCCATGACCGCAAACACTTGTGTGTCTCCTTAAAATCAAAATAAATTGTATATTTATCCCAGCATTTATATATATCAATAAGCCAAATTGAAGCAGTTTTGAAAAAAATGATTAGCTAGCATTAATGATCTAAGTTGTAATTTAACCCATTACTTCATGAGCATTTTGTGAAAAATGGCTGTTTTCATTGAAAAGTCTCCCGTTACAAGTTCAAATTGCTATAATACTATAAAAACTGCTTCAACACTAATCAAACTTGGCACAAATGTTGACTGGACCATTGCCCTTGCAACAACATGCTCAGGCTTAAATTTTCTGTTACCATGGCAACGAGGGGACATCTCAAAATTGCCAAAAATCACTATTTTGCGTTGATTTTTTCCATCAAAATTGATTTCAAAGTGCTGCAACTTCTCAATGGATTGAGATAGAGTCAAATGCTTTTCAGCGTTGGTTACACGTTACCTTATGATCAATCTGGGATCATTTACAGCCTCTTACAAGTCCAAAATTTTCTTGGCGATGAGGGGGACTCCGCCCCCCTTCAAACCCCCCAAACAGAAGGGGGCACATCCCCCTTCTGGCAACCCCCTGATGTATCTTTTGGTTGGGGGACCGCGCCGAAAAAGAGGTCACTTTTTTAACAACATTTCTCAAACAAAAACAAGTGTTTGGGGCCTAAATAAGGCATTTTTTCATCATTTGAGACAACAAAAAAGGGGGGGAAGGCGTTAAAAGGCGTGTATATGAAATAATGAGTTAACAGAAAATGATGAAAATACTTGAAATTACCCTAAATCGCGTTTTTTCATATTTAAACATGGCCTGTCATATAAATTTGAAGAAAAATTGTTGTTTTGTAGATTTTTTTATTTTTTTCATTAACCCATTACTTCATGAGCATTTTGTGAAAAATGGCTGTTTTCATTGAAAAGTCTCCCGTTACAAGTTCAAATTGCTATAATACTATAAAAACTGCCTCAACACTAATCAAACTTGGCAAAAATGTTGACTGGACCATTGCCTTGCAACAACATGCTCAGGCTTAAATTTTCTGTTACCATGGCAACGAGGGGACATCTCAAAATTGCCAAAAATCACTATTTTGCGTTGATTTTTTCCATCAAAATTGATTTCAAAGTGCTGCAACTTCTCAATGGATTGAGATAGAGTCAAATGCTTTTCAGCGTTGGTTACACGTTACCTTATGATCAATCTGGGATCATTTACAGCCTCTTACAAGTCCAAAATTTTCTTGGCGATATAATAATGGTTAAAGCGGTTTGATAATGCCAGAAAAAAAACAATGGTTCCGCTGGGGCTCGAACCCAGGACCTTCTGCGTGTAAAGCAGACGTGATAACCACTACACTACGGAACCAGTTGAGGTAAAGGGGTGCAAACATTTAATATAATCATATGCAATAAATGTGGTTTTCGGTCGAGAACCAATTTTATTCGGAAGTTTCGGATTCTTCCCTTAAACATTTGCGTCCGCCATTTTCGATTGTGTGGTTGATTTCCTTCGAACTAAATAAATGCAATAACAATATGTTTTTATCCAATATCTAAAATCACATATCATTATCAAGAAATCTATTGAAATTTCAACGTTGTAACAATGTCTTCTAATCAGGTATTCATTGTCTTTCTTTTCATGCACATATTATTTGCTGATTCGCCCCGATAATGTTTCGCCCCAAATTATACAAAATGATTTAAGCACACACGTTTACAATTTTTAAGAAACGTTTCACAGATTTTTCTTTGTAAATTTTTTCATTCAGAATCTTTTGAAACATAAACAGGCTGGTGAAAATGCCCGATCGGGCTTATGACATAAAAAATCATATTTCTACTCTAGAAAAATAGAGATATTTATTTCAATCAACAACTTTGGAAAACAGACTGATGTTCTTATCATGGACTTCGCCAAGGCCTTCGACAAAGTTTGTCACAGCCTTTTAACCCACAAACTGGAGCACTATGGCATCAGAGGCAAGACCAACCTGTGGATTCAGGCTTTCTTAAGCAACCGATCCCAATCTGTATTCTTGGAAGGGGTAACCTCAGATACAGTATCTGTAGAATCCGGCGTCCCACAGGGCTCAGTCCTTGGCCCGCGTCTGTTCCTCTTCTACATAAATGACATCCCAGAGGGTCTCAACGCAGTCGTCCGACTATTTGCAGATGATACGCTGGCCTATCTTGCCATCACAAACAAGTCTGACTGTTCCACCCTACAAGCTGACCTCGACAAACTAGCTGTCTGGGAAGAGAAATGGAAAATGTCATTCCATCCAGACAAATGCCAAGTCCTCACCATCTCCAAGAAAAGAAGCCCCATCTGCCATAACTACACTCTTCATGGTCATACTTTAGAACACGTCACATCAGCTTAATACCTTGGATGCACCCTGAATAATAACCTAGACTGGGGCCAACATATACACAACATTTGTAACAAAGCCAACCGCACCACCAGCTTCCTGCGAAGTAACCTCAACATCGCCTCTACTTCCACCAAAGAAACAGCCTACAAAGCTCTAGTCCACCCCACAGTAGAGTATGCGAGCACTGTCTGGGACCCCCACGAGAAGGGAGACATACACCGTCTAGACATGGTCCAACGACGTGCTGCACGGTTTGTTAAAAACAAGTACCACAACAGGTCCAGCGTCACAGACATGCTTGCAGATCTTGAATGGAAACCATTACAAGAACGTCGAAAGGAGGCCAGACTGATCATGCTCTACAAAGTCATCAACAACAAGGTCGCTCTAGACAATTCACAACTCATACCCTCCAACTCCACATCTACAAGAAATTCACACAACCTAACCTACAAGATACCCTACTGCCGTACACAATACCGTCAACAATCTTTCTTCCCACGTACCATCAAAGACTGGAACAGCCTACCGACAGACGCTACGTCAGCCGGTACAGTTGAGTCATTCCGTACTCATCTGTCCCAACTCTATATCTAAACCACACTCTTGTCCGTTTTTAACCTGCACTGTATATATTCCTCACTATTTTTACTCTTTCTTTCCGTCTTGCGCATTAACCTGGCAGTAAACTTCAGTTAGTTGAAGGTGGCCAGTATATTGGAAGAAGAAGAAGAAGACAATCTGTGTTCGATTATTGAGCACAATATATGACATAAAGAGAAAGAAAAATATTTGGTAACTGTCATTTATGTGAGAATTAAATGGAAAGAAAAATATTTGGTTACTGTCACTTTTGTGAGAATTATTGTCCCCCCTTGGCCTTTATCATGTTTATATATACACAGGGTCTTTCAAATAGAATGGTCTGGAAACATGCTATGGTAACCCTTCTCGCTACAATTAAACATGTCTCGGTATAAATCGGTATAGTTTGCTATACGCAAATTATGTAAGTGTTTAAGAAAAGGGCGAATATTAAATACAACAGCAAAAATGAAAATTTTAACGACATGATGTTATTTAGAAATCTTTAAACTTTTGAAAAAAGGATAAATATTTCAGGAAATGATATTTTATTTTAAAGTCATCTTTGTTAAAAAAACATAGATTGTTTGTTCAGAATATTTGCCGATAAGCGGCGTCATTTTGAAAATGCACCAAATTAAACATCAAATATTTGCAAATAACATTGTGAAATATTATATTATTTTGACATGATACAATTTAATAACATCTTTTCTCTGTAAAATCAATTTCTATTTTGTCTTTGAACAATGCATAAATTTAAAAAAAAGCTCATGAAACTCGGACCTATTTTCAAATATGAGCAGTAGATTTTTACCTTTACACCGGGAACGAAAAATTTCTAATTTCATTGTAAATCTATAAAATTATTACTTTTAAAGTAAAAACTGATAATAATGTAGTCAGAGTTAAGATTTTAGTAATTTTTGGATTGATTTAAAAAACATTTTCTTATAATTTGATTTTTGAATGGTGATGTGCTATGCCATATCACGGTCGGTAGATAACCTGTGACTCGAGACAGCATTTTTCGTAAAATTGGTCTGTCTCCAGACCATTCTATTTGAAAGACCCTGATATACAGTGACACATAATTTTTGAAGTCCTTAGAAAATATGTTACATATCTATCTTCCATATAGTCAAACCCCTGCTGGGGACCTAGACTTGATGCTCGTCAACTGACAAGAATGTTAGTAAAAGAGCTGAATTAAAGAATATAAAAGTAATGGAAATGAGTATATTGTTAAAAACAGGTAAAAAAAACAGAATAGGTATTTTAGGGAGACTTATGTTCAATTCGGCTTACAGCCAGACTGAACTCGGGCCAGACAAGTTTATGATTTCAGGTGGTAAAGCATTCAAGTGGACTATTGTTCTTGGGGAAAAATGAATATTTATAGTAATCAGTTTTAGTTGGGACTTGTTGGAATACATGGAGATGGGATGTTCCAGATGATCTTGTAAGAGGGATGATATACTTTGGGAAAGGGATAGCCACCTGGTCATGCAAGATGTTGTGAAACATGACCAGGTGTTGGTCAATACGCCGAAGAACGATGCTCCTCCATTGGAGGGAAGTCAACATGTCAGTGACACTTGACATACAGCCAAAGTCATGTTTGACCCACCTAGCAGCCCTTCTCTGGACAGACTCTGTCTGGTCAATGAGAGTTGACCAGACCAGATGTAGGGGGACCAGACCGTGGAAGCAAACAGGACGTTTTGGCCCCAAACCATCGGCCCCTGTGCAAAAATTGGACCCTAGACGTTTCGGCCATTTTCCGCGAGACGTTTCGGCCAAAACTTGGTCACAGGAGCTAAAAATAGAAAAAGCTTGTTAACACTCTAGTGGCTGCAGTTTTGATTCAAATATTCTGGAAATTTGTCAGCCAGGAAGGTTGTTTTGATGATTTCTAGGTCAAGTTTGAAGATGGGTTATCTCCGGTCAAAAACTAGGTCACAGGAGCTAAAAATAGAAAAAGCTTGTTAACACTCTAGTGGCTGCAGTTTTGATCCAAATATTCTGGAAATTTGTCAGGAAGGTTGTTTTGATGATTTCTAGGTCAAGTTTGAAGATGGGTCATCTCAGGTCAAAAACTAGGTCACAGAAGCTAAAAATAGAAAAATCTTTTTAACACTCTAGTGGCTGCAGTTTTGATCTAAATATCCTGGAAATTTGTCAGGAAGGTTGTTTTGATGATTTCTAGGTCATGTTTGAATATGGGTCGTCTCCAGTTAAAAATTAGGTTACATTGCCCAAATATGGAAAACCTTTTTAACACACTTAGAGGTCACATTTTTTTACTCAATTGTCATCAAACTTGGCCAGGATGCTTGTCTAAGACATTGCTTTGATGCGGTTGATGGTCAGGGGAGGGATACAGGGCCATCATGGCCCTCTTGTTTAAAGACAGGGGCAACATTTGCCATTTTCCAGATGTCTGGTAGAGTGCTGGACTGCAGTGATTTCTTGAAAAGTTTGGATAATATAGGGGCTAATTCTTTATTGATATTTTTGAGCACAATGGGTCTAATTTGATCAGGTCCTGCAGCCTTATGGGGCTATTAAGTATAAAACAAAATTAATAGGGTATATAGAATAAAGGTATTTGCGCAATAATTTTGAGAAAAATGAAGTTGTTGGATACATTTCTGTTAAGAATTTTACATGCATTACAACATACTTTTTAAGTGACTTCAAAAATGAGCTTTTTAAACATGAAGAAGGGGAAATAATTCTCACAAAAGTGACAGTAACCAAATATTTTTCTTTCCGTTTATGTTATATATTTTGCTTAATAAACAAACAAAGTTTAAAAGAAATCTCTTTATTTTTTTTCTAGAAATATGATATTTAAACAGGTTTTCCGAAGGAAAAACTGGTTATTAGATTGAGGTATGTCGGCGGGCGGGCGTAAACAATTTCTTCTGTGCGCAACTCCTCCTACATTTCTCAATAGATTTTGACCAAACTTTCACAGAAGCTTTGTCATCAAGTGCCATGGAGCACATTTTTTGGGTTCTGTGATTGGATGATATTTGACCTAATTATAGCCCTTTTGTTTTTTTTCCTTATTAAGAATATATAGTGAACAATTTCTTCTGTGCGCAACTCCTCCTACATTTCTCAATGGATTTTGACCAAACTTTCACAGAAGCTTTGTCAACAAGACTTAGTGCCCTGGTGCATATTGTTGGGGGTTTTGTGATTGCATAATATTTGACCTAATTATGGCCCTTTGTTTTTTTTCCTTATATAGAATATATAGTGAACAATTTCTTCTGTGCGCAACTCCTCCTACATTTCTTAACAGATTTTGACCAAACTTTCACAGAAGCCTTGTTATCAAGTGCCCTGGGGCATATTGTCGGGGTTTTGTGATTGGATAATATTTGACCTAATTATGGCCCTTTGTTTTTTTTCCTTATCTAGAATATATAGTGAACAATTTCTTCTGTGCGCAACTCCTCCTACATTTCTCAACGGATTTTGACCAAACTTTCACAGAAGCTTTGTCATCAAGTGCCCTGGTGCATATTGTTGGGGGTTTTGTGATTGGATAATATTTGACCTAATTGTGGCCCTTTGTTTTGTTTTTTTCTAATATAGAATATAAGTGAACAATTTCTTCTGTGCGCAACTCTTCTACATTTCTCAATGGATTTTGACCAAACTTTCACAGAAGCTTTGTCATCAAGTGCCCTGGTGCATATTGTTGGGTGTTTTGTGATTGCATAATATTTGACCTTATTATGGCCCTTTGTTTTTTTTTTTTCCCTTTACAGAATATATAGTGAGCACTTCTTCTCTGCGCAATTCCTCCTACATTATTCATGATTTACATTGCACATAGTTACATTGTTTGTTGCTTGTATTTGTATTTCAACTACAACATATTTATCTACAATGGTGATAATTGAAAACCTGGTTTCGTGGCATTGCCATGTTTCTTGTTGAATTAATGTCATAAATCCGATCGGGCATTTTCACCAGCCTGATAAAGGAAACAAGGTAGCAGCTCAAATAAATAAAACTATGTAGATGTATCGCTTGTCTCACAAAATATTATCACATAATATGTCGCATATATTTTTTGATCCACAATGGCTAAATTTGTTCTTCCACTACTTCATGCTGGTCTCATCACTATTACATTTAATAATAATTTATTTATGCACATAAATTCATAATGATTTCCAGATTTTAGATGAAATAAAACTAAAAAAGATCTGCCAAACATCAATTAACATATATAGTCGAAATTCAAAACATCACACACATTTACTATAGTGCATCAACATAACAGTAATGCCTGGCGTACAGTACAGGTCCCTTATTTGTCTATTTTTTGTCATTTATGTCAAACAATGTCTTTCTATTTACACAGGAGGGGTTTATTGCTGACAAGGTAAAGAAAGCAGAAAAAAGAGTTGATGTATCCCCACATGACACTGAAGCATGGAGTGTCCTTATAAGAGATGCACAGGTATGTTTTGAATGATTTTAAATGAAAGTTATCTAGTTCAATCATAAATTTCAGCAGTGATTTTTCTCACTTTATTGGGAAGAGGCCTTAGCCTCTTGATTTTGGGAAAAATTATCGCTAAAATTGCTGATTTGGGAAATAAAAAAGCTGGTTTAAGTTCAGATCTTTGGGAAAACTGCATGATTTCAAAGAAAATTTCAATTGGGAAGAGGCCTTTTTTCGGAGTCTGTTATATAAGTAGGAAAATCACTGTTCAGGGATTTTTTAGCTCGGCTATTTGAAGAATATGTAGAGCTATCATAATCCCCCAAGCACAGGTGTAACACTTCTGTTTAAGTTTGCATACCACCTCAAATATTTATTAAATCCATGCTATAACTATGCCACAAATATACAGTTAGGCCAATCTGCTCACTGTGCTGTATATGGTAGATACAAACACTGTTACTTAGGTTTTGATGCTGAAATCCTGTATATTGTTAATAGACTAATTAATTTCAAGGTAAAGTAAAACGCAATGATTAAGATTAAGAAAGTGTTCAAAAGATCTGGGTTTTTTTTTCAATTTTCTGATGATTTCATCAGTTTAAAGGCATAGGTTGTTATTAAAAACTATTTAAATAGTGACTGATGATCAAAAACAACTGATCTTGACATTCTATTATTCTAACATTTTGCTGGCAGTCCATTATGAATGATAATTAATGAGAGCTGTCAGACTATAATTATAGATATGTAGTTAATTTATAGAATTACATAATATAACATATTATTCTAGATAAAGCCTATTGAGCAAGCAAGACCTGTGTATGAGAGATTGGTGCAACAGTTCAGTAATGCAGGACGGTACTGGAAGATCTACATAGAACATGAGGTAAGTCCTTTATGGTACAAATAAGATTTCAGTTAATTAAAGATCGGTTTTTTTTTATTGAATTATTCTTTTAATAGAGGTATTAGAGCTCATGTCCTGGTAGTATTATAAAGAATAATTGTATATTTAAAACAGTTCCAGATTTTAAAATCTCCAGGTTGCGCTCAAATATTTTTTAAAACTCTTCAGGCTTAATTGTTACCTTTGTTTGATGTCCAATTTTTTGCACTGTTTCCAGGTGAATTGTTTCTTTATAGCTCTGATACATCTATTTGTGAACTAAATAAAATTTGTCATCACCAAAGGTGAATGTTGTATGAGAGAAAGATCTGGCATTGCTTGCTGTATACATCTGGATGGCTTACATTCAGATTATATGGGGCATATGCACTGAATGTAAGAGGGGCAAGTGTTCTGCATTGTATTTATGATTAAGAAAATGATGTTGACTGACAAAATCATGCTCGGAGTTTAAGCATTCAAGTGCAAGCTTCAAGGTCATGGTTTTCAGTGGTTGAAGGTAAGTCAGACTAAGGGTGTAACGGTATACCTTACACGGTAAGACAAATCATCCGTACGGTACAGGACGGTACGGCATTTTAAACCATTTTCAAGGGGAGTAATTATTTCAGTAAAAATTGCAGAATATAAATCAGGGTCAGTGTCTTTTTAGTCAAAATTTAGAAGCATTTTGGATTTCAGGTGAAAAAATAATCAGGAAAATGTCTTCTTTGACATGCTGATTTATTCTGATGTATTGTTATTTTTGTGAGAACTGACCATCGGTTGAAACTGCCTTTTTGGAAACACTTTTTGGCAAGCTGAAATTCGTGAATAAATGACACACTTTTGCAAATAAACCCCATATTGTTGAATCCAAAATATTGTCAAAACACTGCATTGTCAAAACACTGCTACTGGTCGGGGACCATCAACCGGACACTTTTTGAACATTTTTCTATACAAATTTCATAATTTCAAACCTAGAGACCTGAAAATTTGACACAGTACAGCTAGGTTCTTCTCCTAACTAACAAACTAGTTTATTTCTGATTGTATTGACACTTATATCTGAGGCCTGTCATCGAGGGTATCAAAATTACCTAAATTGTCCACACTACAGTACCATGTGTCCGGACAAATATGTACATGATGTGATTTAATTCAGATAAAAGCTTGGGTGTTGTAATTTTTCATTTTTAACATGATATACAATATATCAGCAGGAAATGCTGAAGTTTTGGATTTTCAATTGTTTACTCTGCAAATGATTATAGGTGGTATATGAGGTCAGGTATAGCACTCTTGATGCCCCAATTTTCAGAGTCAACAATGAACATTCTTGAAATGGACAATAAAATATGACTGTTTATGGAACTTAAAATAAATTTTAATTATTATAGAAGAAACATGCATGTTGATAAGAAAGTGACAGATATTTCGAAAACCACTGAACAAAGAAAAAAACTAAATTAAGCATTTTCGGGCTGTCAGGGTTTGATGGTTGTCTGGTTTTGGTGGTCTCCAACCAGTAGTTGTGTGTAGTTATGGCTACGCTATTTTGTTGGATATTTTCCATACTGTAAACGGATGTATGTAACTGTTAGTAAATACGCTATAACCGTTATGAATGTGTTATAAGTGAATAAAGTAAAATAATTTTCGTGTTCAGCTTATGCTCATTATTACATGTAGTCCGCAAACTGTATTATCCAGTACATCTAACTGTTGAACATTTTAAATTTTTTTATTTAACTTGAGTAATTTATCCAGAATAGTATCACCTTACATATGACAATACAAATGTGAATACCGCCTCCGTGGCCGAGGGGTTAGAGTCGATGACTTCTAACCCAGTTACCTCTCTGGCATGGGTTCGATCCCCGGGAGATGCTTTGGTAGTTTAGCACAAAGGAAGGTAGTCTAGTACTGGTGTAACTCTCCAGGAACGATGGTTAGGAAACTACCCGCCTATACAGGGCTCACGCTGTCGGTCGCCATAGTCGCCATTTGCGATTATTTTATAAGATTGGCGATTTTTTTTGCATTTTGGCTACAAAATCTGGCGATTATTTTTTACTTCCAACAGTGTTTATATATGGTATAAAAATCGATAATGAATGCAGAAGACCCAATTAACACCAGCGGGGTGTATTTAATTGAGTGTCAACTTTTTACCGGTCACGTGCTGCTAACTATATTGCCCGAGGTGATAAAATACATGCGAGATGTATAATTGTATAAGTACTTTAAAGATATTGTCCAGCATTTATAATAGCCATCAAATATCCGTCAATTAGCCACAAAAATCGTTTTAAAATTGATTGACTGGATATTGACTTACCCAAAATTTACCGTGAATTCCAGTAATTGCAAATTTTGATTTTTTTTTTTGTTTTAAGCTACTTGACTAAATCGCCAGTGGAAAACAATGGTAAAATATTTAAAAAGTATTAAATTCCAAATAACTATTTGCACAACAACCAAAATTGTGAATATTTCTTCAGAAAACAGGAAAAATCCGATTGTCACATATTTTCGCGACACCGATAATTTTGATATTTATTTAAAGGTGAAATAAGCTATGTCCTGTTTAAAAATCTTTACTACTATTGCAGTAAATTTGTATAACATTGGTGATGATGATATTTTTCAGTTAACTATTCAGAAAAAAGGCTGCATTCTGTGAATGAGTTTGCAAACTTGTGTTATTTCTATAGGCTAATATGACCTAGATCTACTCCAGTTCTGTGTGAAATGTGGAAATTGACAGTGGTTATAGCTGACAAAATTTGATTAGAACAAACAAAAAAGTTGTGTGATAACAGCATTATGTAAAGTTATAATAAATCTTTAATATTATTGTTATACAGTAATTATACTAATTATAACGTTTTTATTCTGTTCTATAATAACAATTAAAGTTGTGGTTCTATTTTTAAAAAAGGTAGTTATCAATATACACAAATGTATCAGTTTATTAGAGAATCCTTATAAAACTGAAAGATATAAATTTATGTAATGTTTATTTAATCAACTGCTTATGTTGTTAATCGCTAATTCGTGAATAGTCCGCTGAACTTTTGGCTATTATTTTTTTAAGTAAAAATTATTGGCTATTATTTTATTTGAGCCAGTGTGAGCCCTGCCTATATGACTGAAATACTGTTAACAAATGAAACAAACAAACAATACAAATGTGATGATATTTTTATTGTAGGTATTTAAATTCTCTAAGCGTCAGAAAATATTAAAGCCTTTAGCCTTTTACTTTAACTATCAAAATGTCAATAGAAAACATAATAGTGTTACATCACAACTTTAAATTAATTTTGCATAATACATCTGTGTGAAAATATAAAGTTTAAATGGATTACAGACAATTTTCTTTAGTCAACCCGTATCGTGATACGTATCGTATCATGAACCCTGTAGTGTAATACGATCGTATCGTGAGGTGAGCATATCGTTACACCCATAAGTCAGACTCAGTGTCATGCATAATTCCAACTAGACACCTGTTTAGGCTGCTAAAAAAGAAGAATTCTGTTAGTAGATCTAGTAACAATTCTTACTACATAACACAATTACATATTTATTTATTTACTTCTTTCAAATAAATTTACACATATTTGTTGTATAAAGTATATGTATAGTAAAAGATTTATAGATTGGGACGGATGGTGCACCCTTTTGAGATTCAGGCTTTCCAAGTCAGAATCTTTCAAGACTGGAAATTTGGAGGTAGTGGGGGAGGGGGCAAATCACAGCAACAGACAAATTGAAAATATATTTTTAGCTCACCTGTCACAAAGTGACAGGGTGAGCTTTTGTGATCGCTTTTCGTCCGGCGTCCGTCCGTCCGTCGTCCGTCCGTCGTCCGTCCGTCGTCCGTCGTCCGTCCGTAAACTTTTACTTTAAATGACATCTCCTCATAAACCACAAAGCCAATTTCATCCAAACTTCACAGGAATGTTCCTTTGGTGGTCACCTTTAAAAATTGTTCAAAGAATTTAATTCCATGCAGAACTCTGGTTGCCATGGCAACCGAAAGAAAAAACTTTAAATATCTTCTTTTAAAAAACCATAAGAGCTAGAGCTTAGATTTTTGGCATGAAACATGTTCTAGTGAGTGTCTACCAAGTTTGTTCAAATAAAAGCCCTGGGGTCAAAATTGGCCCCGCCCCGGGGGGTCATTGATTTTCCCTATATGCATATAGTAAAAACTTAAAAAATCTTCTTTTAAAGAATCCAAAGAGCTAGAGCTAAGATATTTAGCATGAAACATGTTCTAATGGGTGTCTACCAAGTTTGTTCAAATAAAAGCCCTGGGGTCAAAATTGGCCCCGCCCCGGGGGGGTCATTGATTTTCCCTTTATGCATATAGTAAAAACTTAAAAAATCTTCTTTTAAAGAACTCAAAGAGCTATGGCTAAGATATTGAGCATCAAACATGTTCTAATAGGTGTCTACCAAGTTTGTTCAAATAAAAGCCCTGGGGTCAAAATTGGCCCCGCCCCGGGGGGTCATTGATTTTCCCTATATGCATATAGTAAAAACTTAAAAAATCTTCTTTTAAAGAACCAAAAGAGTTAGAGCTAAGATATTTAGCATGAAACATGTTCTAATAAGTGTCTACCAAGTTTGTTCAAATAAAAGCCCTGGGGTCAAAATTGGCCCTGCCCCGGGGGGTCATTGATTTTCCCTATATGCATATAGTAAAAACTTAAAAAATCTTCTTTTAAAGAACTCAAAGAGCTATGGCTAAGATATTTAGCATCAAACATGTTCTAATAGGTGTCTACCAAGTTTGTTCAAATAAAAGCCCTGGGGTCAAAATTGGCACCGCCCCGGGGTCATTGATTTTCCTTATATGTGCAAAGCAAAAACTTAAAAAATCTTCTTTGAAAAAACCCAAATAGCTAGACTTAAGATATTAAGCATGAAACATCTTTTAGTGAGTGTCTACAAAGTTTGTTCAAATAAAAGACCTGGGGTCAAAATTGGCCCCGGGGGGGGGGGTCATTGATTTTCTTTATATGTGTATAGCAAAGACTTCAAATCTTCTTTGAAAAAACCCGAATAGCTAGAGTTTAGATATTAAGCATGAAACATCTTCTAGTAAGTGTCTACAAAGTTTGTTCAAATAAAAGCCCTGGGGTCAAAACTGGCCCGGCCCCAGGGGTGTCATTGTTTTTAACTATGTGTATAGTAAAAACTTAAAAAAAATCTTCTTTTAAAAAGCCCAATGAGGTAGAGCTTAGATGTTTAGCATGAAACATCTTCTTATGGGTGTCTACCAAGTTTGTGCAAATAAAAGCCCTTGGGTTAAATTGGCCCTGCAACGTTGGGGGGGGGGCCTATATACAGGTGAGCGACCTCAGGGCCATCATGGCCCTCTTGTTTTGTAAAAAGTTGAGAATATTTTTACTGCATTGATGGATTACATTTACTGCCAGTTGGAACTGGTCTGTTTACTGTACATGATCAGTGTACCAGACTGTCTAAAAAAAATAAATTAAAGTGACATTATGCTCATATTTTCATGGTCAAGTTGAGCTAAATTAACTTTATATTTCAAAAGATTGACTGTCAAAATGGTAATTGACCAACAGTTTATATTCAAAAATGTTAAAGGAAACATTATAAATCTGTCTAAAATTAAAAAAGACTGCCCCACTCTTTTTATAAACTAAGCATTATAGGTAAATTCTTATGGATATTTACAGAAATTTCGCTTGAATTTGTGAGTTATTCATTGTTTACGCGAACCTAATTATTAAATTAAAAGGATTTATGGCAAAATCAAAATATTTTTTTACTTTCACCCGTTCACTCACTATACATCCTTGGATAGGCATAATGTCACTTTAAAAGAAAACATATTATTGTGGAACAGCTAATGTCATAATAATATTATAACAGATAATTGTTTTTTAACTTCATCTTGAGATTCAAGAATGTTATACTTTTGGACATAGTTTACATTAAAGCTAAATTCATGAAGTTATGCTCTTTAAAAACAGAACATTGTTGATTGAAACATTTTGTGTTGAAAAGAATTTTTTGAAAAGGAAGTTTATATGTTAATTGTTAAAATATTAACATTTGCATTTTTTTTTCATTTATGACTTGTCTAAACAACCAGTATGTAATCAGGCCAACTTGTCCTTTGTTTTAATATTTTATTATTGTAATCCCTCAAACTTATTTTGGACAGTTCCAAATTCAAATCTAACTTAAACTTAAGTATTAAAAGGATTAAGATTGTTGAAGGATAAATCATGGCAGAACAAGGACAAAAACTAAAATCAATGTTGAAAAGGTTATATTAAAGTATTTTGTTTGAACTGTTTGAGTGTGTGACATTCTGTATGATTGGAAGATGCATGTGATCATTAAATTCAATAAATGTATATTTAAATGATAGTTATAAATACGGTAAATTTGTGAGACAAACATTTGAAAACTTTTGTTTACATTTAGTGACTCTTTTTTAGTATATTTTCTTATATTTTTACATACAGTCCATACTTTCGAAAAAAAAGAAAGATAAATTTTATTATGCACCAAGTCAATTGAAACCCCAGGAATAAGCTCCACAGGAATCTGGGGAATATGTGTAAAGTTTATACCTTTCATCTATCCACATTGAAAGTGCTGGATTTGTTCCGATGATTAATTATAGACAGCCTCATAGTTGTAGAGCATTTAGTAAGGATTTTAACATTTGTCTTAATGGCAGGCTTTTACTGGGCATTTGCTTATTGAATATTCAGAAGTGAGAGTCCCAGCTTACCCCCAAGAAGTAGGGGTGGGGAAGGGAGGGATGGGGCGAGGGGTTACCATTGACTGGTACTTTTATATCTTTTAAAAAATGTGTAGCAAAAGTTTTCATACCTTTGGTGATGAGTTTATTTCAGTGTCGCAACATACAGTCGCGCTGTTTTTTACAAGATATTCAAAGATGTATGCTGACCCATTCACAGGTGAAATTCATACAGTCAAAAAGTAACCTAACTTGGTGCTGATTGCTTTTAATTGATATTGCATTAATGTCCCCTGTTTTGTTGGATTTAATCAATTTTGAATGTAAAAGTTCATATTTTATTCTAACAAAAGTAAAGTAAATAAAGTAGTAAACTAGTGTTACAGCAGAGTTGTCGTTTATAAAAAAACAGGTAATTTTAATATGAAATTCTTATTTTGCTTTAAAGGGTATGAAGCTATATTTTATATTTGGCTCTCTGTAATTTGTGGGATAGTTATTTGTATTTTGAATTTGTAAAAAAGATAAAAATTATATTGAAATTGAAATAATAATGTTTGTCTGTCTCCAGCAAAAGAATGCCCTTTCAGAAAAACATCATTAAACCAGCTAAAGATAGTAATGAAATGAATCATGTGTGTTGAGTAAACAGATACTTTTTTTATAAAAACTTTCATAAACTAATCAAAACTGACCATATCAATACGTTTATTAAACATTACACATTTATTAATATTAGTATCGTTTATTTTGCCATTTATAGCTTTACACCCTTTAAAGATTATTGCGCAACTATACAATGTAAAAAATTACTTGAGTTTGGTGTACAAATTTCTTTGCTTCTTCATGTTGCAGTTCATTTAAAGATGAAATAATTTCCTCAAGTTAGTGAGTTTCCAGTAAAGCTATTTTACTTTTATTATTTCAGCACTTTCGGCATTTAAAGCTAAATTCATTTAGGAACTACATGTATTAGAGAGAATTTTTTTATATCACAGTATTTTATAATTGTGAAATGAGCCATTATATTTTATGATTTTATAAACTTCCATAAGATTAGCTACTAAGAAATATTTAAACTGTTGATAGAATAATGTTTTGTTATTTTTGGTTAAGATGTTTGTTTTTTATATCCTTTCAGCTGAAGTCAAAGAATTATGAAAGAGTGGAAAAGGTAAAAAGAAACAATTCTAGTGATTCAAATTTTTTGATTGTTATGTGATTGAAAAGATAATTTCCAATGTAAGAATGTGACAGATTGCTGATAAATTGTTTAAACTTGCTCAGTTTGGGTGAAAGGTTTGAGTCATGTATAGGTATGTTCCTGAACCAATCAGTATTCATGGGGGATACACTCCAAATATTTATGCCAAATTGGCATTTACATGTACTTCCAATCATATGATACCTATGTAAGTTGACAATTTAAAACTTGTTGTTATACTAAACTAAACAGCTGGATGCACAATTTTTGCATTAAAATTTCTTAAAAGTATTCATGGACCCATCTGAATTCAAAGCAAGATGTGTCCATTATAAAAGATCAAATGTAAAGGCTTTACCATTAGGCTAGCTCTAAAATGTCCAAAAGCAAAAACATACATCATTTGTGACACAGAAAATAGAAATTTGAATTAATTAATAGTTATAATTTTTTTAACTCGACTTTTTTATGCCACCGCAGCATCTGCGATGCGGTGGCATATAGCGATTCACCTGTGTGTGTGTGTGTGTGTGTGTGTGTGTTTGTTTGTTTGTGTGTGTGTGTGTTATATAGATTATATAGTGAACTTAAAAAATCTTCTTGTGAAAAACCACTAGTCCAATTTAAACCAAACTTGGCAGGATTGATCCTTGGGTGAAGGGCTTCCAAAGTTGTTCAAAGAATTTCATTCCATGCAGAAATCTGGTTGCCATGGCAACCGAAAGGAATTATAAGAATAAATTTAAAAAATCTTCTTGTAAAGACCCAAAAGGCCTAGAGCTTAGATATTTTGCATAAGGCATTGTCTGGTAGACCTCTACCAAGATTGTTCAAATTATAGCCCTGGGGTCAAAATCGGCCTTGCCCCAGGGGTCATTGATTTTCACTATATGTACATATAGTAAAAACTAAAAATACCTTCTTGTAAAGACCCAAAAGGCCTAGAGCTTAGATATTTTGCACAAGTCATTGTCTGGTTCAAATTATAGCCCTGGGGTCAAAATGGGCCCCGCCCCGGGGGTCCTTGATTTTCATTGTATGTACATATAGTAAAAACTTAAAATACCTTCTTGTTAAGACCCAAAAGGCCTAGAGCTTAGATATTTTGAATAAGGCATTGTCAGGTAGACCCTTACCAAGATTGTTCAAATTATAGCCCTGGGGTCAAAATCGGCCCCGCCCCAGGGGTCATTGATTTTCACTATATGTACATATAGTAAAAACTTAAAATACCTTCTTATAAGGACCCAAAAGGCCCAGAGCTTAGATATTTTGCATAAGGCATTGTCTGGTACACCTCTACCCAGTTTGTTCAAATTATAGCCCTGGGGTCAAAATCGACCCCGCCCCAGGGGTCATTGGTATATGTATATGTATATAGTAAAAACTTACAGTAAAAACTTTTAAAAAAATTCTCAAATAATTGACAAATGCTAGAGGTAAGATATTTTGCATGAAACATTGTGTAGTGAAGCTCTGGCAAGATTGTTCAAATTATAGCCCTGGGGTCAAAATTGCCCCCGCTCCGGGGGTCATTGATTTTCAATATTTACATTTAGTAAAAAATCAAAAAATCTTATTGTCTTAAGGTACAAGGCTTAGAGCTTTAATATTTGTTATATGATATCATCTAAAGGTAGACTACCAAAGTTGTTCAAATTCTGCCTCTAGTGTCAAAATTAGCCCCGCCCCGGGGGGTTATAGGTTTTCCTAATATATGAATATAGTAAAAACTTAAAAAATCATCTTCTCTAAATTGACAAAGGCTATAGAGGTTAGATATTTTGCATGAAACATTGTGTAGTGAACCTCTAGCAAGATTGTACAAATTACAGCCCTGGGATCAAAATTGGCCCCACCCCCAGGGTCATTGATTTTCACTATGTACATATAGTAAAAAATTAAAAACTTCTTGTCTGAAGGTACAAGGCTTAGAGCTTTGATATTTGGTATATGATATCATCTATAGGTACTCTACCAACGTTGTTCAAATTTTGCCTCTAGTGTCAAAACTAGCCCCGCCCTGGGTGTTATAGGTTTTCCTTACATGTATATAGTAAAAACTTTAAAAAATCATCTTCTATAATTGACAAAGGCTAGAGGTTAGACATTTTGCATTAAACATTATGTAGTGAACCTCTAGCAAGATTATTCAAATTCAAGCCCTGGGGTCAAAATTGGCCCCACCCCTGGGGATCATTGATTTTCAGTCATTATGTCATTAAGTAAAAAATTAAAAATCTTATTGTCTGAAGGTACTAATCTGATAGTAACAGATAGGTAAGTGATCTATGCATTATGGCAATCTGTATAGAAACAAAAAAAATTGTGTTCCTACATTACTATTTAGTGTAATGCGGTGGCATGGCATTTTTTACAAATGCAATCTTGTTTTTTTTTTTTTTTTTTTTTTTTTTTGAAAAAAAAAAATTGAAAAAAAAAAGTAGAGGTATTGTTATTATAGTCGGGTCGCCGTTGCCGTCCGCAAACTTGTACCTGGATCATAACTTTTTTATTTCTTGGTGTATTGTCTTCATACTTGGCCACAACAACCCTTGGGACAAGACCTTTCAGTAGACCACACTAACCTTGACCTTCATCCATAAATGACCTTGACCTTCAAGGTTAAAAGTCCAATTTTTGCTTGTTCATGCTGTTATTGGCTGTAACTTTGTTATTTTTGAATGGATTGTCTTCAAACTTGAACATAATAATCTTCAAGGATATCCCTTAAAAATAACCTGACAGACCTTGACCTTCACTCATAAATGACCTTGACTTTGAAGGTCAAATTATTGAAATTTTCATGTTTTTGGCTATTATTGGCTGTAACTTTGTTATTTTTGAATGGATTGTCTTCAAACTTGAACATGATAATCTTCAAGGATAACCCTTAAAAATAACCCGACAGACCTTGACCTTCACTCATAAATGACCTTGACTTTGAAGGTCAAATTATTGAAATTTTCATGTTTTTGGTTATTATTGGCTGTAACTTTGTTATTTTTGAATGGATTGTCTTCAAACTTGAACATAATAATCTTCAAGGATAACCCTTTAAAATAACTCGAGAGACCTTGACCTTCACTCATAAATGACCTTGACTTTGAAGGTCAAATTATTGAAATTTTCATGTTTTTGGCTATTATTGGCTGTAACTTTGTTATTTTTGAATGGATTGTCTTTAAACTTGAACATATTAATCTTCAAGGATAACCCTTAAAAATAACCCGACAGACCTTGACCTTCATTCATGAATGACCTTGACTTTGTTTTGGCGGTAACTGACTGTAACTTTGCTATTATTGAAGGGATCAACTTCATATTATAACAGAACATACTTAAAGACAAGACCTTGTTGTTTATCTTGACTTCACCACATGACTCCACCACCAGACTCCACGTGACACCACCATGTGACTACACCACATGACTCCACCACGCGACTCCACCACGTGACTCCACCACGTGACTCCACCACGAGACACCACCACGTGTCTCCACCACGTGACTCCACCATGTGACTCCACCACGTGACTCCACCACGTGACTCCACCACGTGACTTCACCACGTGACTCCACCACGTGACTTCACAACGTGACTCCACAACGTGACTCCACCACGTGACTTCACCACGTGACTCCACCAGGTGACACCACCATGTGACTTCAAATTTCAAATTCTTTTTATATATATATAAATTAGTAAATTTATATATATAAAATATATAGACAAAACTAATGTGACAAAACAGAATGATTAAATTTATAAAAAAGGAAACGTTAATATTTTGTTCAAACATTTCTTTGTTTGCTTTTAGAGAAAGTAAAAAGTCGAGCGTTGCCCCCGCCCGGCGGTGGCTCTTGTTGTTTGCAATCTTGAGCTCTATATGAGTTAAGATAAACACTTTTTCATTTTGGGGTCATTTTTGGGCAATAAAAGGATTATTCTGGTAAAAAACAGTGAGCAAATGTTTTAAACCTATATACACAAATTGCAAAAAATTATATTTCCAATCCTGTCATGTAAAAAAAAAACAACCCACAATAGGGTCCCTTTAATAAATCTGATTTTAAATTAAACTGTAGGCATTAAGCTGATGTATTTTGTTTGTATTTTCAGTTGTTTCAGCGTTGCCTCATCAAGATTCTCAACATAGATCTATGGAAGTTGTATATAACATATATCAAAGATACGAAGGGCAAACTACCCTCATACAGGTCTCCAATGGCATTTCAATCATCATTTTTGCTATGTATTCAAATGTTATAAAAAAAGGAAATGTATTGTTCATTTAAAGGCTTTAATCCTAATGTCTAAAAATTATTTATTGTTTTAATATGTCAAGTTTGTTGCTGAAAAAGTTTTTAGCTTGACTATTATATTTATATTATACTTGAGCTTTCATACTCATCGGGTGTTGATGCCTGTGTATATGTAAGCAGCACACTTGGTTAAGTTTTTTGTACCTATCCACCTTTTCCCTACACCATTTTAGTAATAGATTAAATTTTGAAACTTGAATCTTAATATGATCTCACAGTCACTTTTAAATAAGAGTTCATATATGTATCTCTTATAATGGATTTTTGCAAAATTATACCCACTTTTTACTGAAAATTTTGTTACAGTTTTTAGGATTTTGTGTATTGATTTTTGTACCACCTTCATTTTTTACTGAATTTTTCGAGCTGTTTATTTGTATCCTGAAATATTTATTTATTGTTACCATCTTCATTTGTATGGAAGAGTATTATTCTTTTGAAAGATAAAAATGATTCCTCCTTTTTTGACCAAGATTGAATTGAAGTTGGTGTTCCATCCCACATTTTCACTGACCTCTTTGTGATGTTGCTTTGGACATGAATAATAATATTTGACGTTTATATCCACTTTTAAGGTTAAAGGCCCATTATGCTTCAGAAATGCTTCCAAGTTGATTTCTCAAAAACTTTATTTTGGGTGAACTTTTCTTGTTTCCAAAAAGCTATTTGTTGGCAATTTATCTGAACCATCTTTTGCTTCGGTTTATTTTTGGCAATTGGCACATTTATTGTGATTTAGTATTTTGAATGGAAGTCAGAATATGACCCTTGTTTACATTTTGCTAATTTTATGACAAATTATTTCACATTAAGTTCTTCTTTCTTCAGGTAATATGCAAATAACATGCTCTAAAACCATTATATAAACTTTATACAGTTCATGTCTGCCCTTTTTAAAAACATTAAAAATAATCTGAGGCATAATGTGCATAAGGTGCTGTTAAAAGTTGGATAATTACCACATTAATTCCTTAATTTGAATAATTCCTTTATTAATGCAAAGTGTAAATCTTTAAACAACTACTGCAGAATTGTGTTGAGTTTAAGACTGAACTGATTTATTCAAAATTCAGTACTTGGAATAGTTGAGCATGTTGTCTTATGGACACCTCTTGTTTGTTTTTGATATTTAAGCTCAAATAATGAAATTAATGATTTTTGCTTTATATATGTATTATATACATGTGTATATGCAGAAAAAGTTCAAATGATTATTTGGTTAATCAAACTCGTGTAAAATCTGATATATATTTTCAGGGGAGGTTATTTACTTTTTCTAAATTTTATCTTATTGTAAAAAGAAAGGTAGAAAATATTTTTTAAGATATCAAAGAAAAGTAAAATTTGAATATTTTGCATTACAAGTAGATGGATTTATTTCTTATTTCAGTATTTATAGTACCAGTATTTTTATGTGCATTGATTATTTCGTCAACTTTGTTCAGTAATGAAATAAGCTTATTCAAAATTACTAGGAGTTACAGAAGAGTTATTACAAAAGTATTATAACAGAGTGATGCTTATTTTTATATATTTTACGGAATGACAATTTGAGTAAGATATTTTGATTATGCTATACTCTTTTCAACTTATTTACAATATGATAAGAATTATGAATGCACATGTAAAAAGTCAATTAGCACATTTAATCTGAGGGGTTTTTTATTCTTGGAAGACATTAGTTATATATTCTTTGAACATATTATTATTTTTTTTAATTTATATAAATTATAATTATTTAAAAGTTATGTATATTTTTTGAGAACATAAAAGAATTCAGAAGTTTGTAGAATTTGACGTATTCTTTTGTAGTGAGAGATTGTGGAATGTGATTTGAATGAAGAATTGTTTGTTTTTTTGGTGTAATTGAAATAAATATTTCAATTGACATGTGCAATGTTTACATGATATTTGAATGCTCTTATATAAAAGACAAATCTTCCAACCCTCCCTATCCTGTCATACTCTTTCTATCTTTCTTACTTTCAAAACAGGTAGGTATAGCATTGTTCTTCAATCCAGGCAAATTCATCAGTTTTAGAAATCTATAGCTTCATGTTTTCAATATTTTTTTAATCATGTTAATAGCGGTATTAAAATGTAAAAAGTCCTTGTTAACATATAAATGCCTTTCTGTTTGTATAAGTATCATCCTGAAGTTTTTCACAATGTGGTCTTGTATGTCGGGTAAATTCATATAAGGTTACTCATATTTACATAATGCATATATGTAATAAATTCAAAGGAATGCATATTTGACCAAACAAGATTGAAAACTTTTACAAAACATTGTGATTCGTCCATCAGGTTTTTTCCTGGCAAAATTATGTTATATAGAAAAATTGAAATGAAACTTAACAACTTTATCGAGCAATGACTGGAACCCACTATATGAATAGACTGTTTAATGTTGAATGCCAAAGTTAGATTATGAACTTTCAAAAAAAGGGAGGAATAAGGAAAAAATAGAAAAATTAACAAATTGCAAATTGGAATTTTTTCTTCATTAATATTTTCTCTTGTGGTCTTACTGGCCCTTTGTTGCTTGCTGCAACATTTCATGCCTTTGCAAGCAGTATAGAGTTGAGGCCAATTTGGCGTAATTTTGCAGTCTGAACATGCTATAAACTATTTGCAAATAGATTTGTATAACTTTGTTATCGGAATTCTTTAAACTGATCCAACAGTTCCTAATTCCCCTCCATCATATTAATTTTTTTATATGTAGATAATGCATAGTATGTTATCTTATATTGTAATACAGGGAAAAGATGGCTCAAGCATATGACTTTGCCCTGGACAAGATGGGGATGGATATTATGTCACAGTCTATATGGCATGACTATATAATGTTCCTAAAGTCTGTGTAAGTAGTATATACTTTTAATCTTACCTGCTTAGCTCAATAAGGAGGGCATTTATAATCAAAGAGTCATTGATTTGACTGGACAGACAAAAGTTCTCCAAACATATTGATCTTCTGACATTGTGTCAAATGGTCATTGGTCTCACGTAGGTGATTTATAAATCATGTGGGATTTGTAGCTGGACAGTTGTGTGGATATTGGTAATACTAATACTAATTGATTATCCAGGAAAGTCCCATAGTGAACCAACCACAGAGATAAGACCAAAACATGTTGGGACCAGCCTTAAAGCTAGAAAATTGACATTATTATTGTAAATGAGATATGCAGGGGACTTTTTGCCTGAGTGGTTAGTTCCACTGGCTTCAGTCATCAACAATGTAGGTTGAATTCTGTCTGACACTAGATTATATCCACCATGCATGCTAATTGTTAGTGATTCAATCATTAAACTCTCGTGTGCATTTGTACCTAAAATAGTAGTGTATCTATAGAGGCACCTGAAATCTCTCCGTCAATTAAAGTAACAAAAATTGAATGCCACTGTTATTTAGTACATCATATTTCTTCTTGCTGTTATAAGAAGCTATGATGACACAGTTTGCTTATTTCAGTGATGCAGTGGGATCCTACGCAGAGAACCAGCGCATAACAGCTGTACGTAAGGTGTTCCAGAGGGGCGTGGTCAACCCCATGATCAACATTGAAGCTTTGTGGAAAGATTATGGAGCATACGAAAATGTAAGTTACTGTATATTCAAACTAGTTTCAATATACATCATAACATACATCATAACATGTATAACAGATATTATAAATACTTGATGAAGAAATCAAATATTTATCAGGCAATGGTTATGCAGCAACAGTGTTTATACAAAGCCCAATAACCTATCCAGAGTCTATAACTGATCTGTTGTTGTTCTTTGTTTGAAATAAAAAGTATAAGTGAATAAAGTAGAAGCAGCCATGTATATTATTTATATAAATGCCACAATTGCTCAATGAAAGTTAATGACATCCATTTTATACATGTATATTTTATATCACCAGAGTATAAACCCTCTGATAGCTAAGAAGATGATCGAAGATAGAGGGCGTGACTATATGAATGCTAGACGAGTATCGAAAGAATACGAGGTAGTTACAAGAGGTCTGAACAGAAATCTACCATCTGTATCTCCCACAAATACACCTGAAGAAGCCACTCAGGTAAGATAATTTAATCTTTACCATAATAACTTTGTGTACTAACTACTATACTTGTTGATAAATATTAAATACTTCAATCAAATTGAAATCTAAAGGAAATGATCATTGAGTTGTTCTTTAAAAAAAATGAAATCAAATTGATCCTGTAAACAATGCTAAAAATAGAAATATTGTTCAGACAAGCTGATGTTCAACTGGAGTAATTAACCAGGACAGTCTTGCCTTGTTTGTCACTCTCTGGCATATTCATTTCTTAGGTTAAATCCAGTTAAGAAAATTATATTATTTATGTTTTACAGTTTCATTGATGTATTTCTTACCTTTTGAATAATTGCAGGTTGAGCTATGGAAGAAATATATTGCCTGGGAAAAGGGTAATCCTCTTAGGACTGAGGATCAAGCCCTTATAACAAAAAGAGGTGAGTGTTGGACATAAAGTAATATGATGGTAACCTTTTTTGTGACTTACTTGCCTGAAATTTTGTTACTTGTGCATATTTCTAAGCAGAATGGACACTTGTAGCTATTGAAGAATAAATCACAAGAAAATATTTACACAATCTGAATTTTTAGTTTTGATGACTAACTTTGTTGCCATTAATAAAAAGGTGAATTAAGATGTTGTACTAAGTTCAAGTTTGTATAAGAGACTATTTTAAACTTTTACAAATGTGACCACTTAATCTTACATCTTGGTAAAATTTCTTTCCAGTTATGTTCGCATATGAGCAGTGTCTACTTTGTTTGGCTTATCATCCCGATGTTTGGATAGAGGCAGCTAACTACCTGGAACAATCTAGTAAAATACTGACAGAGAAAGGGGTAAGCTAATTAAACACTTATTATACTATATAAGAAATACTACACACCTCTGACAGCTTCCAGGAATTATAGTGACTGACCATCAGATGGAAGGTTGTTGTCAGTTAACCCTTTACCTGCTGAATTTCTCAAACAGACTTGTCCAGCTTCCAATTTTTGGTACTGTTCATAATGATTTTGAAGGATATTGAGATGAAAATTTGATCTTGGTCAGCCAGTAGTATAGACCCTGTTCAGACTGCGCTAAAGTGCAGGCTGACCAGGTTCTTTAATGTTTACTAGGTTCCAGCAGGGTTGAGCTGAAGGGAGGTCACTATGATATTAGCTGGACAGAAGTGGAGTGTACTTATTCTGTGATTATTAAGGACTGGTGTTCTATATATAAGATGATATAATTGTAGCCAGCTCTTCATATTAGCTTTAAAAAGTGCTCCATGGACTTTGACATATTATTGGTTGTTATTATCCCCCGCCGTAAAGGCTGCGGAGGATATAGAAATAGTCTCCGTCCGTCCGTCCGAGATTTTTGTCCGGAGCATATCTCAAAAAGTATTTGAGGTATCAACTTGTAACTTCATAGGTAGATAGACCTCATTGAGGAGGAGTGCAGTGCATAAGAATGATAACTCTACCCTGCATAATTTTTCAGTTATTGCCCTTTGTTATTTTTCAAAATTGATTTTTGTCCAGAGCATAACTCAAAAAGCCTTTGAGATATCAACATGAAACTTCATAGGTGCATAGATCTCACTCAAGGGGTGTGCAGTGCACAAGAATGATAACTCTACCTTTCATAATTTTTGAGTTATTGCCCTTTGTTATTTTTCATACTTAATTTTTCACCTGAGTGGAGCATAACTCAAGTGTTTGAGATGTCAACATGAAATGTCATAGGTGGATAGATCTTATTGAGGAGGAATGCTTTGCGCAAGAATGATAACTGTTCCCTATATACTTTTTGAGTTATTGCCCATTGTTCTTTTTATACTGAAATCAGCTTGTCCGTCCGGCAGTCCGGCGGTTTTTCCTTGTCCGCCCAATAACTTAAGATTCCTTTGACCTACAGTCTTCATATTTGGTATTTAGATTGGTCATGGTTAGTAGATGATCCCTATTGATTTTGAGGTCACTGGGTCAAAGGTCAAGGTCACAGGGGCCTTGACTTCTAAAAGCTTGTCCGCCCAATAATTTTAGATTCCTTTGACCCACAGTCTTCATATTTGGTATTTAGATTGATCATGGTTAGTAGATGATGCCTATTGATTTTGAGGTCACTGGGTCAAAGGTCAAGGTCACAGGGGCCTTGACTTCTAAAAGCATGTCTGCCCAATAACTTAAGATTCCTTTGACCCACAGTCTTCATATTTGGTATTTAGATTGGTCATGGTTAGTAGATGATCCCTATTAATTTTGAGGTCACTGGGTCAAAGGTTAAGGTAACGGGCCTTGACATCTAAAAGCTTGTCCGCCCAATAACTTAAGTTTCCTTTGACCTATAGTCTTGATAATTGGTATTTAGATTGATCATGGTTAGTAGATGATCCCTATTGATTTTGAGGTCACTGGGTCAAAGTTCAAGGTCACAGGGGCCTTGACTAAAAAAAGCTTGTCCGCTCAATTGTTTAAGAATGCTTTGGTCAACATTCTTCATATTTAGTATTGAGGTTATTTATGACTAGTAGATGACCCCTTTTGATTTTAAGGTGACGTCAAAAGTCAAGGTCACAGGGATTTTAATATAATAAGCTTTTCTGCTCAAATGCTTAAGAATGCCTGTCCGCAGTGTATTGATTTCCACATTTTAAGCATGTAGAATACATAACTTAGCAATGCACTGGCTTAGTAACCTCAGATTTGGCAGGGAGGTTGTCCTTGAGCTTTAAATGGCCACTGTTGATTCTGACAAAGTGGTATGCGGGGGTATTCACGCCATGGCACAGGCAGTTCTAGTTCATACTATTTTGTCCAGAGCATAACTCAAAGAGTATTTGAGGTATCAACTTGAAACTTCATAGGTGGATAGATTTTACAGTGCAGCACACAAGAATGATAACCTACCCAGCATTATTTTTCAGTTATTGCCCTTTGTTATTTTCAGCCATCAGTATTCACATAGGTTTCAAATCTGTAATCACTTCAGTCATCAGTTTTCATTACCAAAAGACCTCTTTAGATTGAATTATTCTGCTCTACTACATATACATTCTTACAATGAGCAAACACATTCGGCAGGGGCTGGCCATGTTGACATGGCTCTTGTAAATTTAGTGATGATATATGCCAAATGTATCTGCCTCTTGACCTATGGGCCATGGGTTTGAAACCTTCTATGTCACCACTCTGATTCCACATATTAAACCATTTCTAGTTAATTCCAGGAAATAGACCTTATAGTTGTTCTAATTAACTGCAAGTTATTTTCACAATCAAGCTTACATATATGTTTACACTAAACTGACTTCATGAAACCATTGTCTCTTTATCAAATAAATAAAAAAAAAGACAATGTTTTTAGTTAATTATAAAGCAAAGACTTGATGACTGCATTGAATAAATGACAAGTATTATTTCAGGATCAGAATGCTGGTAAAATGTTTGCTGACGAGGCGGCAGCCTTGTTTGAGAGAGCTATCACAACTACAATGAAGGGAAACATGCTGATATACTTTACATATGCTGATTTTGAAGAGGTAATCATTTATAACTTCTGAAGTTATAACCTGAGTGCAGAGTTTCAGTTCAGTTTAAAACAGTACATATTTAAATAAACTAGTATTTCTTGTAATGTTGGGGTTGAGTTACATCAAGAGATAGATTGTTTGAAACAGTTCATTATTTTCTATAAATATGATCTATAAAACAAGAGGAGGCAAGAATAGCTCTTAGCTAGAATAATTATCTATATTAAAATGTGGATAGTTGTAGATTTTTCACAAAAGTACTATGGCTGTAGTAATTTATGAATTCAAATTAAGTCAAATTCAGTTAAATAGAAACATGCATTCGTTAAGACTTCATTTAACTTATTAAGTTTTTACACTATGTTTCAAATTTTAATTTCAGAGTCGTATGAAATACGAGAAGGTTCACAGTATTTATAAGCGATGTGTAGCAGTAGAATCTCTAGATCCGTCACTGGTATGTGTTTGTTATACTTAACCTTTAACTGGCTGTGACCAAAAGGTCATTAACCTTAGTTCACCACTATAAAGTCAGGCCAGTCTGCTTAGCCATCCAAAAATGTGACATGATTTAGAAATTAGCAAAATGCTAAACCCATCTCTGATTTATCATTACCATCGTAGAAATTTGCGACCCTCTCAGGTAAAAAATCTCTAATGCTCACCTGAATAACATGGTGCCTATTGAAAGGGTTAATAATTCTAAAGATTTTGTACAGATTTTCTTAACACAATTTGCAGGTGATATTTGATGAAATTGATTGACTTAAGTTCTATTTACAGTCAACCAGAGTTACACATAAACCAGTGCCATGCCAACTTCTGTCTTGAATTAGGAACTGTTCTTGAAAATCTAAAGATTTCAGATTTATCATCCAGCAATATGAAATCAAGTGATAAGCCTAGATTGGCTTGTTTTGGATTCTGATATTGATATTATAGAACTGACATAACTGCTATAACTCAAAGGGTAATTTATAACATCGTACAAATGTAAAGTGTGAACGAATTTCAGAAAACATCTTACATGTAGCTGAAATTTTGTTTTTTCACAGAAAAGTGAATGTAAAAGCTGAAGACATATTCACATATTGCTTTGATTACAGGTTTACATACAGTACATGAAGTTTGCACGACGAGCTGAAGGGATAAAGTCAGCCAGACAAGTGTTCAAATTAGCAAGAGAAGATAAACGCTCCACCTATCATGTGTTCGTTGCAGCTGCCCTAATGGAATACTACTGCAGTAAAGTATGTATTTACTGTGAAATCTTATTATCTAGATGTTGAACGGCCTTAGAGATTGCCTATATTCCCTATATCTAAATATATCGGAAAATAATTTTTCTGCAAGATCTAAGGCTTGTGTATATGCATAAAATATCATTAGATATATAAGAACTCTGTGTGTAAGACTGTACATTCCTGACATGTTTTAGTATTTCAAATAGAAATGTATATTAATTATTCAATTTGTAAATATCATTTTAGCAAAAAGGATCCCTGTCATTAAAATAAAAGTCATTCTTGATAGTTAGAAATTAATGTTCAAAAAGTTGCTTTTATTAGTGATATGTGTATTATATTGATAAAACATATTTAAAGGTTACCATAATAAGAAGTTTATTGATAGAAGTATGTTTATTTCAGGAAAAAACTGTAGCTTTAAAGATATTTGAGCTTGGTTTGAAGAAGTTTGGAGACGTAACAGATTATATCCGGGCCTATGTGGACTTCATGTCACACTTAAATGGTAAAAAACATTTTATATCTTAACTGTCACTATTGATTTTTTTCTGCTTTATTGAATAGGGCTGATCATGAATCATGTACATTGCTTTTACTATCCTGATACCAAGTGGCGTCACACAACTTCAAATCACTTGTCTTTCACAACTGTAAATTGGAATCCAGTCTGAGACTTTGGATTCTTTAATGTGAGAAAGCTATCCAGCTAGCTTATAGTTCTACTTGGGTGCCTGTTTGTACCTAAAATAATGCATGAAGACACCTGAAATCTTCATCCAACAGTAAAGTCACCATATTACTTTTACAGTGTTGGTGTGACTTAAAATCAGATTTAAAAAAAAAACAAAAACAGAAAACAAACCCTGATACCAAGCAGTTACAAACTTTTTGCCCTTTTTATCATACTCTGATAAGAACCTTTGACACGATAATGAAGATACGCCAATTGAAGATTGTATTTTGGTTAATAAAAATAATACAAATGCGCATGTATTTGCTTTGTATTACATATCTCACACAGGCTAGATGAATGTATTTCTTACATAAAAGATTATCTCCATCTCCTTGGGTATTGATTTCACAGCAGGGATGGATTAAGACATGGAAGCTATATTAAGTAAATGGAAACATTACAAAAAAAAACTTAAAGAAAAAACAAAAGGCATTTTGTTACTGCTTATTGCTAGACGTTATACAATAATATACTTTACACTGATAAAGTTGATGTATTTTTATTGTAATATTGTAGAGGATAATAATACCAGGGTACTGTTTGAAAGAGTTTTATCTTCTGGCCAGATACCTCCTGAAAAGTCTATGTAAGTAGAACATTACATCATTGGGCCTCTCTCTCTGGAATTTGGCTTCAAATTTATTAAGAACAAGTTATAATAGGAGACCTGTAGTTATTATTTAACGGTCTGTTTATCTGTATGGCCAGTCTGATTTTTCTTATATTATAGGGAACGTCAGTCTTATATATAACAGATATTTCTAGGATACTAAAAGGATGGAACTTGTTTATCATTGAAATAAACATCAACTTCTAATGAATTATGAATTCTAAAATGGAAATTATGGGACTGATCTTATACTCTTTATATTGGGCAAAAATGGCAGGAGTTATTTAAAAATCTAATTTTTAGTGTGTATGGAAACTATGGTGAATTACATAGTAACTTTACGTTTACAACATCAGTGTTAAAGAACTTGTTTTAGAATATAAAGCTTCTCACTTTTGTAATTTAATAGTATGTTTAAGTTTATTTCCAATAAATGAACCATGTGAACAATTTGAGTATTAAGTATGAATTATTATACCCCCAAAAATGAAGTTTGGGGGGGTATATAGGAGTCACCCGGTGGTCGGTTGGTCGGGCAGTCGGTCGGTCGGTCCAGACGTCTGTTGCATTTTCCTTGTCCGGAGCATAACTTGAAGACTAATGGTTGGAATTCAATATAACAACATACAATGGTCAAGCACATTGAGAGGAAGTGCAGTGCACAAGAACCATAACTCTATCTTGACTAATTACAGAGTTATTGCCCTTTGTTACTTTTCCTTGTCCGGGGCATAACTTGAAAACTACTGGTTGGAATTCAAAACAACTTCATACAATTGTCAAACACAATAAGGGGAAGTGCAGTGCACAAGAACCATAACTCTATCTAAAGTAATTACAGAGTTATTGCCCTTTGTTGCTTTTCCATTGCTTTTTTTTTGTCCGGACCATAACTTGAAGACTAATAGTTTGAATTCAATAAAACTACATACAATGGTCAAGCACATTGAGAGGAAGTGCAGTGCACAAGAACCATAACTCTATCTTGACTAATTACAGAGTTATTGCCCTTTGTTACTTTTCCTTGTCCGGGGCATAACTTGAAAACTACTGGTTGTAATTCAAAACAACCTCATACAATTGTCAAACACAATAAGGGGAAGTTCAGTGCACAAGAACCATAACTCTATCTAAAGTAATGACATAGTTATTACCCTTTGTTGCTTTTCCATTGCCTTTTTTTGTCCGGACCATAACTTGAAGACTAATGGTTGGAATTCAATATAACTTCATACAATGGTCAAGCACATTGAGAGAAAGTGCATTGCACAAGAACCATATCTCCATCTTGACTAATTACAGAGTTATTGCCCTTTGTTACTTTTCCTTGTCCAGAGCATAACTTGAAAACTACTGTTTGGAATTCAATACAACTTCATACAGTTGTCAAGGACATTAAAAGGAAGTGCAGTGCACAACAGCCATAACTCCATTTTGACAAAATACAGAGTTACTGCCCTTTGATACTTTTCCTTGTCAGGAGCATAACTTAAAACGTACTGGTTGGAATTCAAAACAACTTCATACAATGGTCAAGCACAATAAGAGGAAGTGCAGTGCACAAGAACTATAACTCGATCTTCAGTATTTATAGAATTATTGCCCTTTGTTCCTTTTCTTTGTCTTTCTGGACTTATTACAGAGTAATTCAATTAAACTTCATCAATGGCCAACCACATTGAAAGGAAATGCAACATATAAGAACCACAACTATCTTTAATTGCCCACAACCATTACTCTATATTTCAATTCTTTTACAAGGTATTCTGTTACTAGTAACATCCTTATTTCCGAAGCAGTCTTGTGGGGGTATTAATCACATTTAGTGATAGTTCTAGTTCAAATTGTAATTATTGTGAACAGACTGATAAAATAACTTGAAAATGTGAAGTATGCTTGGTAAATTAAACATTGCAAAGAAGGATCTGTGTCATTCTGTTTATATATGAAGACAATCAGGAACTCATTAGGGAAAAATTTGCTGATGGTATAGACAGAAATAATTAAAAAAAGGGTATGTCAGCAAATAAAAATTTAAGAAAATTATTTGAATTATTATAATCTATGACACAGACTTTTTTTTTTATATTTATTTCATAGAGATATATGGAGTCGGTTTCTTGCCTTTGAATCAGAGGTTGGTGATCTAGCCAGTATACTTAAAGTTGAAAAAAGAAGATCTCAGGCAATTGAAAAGGTATGAACAGTTTATTGCTAATACTTCACTAAAAATGAACTTGTCCTAGTGGATGGAGGGGGTAAATATAAATATTTATAATGTGAACGATGAGGTGAATATAAATTTCTAAAAACAGAATTAAGATGTAATGCCCAATATATGCTAGAACTTTAGCCATTGTGGAAGGCAGAAGTACTTGTTATCCCCTACAGTCCCCTTTTGGTGGGTGTCTAGGGGTAAAGATACAAAATTATACGAAGCAGTAATAACTTTATTAATAATTCATAAAATGATTTCGAAATCATCTCAGACACTTTGTCATATGGTGCTGTATGTATATATATATATATATATATATATATATATATATATATATATATATATATATATATCCGTTGTCAATATGCATCTATCAGATTCCATTAAGTAAGTTTAGAATAGTTTACAAGCTTGTATTTTAGATTCTGTCACAAACATTTCATAGAGCTTCAACTCTTGCTTTCTCCTTGTGGTGGAGGGGTTGTCTTTAATGGTTGAGGCATGAGAATTTCAGTCACCTTTTATCCCTGTGTGATCATAAAGAGGTGACTAAATGGGTTTCAATAATTGTAGTCTATGCATTTCATAGCTCCAACAGGTGATGTGGGTTTGACCCTGGTGTTGCTTTGAAGTTCGTAACACCTGAGTCTAGCCAAAATTATGTTGCAGCAACATGACTTATGTGTTAGTGCACCGTAAAACCAAACAAACCTGTAGACCTGCCCTTGCTTTCTAGCTGTGTTTCCTTTTCAATGTGAAAATTTAATTGTGCAGAACATTATGCATAAAGTTTTATGTTCCAGATACAAGAATTTGAGGGCAAAGACACAGCGTTGTTAATTGACAGGTATAAATATGCTGATCTATTTCCATGCAGTCAGTCAGAGTTAAAGGCATTAGGATATCATGTATGTATATCTAAACTGTTTTTACCTTGAAAGGAATGTCACATTATTATTGAATGATAAGAAATATTATTTGTTTTAGATTAATATGTAGTAATAACCTTATGAAGGTTGATTGTGATTGATTTTCTATACATTTCTCATGTCAAAAACATTTTAAATCACGGTATTCAACAAAAATGTATATTTGCAAAATTAGTCACAAACTGTTTTATTACATTATGTATTGCTTGTTGTCCCCCGCTTTTTCGAAGAAAAAAGGGGAATATAGAAATAGGCTCCGTCCGTCTGTCCATCCGCACTCACAGGAGAGTAATTATGTGGCTAGAGGGACAATAGGTAACTGTTCTTTCTCTTTGATGTCATTCATTCCGTAATGCTTTTATGTGGCTATTTTCTTTTGTGTGGCTAAAAAGAACAATAGAGTAGCCACATAATTACTGTCCTGTGAGACCGTCCGTCTGTCCGTCCGTCCGTCACACTTTCGTGTCCGGTCCATAACTTTGTCATTTATGAAAGGAATTTGAAATAACTTGGCACAAATGTTTATTATAATAAGACAATGTGTCATGCGCAACAACCAGACTCCTACCTCCAGGGTCAAGGTCGCACTTGCTCATTCAAGGTCAACATTGTCTATTTGAGGGTATTTGTCGTGTCCGGTCCATAACTTTCTTATCTATGAAGGGATTTTGTAAATACTTGCCATAATTGTTCACAATAATCAGACGATGTGTCATGCGCAAAAACCGGTCACCTACCTTCAAGGTCAAGGTCACACTTGGAGGTAAAATATTAACATAGTCTGTTACAGGGTATATTTTGTGTCCGGTCCATAACTTTGTCATTTATCAAAGGAATTTGAAATAACTTGACACAAATGTTTGTTATAATAAGACGATGTGTCATGCGCAACAACCAGATCCCTTCCTCCAGGGTCAAGGGCGCACTTGCTCATTCAAGGTCAACATTGTCTATTTGAGGGTATATGTCGTGTCCGGTCCATAACTTTCTTATCTATGAAGGAATTTTGTAAATACTTGCCATAATTGTTCACAATAATCAGACGATGTGTTATGGGCAAAAACCGGTCATGTACCTCCAAGGTCAAGGTCACACTTGGAGGTCAAATACTTACATAGTCTGTTACAGGGTATATTTTGTGTCTGGTCCATAACTTTTTCATAGATCAAAGGATTTTGAAAATACTTCGCACAAATAGTCACTGTAATAAGAGGATGTGTCATGCGCAACACCTGCATCCCTACCTCCAAGGTCAAGGTCACACTTAGAGGTCAAAAATTAACATAGTCTGTTATAGGGTATATTTTGTGTCGGATCTAGAACTTCTTCATAGTTCAAGGGATTTTGAAATAAATTGGCACAAATAGTCACAATAATAAGACGATATGTTAAGTACAAAACCTCCACCCCTACCTCCAAGGTCAAGATCACACTCAGAGGTCAAAGGTTAACAGAGTCTGTTATTTGGTATATTTTGTGTCCCGTCCATTACTTCTTCATAGATTAAGGGATTTTGAAAATACTTGGCACAAAGGGTCACAATGATTAGATGATATGTCATGCGTAACATCTGTGTCCCTACTTCCAAGGTCAAGGTCACACTTAGAGGTCAAAGATTTACATAGTCTGTTATAGGGTATATTTTGTGTCCAATCTATAACTTCTTCATAGTTCAAGGGATTTTGAAAATACTTGGCACAAATAGTCTCAATAATAAGACGTTACGTCATGCACAACACCTGCTCCCCTACCTCCAAGGTCAAGGTCACACTTAGAGGTCAAAGCTTAACATGATAGATTTTTAAATTCCGTGTTTCATTTTATTTTTTTAACAAATTTATTGTTGCATTTGCAGATCTAGCATTGATCATATTTTTGGACTGAATGTCCTGAGATCCATACCTCAATCTTTTGAAATAGCACAATTTTATGCTTCATATAAAACTTCCCGAGGCGGGGGACGTTGGTAACTCTGTTACAAATTCTTGTTTTCAATGTAGTTTGAGCATAATGTATTTATCATATTATAAACGTTGGAAAGAAATTCTCATGACATCATTTTGAACAGTTCATCTAAAACATGTCTCTTTTTGCCATTTTCTGGCTTTATTATTTAGAAAATGTGATAAAAAGAATTTGGCATTTGTTGCTAACATTTCACTTATATTTCTCTGCAGACTATCACTTTGACTTTTCCTAGACATGTTTCATGAAAGTATACATGTATATGAATTGACAACTCATGTAAGATACTGTTTGTGTCATGGTAATAAATAATTAATGTTTAATTGTCAGGATCTAATAAGGAAGCAGGTTGTTGAACTACCAACAAGTAAAGTGACCAAAATTGTCATGGAAGAAGATGAAAATATGAAACGTCCAGAATACCCCAAACCAGATACACAACAATGGCTGCCATTTAAACCCAAAATCAATGTTCGTAAGTATACATTTTATATGCCAATGGATTGAATAAGGGGATGGAATTTAGTAGTGTTGAATATAGGGAATATATCACATTTAGTAGTGTTGAATATAGGGAATATATCACAAATGATAACAAATCACAAGTGTAACCAGCAAAATCACGGTCGATATTTGCGATGTAAAGATCACCATTGATGATGAAATGTCTGAATTTTAATCAGTACATATCTTCTTAATACATGTACATGTATGGAATTTAGTATTACCCAGTACAAATATTCAACACCAGTCAATCCAGAAGACCATCAGACAGGCCTGGTGACAGGTGTGGTCAAATTTAGGCAGGTCATTTTTAGTGGTCAGAGATCACAAATGTTGATCACTCTGGGGGTAATTACTGGTCCTTGTGACCAAGGTCAAGAACACATGAAGAGGTCGAAGATCAGATAAATAAATAGAAATAGAAATATTAACTATATAGTCATCATACATTGAGAGATTTTGATATGAATACAACTTCACTATCAAGAGACTTGGCATTTGTGACAGGCGTGTTTTGTGAAAATGGCACTTTTATTTTTTTACATGCTTAACAATTTAACTTTATTGTTAAACTATATTTGAATGCAGATGAATAAGAGTGTATTGTAAATGAATGGAAATTGCAGCAGAAATTCACATTTATCTTAAATTAAATGTACTTAATTTTAGGAAGCGCATAATTATTTTAAAATGGAATAAAATTTAAGAAATTTTAGAAAATTGTTTCATTTTTTTTATCGGAAATAATTCATGAAAGATTTGTCTGGTGTCTTTCTCTAGCAATAAGCTTTGGAATGTTGTCAAATAACTTTAACTATGTAAATTTTCTTATTTTATTGTTTGCTATATGTATGACATAATCAATTGAAAAATCATTACAGCTATTGATGCTCATGTAGTACCCGGTGGTGTATTTCCTCCTCCAGCTGCAGCATCTGCCTTAATGATGTTGATGCCACCTCCTGAATGTTTTCATGTAAATACTGAATATTTGATTCTGATATTGTCAATTAATAATGACATTCTGATATAAAAAAAACAGTCACATTAATGGACACATTTATAGTTAGTATATATTATTAGTTCTAAAGATTTTTGACAGGTTATATGGCCTTATATAAGTGGTTGTTTGAAAATATATCCCAAGCCGCTAGGCGAGGGTTATGGCCGTATATAAACTGTAAATAATTGTAAATAACCGTTTATATAAGACCATATAACCTGTCAGAAATATTTATAACGGATTTATAATACAGCAAGCATTTTTATGCCACCGCAGCATCTGCGATGCGGTGGCATATAGCGATTCACCTGTGTGTATGTATGTGTGTGTGTTTGTTTGTTTGTTTGTTTGTGTGTGTGTGTGTTATATAGATTATATAGTGAAATTAAAAAATCTTCTTGTGAAAAACCACTAGTCCAATTTCAACCAAACTTGGCAGGATTGATCCTTCGGTAATGGGCTTCCAATGTTGTTCAAAGAATTTCATTCCATGCAGAAATCTGGTTGCCATGGCAACCAAAAGGAATAATAAGAATAAATTTAAAAAATCTTCTTGTAAAGATCCAAAAGGCCTAGAGCTTAGATATTTTGCATAAGGCATTGTCTAGTAGACCTCTACCAAGATTGTTCAAATTATAGCCCTGGGGTCAAAATCGGCCCCGTCCTGGGGGTCATTGATTTTCACTATATATACATATAGTAAAAACATAAAATACCTTCCTGTAAAGACCCTAAAGGCCTGGAGCTTAGATATTTTGCATAAGGCATTGTCTGTTAGAAATCTACCAAGATTGTTCAAATTATAGCCCTGGGGTCAAAATCGGCCCCGTCCCGGGGGTCAGTGATTTTCACTGTTTGTACATATAGTAAAAACTTAAAATCCTTCTTGTAAAGACCAAAAAGGCCTAGAGCTTAGATATTTTGCATAAGGCATTGTCAGGTAAACCTCTACCCATACTGTTCAAATTATAGCCCTGGGGTCAAAATTGGCCCCGCCCCGGGGGTCATTGGTTTTCCTTATATGTATATAGTAAAAACTTTAAAAAAATTTCTTCTAGCAATTGACAAATGCTAGAGGTTAGATATTTTGCATGAAACATTGTGAAGTGAACTTCTAGCAAGATTGTTCAAATTATAGCCCTGGGGTGAAAATTGCCCCCGCCCCGGGGGGTCATTAATTTTCAATATATACATATAGTAAAAAAATCTTACTGTCTGAAGCTACAAGGCCTAGAGCTTTAATATTTGGTAAATGATATCATCTATAGGTACTCTACCAAAGTTGTTCAAATTTTGCCTCTAGTATCAAAATTAGCCCCGCCCCAGGGGCCATAGGTTTTCCTTATATGTATATAGTAAAAACTTAAAAAAATCATCTTCTCTAAATTTACAAAGGCTAGAGTTAAGATATTTTTCATGAAACATTATGTAGTGAACCTCTAGCAAGATTATAGCCCTGGAGTCAAAATTGTCCTGGCCCCACCCCCAGGGGTCATTGATTTTCACTATGTATATATAGTAAAAAATTAAAAAATCTTCTTGTCTGAAGGTACAAGGCTTAGAGCTTTGATATTTGGTATATAATATCATCTATGGGTCCTCTACTAAAGTTGTTTTAATTATGCCCCTAGTGTTAAAATAGCCCTGCCCCAGAGGCGATAGTTTTCCTTATATGTATAAAGTAAAAACTTGAAAAATCTTCTTCTCTGAATTGAAAAATCTTCTTCTCTGAACTGACAAAGGCTAGAGGTTAAATATATGGCATGAGACTTTGCGAAGTGAACCTTTACCAAGGTTGTTCAAATTATAGCCCTGGGGTCAAAATTGGTCCCGCCCCGGGGGTCATTGATTTTCAATATGTACATATAGTAAAAAAGTATTGTTGTCTGAAGGTACAAGGCATAGAGCTTTGATGTTTGCTATATAATATCATCTATAGGTCCTCTACCAAAGTTGTTCAAATTTTTCCCCTGGTGTCAAAATTGGCCCTGCCCGGGGGCAGTGATTCTAATTATGTACACATAGAAAAAAACAGAAAATAAAACAAATGTTTTCTAAATGGGAGAAAGCTACAACTTAGATATTTGACTTAAAATGTTGTTTGGTGGACTGTATCAAGATTGTTTTGAATTAAATCCTTGGGTCCAAAATTTTGCCTTGCCCAAGGGGACAGTGACCTACTTTCTTGTCCTTTGATGTACAGCAATGAAATTTTGACCATGTGCACAGTTTTAGTTGTAAAATTGAACTTTGATATCAGGTGACCTAGATTTTGATGATGTGACCTACTTTCTTGTCCTTTGATGTACAGCTATGAAATTTGAACCATGTGCACAGATTAAGATGTAAAGTGAACTTTGATTTCAGCTGACCTAGATTTTTACTGTCTTATTGTGTTGTCCTTTGATGTAGTCATGAAATTTAGGCTGTGTGAAATATGACCTTCACCACCAAATTCACTAGACTCGAGTGCATTGATATATTCCTACTCTGATCTTTTATTGAGTTAACAACAGATTTAACCACTAATCTGATATTAAGAATTAGATAGGTCAGGGATCTGTGCATTATGACAATCTTCAAAATTGTATAGAAACAAAAAAAAATCTGTTCCTACACTACTATTTAGTGTTGTATTAATGCGGTGGCATAGCATTTTTCTCAAATGCAATCTTGTTTTTAAGAGTAAAAAGTGAGATTTCTTCATAAGTTGACAGCAACCATGTACATAAAACTATATAAAAGTCATGATTTTCCAATGAAAAGTGACGTTACAAACATGCAGTATATATATATTTTTATCTTGTCAGTTAAGGACCAAATAATTAAATTACAATCATGAGCTATATTTTTAAACAGCTTGTTTGAAGACAAAATGAATTATTGAGGGGAGAGGTGGCTTCTGTTTAATGTATCTGTCTGATCCAGGGATTGTTTATTTGAGCCTTACATGAGTCGCTCACAACCTTGTTTCCCAATATGACACCAGAAATTACTTAGTGCAGGAATGTTATTTAAATAGATTAAATTAGATCCCAGCTTTTATGATGATTCTGCTAAAATTGATATGTTTAAACAATTTGTAAGGCATTGGTGATCTATATGGAGATATTGATGGGTAAAATTAATTGAAAGTATAAAACCATGGCTGAGGGGCTATGGTTGTAGACTTCAAACCACTTTTCCCCCACCACTGTAGGTTTGAGTCCCACCATAGAATTAGGATTCTTTCATATGAGGGAACTGTAGTGCTAACTTACAGAAGGTTGGTGGTTCTACCCTCTGCCCACACAAACATGAAATAAAATGCACTAGAGACATCCTTAGATATTTTCATCAGTCAAGTTAGTTTATACGGTCTGGCATCATTTAAATCAAATAAAACATTTACCACCTTCTGTGCAATATTAGTTGTTGTACTACTTAAATAATATTAAGGAAATGAAATTTGCATATTTTAAATGAATAATTTCCCTTGATTCTGCAAGACTTTTTCTTGCCTTGTGTTGCTTTATAAATTTTAGTAAAAAACATTTCAAGGATGTTTTAAAATCTTTAACAAACCCTACATGTTGGAATGATATGTGATTAAGTATAATAAATAACAATATGTTTGAATTTACGATATGTTTGAAGTTAATTGCATGCACACATTTTTTTCAGGGTCCATTTGTTATCATAGACAAGTTTATAGAGCATTTCAAGAAATTAGAAATTCCTGATAGTAAGTTTATATTATTCATATATTTTTTATATATAAAAAAATGGAATTTTGCAGATTCTTCCAAATATTTATTTATTTATCATGAAACACAAGGAATTGAACAATATTCCATGTGGGTATTTTAAATAAATGTTATGGACCATGTGTTAGGGCATATAATCAGTCTACTTAAAAATATAAAATTTGGAAAAAAAATTAGTCATGTTAATTTGTAAATACCGGGTATTAATAGTTTTCAAAATTTCTGCATAAATTGGTAAATAAGGATGCCAAAATATTTCATATTGACTGTACCATAAACCAAAATTTGTGACTTTATTTACCAAAATTTAGTTACAGTACAAGTCATTAGAAATTTTAATGCATGTCTGAAAATTAAGAATTTGTTTAACTTGATGATGCATGAATTGATTCTTTACAACAATGATTTTCATGTGCTTGAACTATTACACAACATAAGTGGATGTATGTTTTACAGTTCCTATGTTAGAGAATGGAGTAGACACACCAGTTAAGATGGATCCAGGTACTCTACTGTCTCTAGAGTATGCATCCGGTCGTAAACGAAGAATTACCGAGAACGAGGCAAGTGATGATGAGGACATGCCATCAGGACCGGCACCGCCGGTCAATGACATTTACCGAAGCAGACAACAAAAACGCTCAAAATGAAGTTGTTCTACATATCAATCAAAAGAATTTGGAAATGTTTGCACTTTGGATATAATGCATTTGAAGTGCAGTTATGGTTAAAGATAATGGCGAAGGGTTATTTTAGATGTGTAATTTGTGACAGGAGGAATAATGTTTGAACTAATAAACAATAACAGACGAACAATATTTCCGGGTGCCAAGATTATGATGTGGCCAAGCAATTAGATTAATAAACTCAAACTTGAAAGTTTCATTCATGCGTGAGGGTGGACAGAAAAAGAGAAGTTACATTTGTTTAGAATATATATCTCACTGAAAATATGACTTGTGTAGACTAATATTTCTAATTAAAATAAAAACTTATGCCAAACAAAATTCGATATTTGATACCCGATATTTGATGAGTTACAAAGGATGTCTAAAAGGTGTGATATTATGAGGTTACTCATAGAATTAACTTTCAAGATGTTATATGAGAATATTGAAAGGGTGATTAGAAAGGCAATAAAGAGAAAAAGATACTATTCCAGTTTTTTATTTTGTTTAATGCATACCTTTAATTTTGTTTGGTACTGAATATGAAAATATTAAAGATAAATCATTGAAACACATTCTTATTGTTGAATTGTTTTAATCGTCCATTAGATGAAGGATATCTGGCATTCAAATTCAATTTAAACCTATTTGCATGATATCATAGGAAATTTTATAGGAAATATATATTCACAAATGTCCCACAAAAATTAACCTGTGCACCAGTTATCTGGATTTCTGAATTTCAGAATGCTGACAATGAGGATCCTAGCATTCATCACAAATAACCTTATATTGTATTTTAAGTTATTTCTATCTTACATTGTAATGTGATGTCATTACCAGAACCATAACAATAGTATTCCTCTATATGTTAATTACCATTATGCCCCTCCCCCAACAAAAAACAAAAAAAAACAGTGGGCCATAACTCTACCAAGACTCTAAATGATGAAAGTTCTGTAATTTTATAGTTAATTTTTACCTATACAAAGTATAGTCAGAGCCCATTGCAGGGTCATCTAGATTTCTGACTAAAGTTATGGGTAGTAAACTATTTTTGCTGCATTTTCTTTATTTCAATTATATTTTCCTTATCAAATTTGGCAAGGGACATAATTAGCACCTATATTTCAAGAATTGTCTAATATTTTAACATATTACTGTATCATGATTGTTGAAAACTTGTAACTTTTTATCCTTATTATCACACAGTATACTCACATTTGCCCCCTACTTTTAAAATGAATCACTGCACAGTTTCCCCTTAGTGACATGTAAAAGTGGACATTTGTGAAATATATATCAAATGTGCCTAAAATACCAAATTATTCCCCCTTTAAACTTGGAATTTAAAAAAAAGATTTTTGCTCTATCTTTTTTTTTACAAAAAGTTGTTTTCAGACATCTCATTGAAATGTGTATATGATAAACACAGTATGTACAAAAATTAGAATCGCTGGTTTATGGAGAAAAAAAGCCATACAATAGGTTTGATAGTTATTCTGGTGCATTTTTCTTTTCCTCTGTTCTTAGCTTAACAACCATATTCATTCGCTAATAAGGCGGGGGGGGGGTCCTTATTTTGACTCATAAATGGCACTTTTTGCTAAGACCCTCTAAGACTGGGAAGAATTTTGAAGGGAAATAACTAGTGCACCTCAGTTTATAATTGTAAATTGTCATAAATCTTGAAAATGAATTGATTGATTGGAAGAAAAAATAACCATTTTCAAAAAGGGTTAAATTGTTTAAAATGCATGTGAGACCTATGAATTGGTAATACATGAACATGAATACAGTTTTGGACAATTGAGAGGTATATACTCTATTCAGTAGGAGCGCCGCTCTTTTCTTTCAGCAACATCTTCAATATAACGCGATGTGGATTCTTTAACAAGACATATATTAAAATAAATTGGGCAGTAGTCGAACACAAATGATCTAAATAGATACTTGAAATTTCTTTGAATCATCCTGCATACTTCGTTTGCTGAGATCACAAAGGTACAAAGAATCCTGTAATGTGTAATTATTTGGGATATAATCAAACAGGGCACATAATGTATGTAAATTAATAATGTAACTACTATTCGTTAGGGACAGTCCAATTAGAATGTATTAAGATACAAAAATTGAGCTACCAACAAAAGTATGCGCAGGCTGGTGTAGCCTAGCTCTCTACTGGTGGCAAATGTCATTCACTTTGGTACACCCAGTATCCGGTCAAATAACATAACCAGTGGCACATATTTTCTTCATCGTTTTTGATTAAATTTGATTCCGATCACCGCCGGTTTAGGGCACCCTCCTCCACATGTCAGATTATATTTTTTAACGTTCTCCCGACCTCCCGCGAAATGCACCACTCTAAGTTAACCAAACTGCACACGAATGTTTGCTGGGTGAGATGTTACGTGTGTATTACTTATAACAGGGATGAGATGCTATGCACGTGTGTATTACTTATATCAGGGGCAAGATGTTATGCACGTGTGTATTACTTATAACAGGAATGAGATGTTATGCACGTGTATATTACTTATATCAGGGATAAGTTGTTATGCACCTGTTTATTAATTATGTCAGGGGCAAGATGTTATGCACGTGTGTATAAATTAGTGATATCAGGGGTAAGACGTTATGCACGTGTATATTAATTATGTCGGGGGTAAGATGTTATGCACGTGTGTATTAGTTATATCAGGGATGAGATGTTATGCACTTGTGTTTTAGTTATATGGATCGGTATTGCTCTTAAAGATAGAAATAATTTTACAATGAAACTGAAAGGAACATGCAGCACAATAAATATTTTAAGAGGTTTGGGCCTTTTTAAGTTGGTTTGGTCATCTGAGCCATCGTCAAGCGCGAAGTCAATCGACAATATTGTAAAAGGTGCGAAATAGCTAGCTAAACAAGAAAAATATTACATACATTCGTATGTAATATAGGTACGATTGCATACTACTTTTTGTGAAGACTTTGTGTTTGCTGAATTAAAGGTGTAATGTAAAATGAACAAACATGTCATGAGATATTTTATATCTTTAAACATTTTCATGGAATGTAATTATTTAATGTATCACCATATTAAAGTTGCATGCCTTCAGATGAGAAAAATGATTTCAAGGAAATCAAAATATGAAAAGAAAATTCACGGTCAATTGACTGCTTTGAAGCATAACTGGAACATACGATACGTTATAGTACATCCCAGAGCATAATCACAAAATAAAATTACAGGAAATTAAAAACCTTTTTAATACACTTAAGGTAGAATTTCATTGTAAATCATAGTCAAGGATTTGAGATATGATTATTTATTCATATTAACATCATTATTGGTTATATATTGATAAAAAAAAACCCGAAAGACACAGTTTGTAAATATTTATTACAATAAAATATGAAAAAGGTATACGCGCCGAGGATAGCTATAATTAAAATTCCCGCTCTAAGTCGCGGTGGTGCTTGGGATAATCACTTGATACTGTAAATGGCAGCCATTTTACGATACGAATCCTCGGACAGTTTATCCTGCCGAAAAGATATGAAAAAATACTTGCAATTCAAAGTTTGCTGGCTACATAAAGATTATCGATTTACTCTTTGCACACTTTTTCTCTGCCTGAGTATAATAATATTGACGTGTTTTCATTGGCTTAAACCATCACGTTACCAATACACATGTAGGTGTGAACTAATTTCGTGTTCTTAAAATTATTCCGTTTATAGACATATAACAATCTTTTTTACAAATGAATTGATAAAACAACAATCCCAGAAGCATTTAAGATAATAACAATCATTGGAAAAAAAATAAATGCATATAAATTGTAAATTTGTGTATGACAACTCAACCCCCTAAACAAAACATAATAGACTCAACCAAAACAAGCGCCTGCTTCTTCACCTAACTATGTAGTTGCATGACCATGATTAGCAATTTAGCAAACCAAATCTAAGAGATAAACCTATTGTAAAAATAATACTATGACCACAGCAGATTTCGTACAGAAAAGAATGTTGTTTGACCTTTATAGAGGTAGGATAAAGTATAATATGAGTAGTACCCACTACTGCAACTAAAAAGGCATATATTTATTACATAGAAGATGTAATCCAGTTTATCGATTCACTTTGAAGTTCATAACTAGTCAACATATGTAATAGTGTGCAGGAACTTTCAAGCTTTGGTTAGATAACATTTTGTTAAAAAATATTTCGGATGAAGAAAGTCAACTGCGCACTTTGCAGGTAAAAATAAGTTTATAATGAAAAAATATATATGTAAACAGAATGAAAACGATAAAAAAATAATCCTGACCACAAGATGATCAGTATAGTCTTGAAATGCCAGCCAATGCCACGTTACCATTTCCATATTCTATAATATACAATGTAGTCAACGAACCCCTAAACTAAAACGTATCGTACCGATTTAATTAAAAAGAGAATACATTATCATATGAAAAACACAAAAATTGAATGATATTTATTTCATCAATAAGATATATGTTTTATGTTACTCTAGGATTGTGTCCATTAAGCCAGGCACGTATATATGAAAATTGCAAAATTCATACCCTGGTTAAGCTAAAAGATTTCCAGCTTAATCATGCGTTGACAACTTGACATTATCTGGATGTTCTGATAAGAGGTAAGTCGATCCGGTCTCGTTTACTTTTCCTTTGAGCGTCTTCTGATACATTCTACCTAAATCTTATATATATAAAAATATAATGAGTTGAAAATAACTGACCCTGTATAAAATCGCTTTTATACATGTGATGATTTGATCTCCGATATCGATCAATTTCCACGTGACATTCAATTTATCGTTATCATATGACCAAATATTCCAAAAAGCAAGTTTTATATGTATGTTTTTTTTGTTTTGTTGTTGTTGTTGTTTTCCTGGACCGGAGGACGTATTCACAGGTATCATAAACAAGGGTCTTATTAAATTGTGCAAGCAAAAAAGCGTTTTTAACATATTTTCACAGGACTTGGTCTATCTTTAAATCTGGACAAAACCGTTCATCATCTTATATTTGAAAGAGTCTGATCTGTGTGGTAGGTCTATATAAATAAATATTATAATTATTCTTGTCACCAATATGATTAACTTCGCATTGAGATACGTATGTTTTTTCTTTGTGTTAATAGAATGTGTTGGCATAATTTATTTCTGGTTACAGAATTTAGCTCTTAAATAAATCTTCACATAAGGACATTATAAGGTCTTTGGTAGATGATGTTATCATAATCATCTCTCAAAAAGAACCTGTGTATATACATTGTATCAGTACTTAGGTTTGATAGCACTCAGTCAATTTTCTTTTTTATTCCCGAAAATTAAAATTTTACTGTAAAACTTTTTATCAATCTCTACCGTAATCTTGAGCATAAGAATCGTAGTCGCACTTGATCACATTCAAAACCCTCAATTTTTCAACATTTCCTTACACATCATTTTCTAAATAATGGACAGTTTCTAGTCTAGCCAAACTATTTTATAAAATTCTTGTCTATTTAGGTAACAGTTTTTTTTTTGTTGTTTTTTTTTAAAGATAGCAAGTTTGTAAGAAATTAACCTCGATATAAAATGTTATGCTGAGGTTGTATTGGAATTCATGCGTCTTAACAAATAATTCAATTTCATCTAGGTTCATCCAGTTGCACACTTAAAGTGTTTTTAAAATGCAGTTAAATCCAACAGTTATGCAAATATTCTGCATACTAGTTAAAATGGTAGCGGATGAAAATGACATCATTAAAACTCCGATTTATTAAACATTCAAGTTGTACTTGATTAAATGTTAGCAAACTTACCTGTCTTTGTAGTTTTACATAAAAGCCATGCACGTGCGCTTAGATAAAGAACATTAAAATGCACGTAAAAAAAGACGTTAATTTATTAGTAATTCGATTTCAATCAAATTCATTAAGATTTTACATAAAAGAACTAGCTATTTTATAACATAATAGTGACAGTTAATCACGAGTTGACCAAAAGTAGGGGACGAGTTGACCAAAAAGGTGACGAGTTGACCAACCGGATTGCGAAAATGACAAGCGCGGGAACTAAAAAATAATTATATAATATTTTCTGATGCTTTGAATCCGCATATTTGGAAAGTCGTGATGTAAACTAATTGACGGAAAGAAACGAATATCACATCGTGCCTTTCCGGCACATTGGTTGACCTATAAACATTTCTAAAATTAGATTTCACCTTCTCTATCAACCAATGAAATCACAGATTGGAGACAAAGTCACGTTTTACATGGCATGGAAATCATTTACTCCAGTACAATGTTATTTTGATGTGCATGATGGACCATAATTTGACATTTTAGAGACCGAAAACAAAAAATTAACATGGACAATAGTAATAAACAGTCTAAGCGTAGGGTGTTACATTGGTTTAGAAAAGGATTAAGATTACACGATAATCCAGCGTTAAGAGCAGCTTTAGATGGTGCACAAACATATCGATGCGTTTATATTTTGGATCCTTGGTTTGCTGGCGTTTCACAAGTTGGTGTTAATAGATGGAGGTAGGGAATTATGTAATGGAGTTTGAACTGCGATATATAAAATTTGTATTTATATAAATCTGGTGCATATCTAATATCAGAATTAATACTGAAGGCTATTTTAGAGACAATTAAGTTGAATATTTATCATTCATTTTGCCTTGTAACCACAGTGTAAATAAAAAAAATTACTTTTCAATTTGAGATAGTCAATGTATCGCCATCCTTAAAATATATTTAATGTCATTTTGACAAGTCTTATATTAAAGTTGGACAAAATTATAGAACCCTATAGGGCTATAGGCAATGGCAGCCTTAAAGTTTCTGATAGAATCCAGCACTGTTATTTATTGAATATTGTGTCATAAATTCCCAAAATTTGACTTGCATAACATATCCAGTTTTTATTAATATGTGACTCCTTAGCTACTGGTTGGGGACCACCAAAAACGGACAACCACCGGACGGGCCAGAAAATCCTTAATTTATTAATTTCTTTGTTCAGTGGTTGTCAGTCACTTTTTTATCAACAGTAAATGCATACATAATGTTTTTTCTAAAATTAAGTAAATAAATTTATTTCAACCTCCGTAAATGGTAATATTTTAATGCCTATTTCAAGAATGTTGATGTTGAGATTTGGGGGTCAAGAAAGCAATGCCTGACCACCAGCTATAATCATTTACAGAGTAAACAATAGAATATCCAAAACTTCAGCATCTGTTGCTGAAATATCGTATATCATGTTAAAAATCAAAACACCCAAGCTTTTATCAGAATTAAAGACACATGGTACTGTAGTGTAGACAATTTAGGTAATTTTGATACCCTCCTTGTCGAGCCTCAGATATAAGCAGTGTTAGCGATTTTCCCTAACTTTACCAAGTACCTGGGACTCAGTGCTAATAGATCTGTTACCTCCCAATTCAAATGGGACGAGTCCTCAATTACAAAAATGTCGCTTGCATAACTTCATAATACAATCAAATTTGTGGGATATAAATCTGCATTGCTTATGAGAAGGGAACAAAATTAATCAAAATGAGGTGAAACTCAAGTTCTTAAAATACAATTTATTTAAAGCAAATAGAAAATCCGTTTTCAATCAGAGCAAAAAAACTTAAGAGAGAATTAATTAACCAATTATTGAGGGAAAAGTGTTTCCTCTCTTCTTTTCTCTCCTTTCTGGCAGTTTTAGCGAGTAAATTGATATGTTTACTCATTAAACGCGAACACTGATAAGTGTCTATACAATCAGAAATAAACAAACTAGTTTGTTAGTTAGAAGAAGAACCTAGAAGAACTGAGTCAAATTTGTTGGTCTCTAGGTTAAAAATTATGAAATATATACGGAAAAATGTTGAAAAAGTGTCTAGTGGATGGTCCCCGACCAGTAAAGAGCCAGAACTAAGCATAAGCATATTCACATAGCTAAGCTAGTTTGGTAGATCTACATTATATTTTCTAATACACTTTATTTTCTAATGATCCAAGTGTTCCAATTATTGAAGAAATTTGGCAGATACATTTAATGTACTGTGATGTTTAAAAATATCTATAGTTTCCTTTCTTAATGAGCATTTGTTCATGTTGAAACTTTTTGACATAAACAGAAAAAATGTATTGACTCTTAGGATAGGAATGATTGTAGGGCAACGATTATAAATTTTCATACTTTAACCCATTACTTCATATAGACGTTTTTCATGCCTTTCAGACCCCCTTTTTAGGCCTCAAATAAGTAAAAAAAATGCCCTTTTAAGACCTCAAACACTTGCTTTCGTTTTAAAAATGGTGTTAAAAAAAAGTGATCATTTTTTTCGGCGCCACCCCCTATCAAGTAGTTACATCAACGTAGTGCCAGAGGGGGGATATGCCCCCTCCTGTTTTGGTGTTTGAAGGGGGTCAGCAGACCCCCTCATCTCCATGAAAAGTTTGGACTTGTGAGAGGCTAAAAATGGTCCTAGGTCAGTGCACAAGAACCATAACTCTATCTAAAGTAATTACAGAGTTATTGGCCCTTTGTTACTTTTCCATTGCTTTTTTTGTCTGGAGCATAACTTGAAGACTAATGATTAGAATTCAATACAACTTCATACAATGATTAAGCACATTGAGAGGAAGTGCAGTGCACAAGAACCATAACTCCATCTTGACTAATTACAGAGTTGTTGCCCTTTGTTACTTTTCCTTGTCCGGAGCATAACTTGAAAAGTTACTAGTTGGAATTCAATACAACTTCATACAATCGTAAAGTACATTAAGAGGAAGTGCAGTGCACATGCAAGAACCATAACATCATTTTGACAAATTACAGAGTTTTTGCCCTTTGATACTTTTTCTTGTCCGGAGCATAATTTGAAAAGTACTGGTTGAAATTCAAAAGAACTTCATACAATGAGAGGAAGTGCAGTGCACAAAAACCATAACTCTGTCCAGAGTAATTATAGAGTTATTGCCCTTTGTTACAGTCAGAGCATATAATGGTCAAGTATATTGAGAGAAAGCGCAGTGCACAGAAACCATAACTCTTTCATGACTCATTTAAGAGTTTTTGCCCTCTGTTACTTTTTATTTTCCAGTGCATTACTTGAAAATTATTGGTTGGAATTCACAATGGTCAAGGGCAGTGATATGAAGTGCAGTGCACAATAACCATAATTCTATTTAGACAAATTACATTTATTGCCCTTTGTTACTTTTTTGTCCAGTGCATAACTTGAAAACTAGTTGTTGGAATTCAATACAACTTCAAGAATGGTCAAGGACAATTAGAGGAAGTGCAGTGTACAATAACCATAACTTCATCTTCAGTATTTGCAGAGTTATTGCCCTTTGTTCCTTTTTCTTGTCAGGTGCATAAATTAAAAACTAATGTTTTGAATTCAATGCAACTTCATACAATGGTCAAGCGCAATGAGAGGAAGTGCAGTGCTCAAGAAGCTTAACTCTTTCTGGACTAATTACAGTCATTCAATAAAACTTCATCAATGGTCAACCACATTGAAAGGAAATGCAACATACAAAAACCACAACTATCTTTAATTTCCCAAAACCATAACTCTATTTCAATTTTTTTGCAGGGTATTCTGTTACTAGTAACTTCCTCATTTCCGAATCAGTCTTGCGGGGGTATTAATCACATTTAGTGATAGTTCTAGTTGTGCATATCACGGCATGTTCCCCTTTGCTGCACAAAATGACCGTCAGAATTATGAATAGAAAAATCTTTTCCAGCTTTCACAGGTCAAGCTACTGGTGGGATTTCAATGAAATTTTACATGAGTGATCATTACCATACAGTGATTTTTTTCCCGCATTTTACAGCGGAATAAAGGCTGTTTCCCCTAGCCCTAAATAGATTTATTTTCCCCTAAAAATGCTAGTATTTTCCCCCTAAAATGCCCTTTGCACATTTTTCACTAGAGCCATGACTTAACAGCAGCTAACTTATATCAGCTTTAGACAGAACGCTGTCCCTACAGAACGCCCCTGCATGTATTATGAATGTTAAATTGAATCAAAATGAATTTTCTAAAACATGCGTGGGTAAACCATTCTCAGTTGTAAGAATTTGATTTTCCACTTTTCTGATTTATCGCGCTATATTTTCCCCTGCAGAAAGCCATAGGTTGTTTTGAAAATTTAAAAAAAAATCACTGCCATACCTAGTTGTGCATATCGCTGGCATGTTCCACATAGACATATGTTTTTGTGACAAAACCTCTTCTACTAGACTAGTTATCATTTATGTATTTATATATTGTATTTATATATGTAATATGGTGATGAGCTTTTTATGCTTAAACCAAGAATTAAAGTTTCTGTTCTGTTCTGTTCTATCATTTAAAATTCAAACAAACAAAATTCACACAATCATTTTCTTTCATGAACTTAAATTCATAACTTTATTTCAAAATTTGATAGACTTAAACTAGTTTATGGCAATATTGAAAGAAAATTAGTAAAAAGATCTACTAGGACTTGGCAAATGAAGCTTGCCCCTAGTGTCAAAATAAGCCATTACACAAGTAACAGTCTGTCTTCAGGTGAGCACTTTGGACCCCTTGTTTTTCTTAGAATTTAAGTTTTTTTTGTTCTACTCTCCTCTTTATAACCTTTACTATTTGTGGTATTGCTCTAAGAACAAAGCAGCATTTAATATTTATATTACCAATGTTCATTTAATATTTGTTTTCTTCCCTATTTTATAGACATGGATCCATCATGATCTATTAATGCTTACCCTACAAACTATCTTTATTTTGTTCTTCTTCCTTCTTCATTTTTCACACTTATTCTTTCTGCACTGATGTGCTTTAACTTTTCAACACAGTATTTTTGGTACTATCAGTTTTCAAGGTATTGATAATTTCATTATGTCATGACAAGTAATATTTGTAATAATATATCATGTTCTTGATGATGCCAGATGAAGTTTTGCAGTATAGTAGCACTAAAATATGTTCCAAGGTCCCTTTCTGCTCTCTCTGAAGGGTGTAATTATAAGAGCTTGGTACTTTTTCTCAAATTTAAGAATAATTCCAAAATCAAAGCTAATCAGTTTTTCATGGATTTTTCATTCAAATGTTTAAGTAAGAGCTAGAAAATAACTGAAATGATTTGGATAAAGAAAAAAAATCAGGATATCAAATACCAAAAAATATGCTAACCTAATGCATAAATAAAGCAATAATTATTAAGGCAAGACATTGATCTTGAAACTTCAGTGTCTATTTGCTGACATTGTAAAATAGATTTGTGCATGCACTGGTGCCATTACATGTATGTCTGATGAATTTGCAAGGAAATAACAATTTTTATAGCTGAATTACTATCAATTATTCAAACCTTATTAACTTCAGTGGCGGTGCGGCCAGATGGTTTACATGTCAGGCTAGTAATCTTAGGATTCAAACCCCAGGTCAAGCTGTTGTTTCCATGAGCAAGAAACTTTACGCTCATTGCTTTGTACTGGTTGGTTCCAGGAATGGTTTCCAGAGTGTTTCAATAAGCTTATAGCTTTTAACACAATTGATCTCACTTTAGACTCGAGTACATAATATGACAGCGCCTTCATCCATTTCCTTAATCGGGAAACATTTCTAGTTCAAAATTTATAATGGTCATTTGTTAGAATAAAAGATCATAAATATAAAAATAGTTTACATATAATGAATAATACAAAACAAGTTATGTGAATAGTTCTGTCTTTTGTGTATCATTTTCTTCCTTCCCTGTGACTGTCAACCATATATTCACATTAGATAAGATATCTCATAAAAAGAAAAGCTGATTAATTTGTGGAAGTACGAATTAAATTCACTTCCAGCCTTATTTTATTGGAATTGTTTCTGATAAAAATCTCTTCCTAAGTTCCAATATCTCACATTTAATGCAACGTGCCTCAAATTATGAAGCTGTTTGAATTACGTAATAGGTCCAAAAATATGCGCAGTAGAGCTATAAATTTGCTTTAAAATGTCAATTCTAACTTAAGCTTCATTAACGTTTTGTCAAAAATAGCCCTGTACAATTATTTTGCAATAATTGAAGTAACTGTTATAAGATTTAAATGTGCTGAAAAGATTTTAGTAGATATTGAGTTAGCATTGACCTTGAGGTAATAGAAGAAAATGACTGTTGTTAGTTAAGTAAGTGAAGATATTCATAAAAACATAGGCGTCTTCTGACATAGGGAATGTACTGTGGTTTAGATCATATTAATTAGCCAGTTTGTTAACCTTGCCCACTACGTCTTGTAGCTTGTTAATTAATTGTATGAATTGAATTGTAATTTACTACCATTACAAAATTATGTTTGCTTTAAATCAGAGGAAGATCTTTCTTTTACAGTTGATAGAAAGGTCCTGATCTGAGCTATTTACAACAATTAATTTGTGATCTTTCTTTAAGGCATATTTTTGTCCATGAAACCTTTTAAATTTGTCATATACATGTATTTGTTTATTTTAACAATAGTACAAATGTATAATTAGCGCACAGGAAACAGTTTTCTATTTCACAAATACTGTATACCATTAAAATTGATAAAATAAAATATTTACTCTAGTTTTCTTATCTGAATTGTGTGAAGACACAGCAGGGATACAAAAGAGTTGTCTCACTAGGAATTTGTCAGGAGCAGTGTCATGTAATCACCAGATCAGATAAGAAAATCAAATAAATTGTATTGGGCCGCTTTTAGTGATTTTATAAGGAACTAACTTCTTAAAAAATCAATGAATAGATTTTCACCAAAATTTCCAGTATGAGTAAAGTTGAGCTAAATATAATAAGTTTATAGTTAAAGTAAAGCAGAAGCTTAGGATAGACTGGTAAATTTAAATCTTTAAACATTTTCTGATAGCCTAGATAGTTCATATACATTTGGCTTTGCATTACTGTTGTCTTGTTATATTTGCAGGTTCCTTTTACAGTGCTTAGAAGATCTTGATTCCAGTTTACGGAAATTGAATTCCAGACTTTATGTTGTTAGAGGTCAGCCGGCAGAAGTTTTTCCTAGATTATTCAAGGTAAACAATTTTCATATTGTAAATATCATGTACATGTAAGGGTTCAAATTTGAACCTGAACCTGCTAATGGACTTGGTCAGATTCCATTTTTGGAGCTTTCCAGTTCAATATTGAAGTTGCTTAGCCAACAGTATAGAGTGTGCAGTGGTCACTGGTGGGACTGCATTGATGTTTTAGCAGTTTGACATTTTGTTACCTTAGTGCAGTAATGGGTTAACTCCTTATATAATTTTGTTAGTTTATACAAATTTACTTTAGTTAAATTGTGTAAGCTTACACCCTTGAATCCATTCCTGGAACCAACCAGTACTAAACAATGAAGGTAAAGTTTCTTGCTCAAGGAAACAACGGCTTGCCCCTGATAGGGTTTGAACCCACACTGTCAGCAATCTTTAGATCACTAGTATGACGCATTTACCACTGGGCCACACCTCCACTCTTATATAATTTAATAGGAGCTACTGCACAAAGATGACGATTTGTAACTGTGTTTTCTGTAACAGTATGTTGATAACCATGATCTCTTTGTGCTTTGCTTATATGCAATTTCATATCCTTAAGACATAATCTAGTGAGAGTTTTAACAAAAACTGTGATGAGAGTTTTAACAAAAACTGTGGTGAGAGTTTTAAACAAGAAGTATAGTGAGAGTTTCAACAAAAAGTGTTTCTGTTATTAAACACACATGAGAAATAATAAAATATTCTCTGACAAAATATTTCACAACTATCATGTATATTACATTCATGTACATGTACTAGTATATGACGTGTTGTTCTCCATCCTTTCTTTGTTTACTGTTATGTAAGGTTAGCAAAGTGATAATTTCAGGCATACATGTGCTAATTAGACAATAGCTATATCCTTATTCTTACATGACTACAGTTTATGGTACGATTTTCAAACACATTTTTGGCTCACGTCACCTAAGTTTTGGTCTGATTAGGTATTGTGAGTTGTGTTTTAATGTCATCAAGATTTGCTTTAAATTATAAATTAAAAAGTGTTTTAAGGGGGAACAACACATCCAAAATACCAAGTTGGTTATTATATTTATTAAACTACCCGTTTCTGATAATATAACCTTCATCAGGTGAAGAGTTGCTTTAATTTAACAACATCTCCTTCTAAACCATTCATCAAAGTATAATGAAACAATATAAGAATGATATTTAAATGGTCCTTTACCAATTTACCTTAAATTGTTTCCATTTGTTTGTATAAGATATGGACACATGAGCAAAAAATAGAAATAAGCATTATATCTATTTCCTTAAAGGGACTTCACTGAGGTTTAAAAGCCTATAAACATAACATTTGAATTTCTTACATACATAAGCTTGGGTACTTTAAACAGAAATATATGTAAAGATAGTTAAGAAATATACTTTGAAATAAATTGAAAATCGTATTTTTAGCTCGACTATTCGATAAGAATAAGTAGAGCTATTGTAGTCACCAGAGCGTCGGCGTAACCACTTATGTTAAAGTTTTTGTAATACCTCAAATATTTTCAAAGTCCATTGACATATGGCTTTGAAACTTTGCACACTTGTTCACCATCATGACCCCAACATGTAGACAGGAGGAGGTAACTCCATCAAGCATTTTGACAGAATTATGCCCCTTTTTCGACTTAGAATTTTCGTTAAAGTTTTTGTAATACCTCAAATATTTTCAAAGTCGATTGACATATGGCTTTGAAACTTTGCACACTTGTTCACCATCATGACCCCAACTTGTAGACTGGAGGAGGTAACTGTATCAAGCATTTTGACAGAATTATGCCCCTTTTTAGCTCGACTATTCGATAAGAATAAGTAGAGCTATTGTAGTCACCCGAGCTTCGGCGTCTGAGTCGGCGTAACAACTTATGTTAAAGTTTTTTTTAATACCTCAAATATTTTCAAAGTCCATTGACATATGGCTTTGAAACTTTGCACACTTGTTCACCATCATTAGCCCAACCTGTAAACAGGAGGAGGTAACTGTATCAAGCATTTTTTTTTACTATCAAGCACTTAGACTAGTCGAGCGTTGCTGTCCTACCGACAGCTCTTGTTCGACTTAGAATTTATGTTAAACTTTTTGTAATACCTCAAATATTTTCAAAGTCCATTGACATATGGCTTTGAAACTTTGCACACTTGTTCACCATCATGACCCCAACATGTAGGCAGGATGAGGTAACTCTATCAAGCATTTTGACAGAATTATGCCCCTTTTTCGGCTTAGAATTTACGTTAAAGTTTTTGTAATACCTCAAATATTTTCAAAGTTCATTGACATATGGCTTTGAAACATGTTGAAATTTTATACTCTTCTTTGAGAGCATAATAGGACCCTCTCCATGGCCTATAACTGTAATATGGATTTAAAGAAAAATTTTGCCTTTTTCTTTACTTAGAAAATTTTACCTTTTATTCAAGGCTTTTTTTACTATCAAGCACTAAGAATAGTCGAGCGTTGCTGTCCTACCGACAGCTCTTGTTATGCTTTTCTTAGCCCGTTTTGAGTGCCAAAAGCTTTTAAACGTCTTTCATTTTGTGTCATTTTTTTACAGTTTGAATACTTATTCAGGAAAAATGAAGTGCGCAAAATGATCTGATATCTTGCAAAAAGATTAGTGGTCTAAACCTATGGTCCACTTATCTGGAAAAAATATTTTCAGTCCCATCATGTCAAAAAACCTCAGTGGAGTCCCTTTAACTGGTGGGAAGATTAAGCAGAAACACTAGTAAAGGTGTAAGTAGGTGGTTCTTTTCAAAAATAGCTATAAATTTCAGGCATGGCAAACAATATGACTGTCTACATGTAAGCTAAAAATGAATCCAGCTGTACTGTAAATCCTGGGTCAGATTCTGATGAAACTTTACAGGAATGGTCCTTTGGTGGTCCTTTGAAAAAAAAAATGCTTAAATTGTTCTTGGCTGCTGAGCATAATGGCACCCAGAGCTGACAAAATAGAAAATATATATACATCATGTTTTTATAAATTTTTAATGACACCTCCTGAACTGTGAGCTACACAGATTTTTAAGAAAAGTTAAACTTGATTTGATCAGTTGAACATTTACGTTAATTAATGTTAACCAGGTCATTCTTCCTTTGTTTCTTAGACCAATTACCTTGGAACCTCTGAGCCCTCTAGTTTCATGGGTGTGATTTGTTTTTCTGCAGAAACATAGCACAACAATAGATAAAGTATAGGAAATAAGAGACCTTTACGTTGAAGGAGCGCCACGCCTTTCATGATGTTATTAATATAAAATAATCTTAGTACACAACCAGAAGTTTATGATACTTTTCATATCTGCTTCCAATTACTTACCGTCTATTTTATCACAAATAACTGATATTTTCTGTACAAGTACAAAGCTTCTGTGCAAAGTGTAATCTGATGAATTTAATGTTTACATGATATTTGTTTAAATGTCACCTATACGAAACAGTATATTGGGTGAAGAATTTTGAAAATACTTAAATTTTTACTGTCAGCCTGAATATGTTTCTGTGAAGATAGAATTGGTTTTGAAAAATTGAGATCATAAAAAAAAAGAGGTGTGAATTACTGAGAAACTGGTTGTTAAATGTTTAGGAGATAATTAGATTACCAATACCCTGCTAAATCTTTGTTTCTGACTTATTGTCAGACTTAATTGGAAGAGCATGTCTAATATTATCGTCAGATGTTTTAAAATTCTAATTGTTCTGTATTTTATTTATAATGCTTAGTTCTGCCTAAGCCAATAGCTTTTTTAGCTCACCTGTCACAAAGTGACATGTTGCTTTTCGTCCGGCGTTTGTCCGTCCATTACTTTAAACAACATCTCCTCATAAACCTCTGAGCAAATTTCATCCAAACTTCACAGGAATGTTCCTTTGGCAGTCAACTTTAAAAATTGTTCAAAGAATTAACTTTGGTTGCCATGGCAACCGAAAGAAAAAACTTAAAAAATCTTCTTTTAAAAGAGCTAGAGCTAAAATATTTGGCATGAAACATTGTCTAGTTAGTGTCTACCAAGTTTGATCAAATAAAAGCCCTGGGGTGAAAATTGGCCCCGCCCAGGGGGGGTCATTGATTATCCTTATTTGTATATAGCAAAAACTTAAAAATCTTCTTTTAAAAAACCCAAATAGCTAGAGCTTATAGATATTAAGCATGAAACATCTTCTAGAGAGTATCTACCAAATTTGTTCAAATAAAAGCCCTAGGGTCAAAATTGGCCCCGCCCAAGGGGGATCATTGTTTTTCCCTTTATGTTTAAAGAAAAAGTTAAAAAATCCTCTTTCAAAACCCAAAGAACTTGAGCTAAGATATTTAGCATGAAACTTCTTCTAATAGGTGTCTACCAAGTTTGTTCAAATAAGGACCCTGGGGGTTAAAATTGGCCCTGCCACGGGGGTCATTGATTTTCCTTATATGTGTAAGGTAAAAACTTCTTCTAGTGAGTGTCTACCAAGTTTGTTCAAATAAAAGCCCAGATATCAAAATTGGCCCGACTGGGGGTGGGGGGGTCATTGTTTTTTCCTATATGTGTATAGTAAAAACTCAAAAAAAATTCTTTTAAAAACCCCAAAGAGCTAAAGCTTAGATATTTATCAGGAAACACCTTCTAACGGGGGGTCTACCAAGTTCCTTCAAATAAAAGCCCTTGGATTAAAATTGGCCCGCTCTGGGTGCATACAGGTGAGCGATTTCAGGGCCATCATGGCCCTCTTGTCATTTAAAGCTTCTGCCATGTTTAGATAGGCTTGATGAAACAGTTTCTGCAATATATATTGTAGCTACTTAGGCATACAGTACAAACTCTGTAGAGGACATAGATTGTGGTTGCTAGGCAGTGATGTTGCTCTAAAGAGGTTAAATGTATTGTGAAGTCTTGATTTAGGAGAATAGGAACTGTTGTTCTAAAGAAGTGATTGCTCTACAATGGGCTGCTCTGCAGAGAATACATGTACTATACATTTTGCTGATTTTAACATATTTTCATTATATATTTTACAGGAGTGGAATATTACAGTTTTATCATTTGAAGAAGATCCCGAGCCTTTCGGCAAAAATCGAGATGCAGCGATCACGGCGATGGCTAAAGAAGTTGGGGTGGAAGTGGTGAAAAAATCCTCGCATACATTATATGATTTACAAAAGTAGGTGCATTCCATTTACTTACATTTATATACAATAGTGAGATACTATCAGATTTGTTTCAGAAATGTTATGCAAAGTGTACATGCATATATTGTATCCTTCTAAAACATGTATAAAATTGGCATAATATTATTTCAGTGTTTTAATGTTATGATTTTTAGCATGCAGGCAGCAATTTGGATATACCCTTGCAACCAGTGCAGACCAAGATAAGCCGGCACATATGTGCGATCTCATCCTGGTCTGCACTATTTGATATTCAGTCAGGATTTCTTTAGAGTCTCCCATAAAATGATAAAAGGTATTGTCCAGATTGAAAGATGAATCAGTCCATTTAAGAAACTGGTATTAACAGGTTAAAAGGTGAAGTAGGAAGTGTCTGTTATGAATATCAAGGATTTCAAATTCAGTTATGTGAAATTGTGCAGGTAAGCTAGGCATACTTAAATTATGGTGTTCTGAGGTAGAGTGGTTAAATTATCTGACCTCCTGCCACTTGCCTCTATTGGTTGTGGATTTGAATCTTGTCATGATTCTTTCAAGTGATGAAACTTGCTAGCTTTCGGAAGGTTGGTTGTGCAAATCATGCATGGATGGGCAACTGAGTTCTCCTCTTACTATTAAAGTTTGAAAGATACTCTAAGATAGCTTATGATCTTCAAGTTATTGGTTATACTTCAGTCTTAACCAGATGAACAACCTAATTTAACCTGTATAGAAAAAGACAAAATTATTTCATTTAGCTTAACAAAAAGGCTTCCAATATGGAAAATATGGTTGTGACTCAGAAGAAATCTTTGACAACTGAAAGCAGTTTTATAAGCCTTATTAATTTACAGTGAAAACAGATCATTCCCCATGTCTTTTCAGGAACAATAATCAAAACACATGAAATACTAGCACCATAATTTACTCTTTTAAAATAAATTTTGTATTCAGTAAACATATTGACTGTCTGTAATCTGTTTCTGTCCAGAATCTATTGTAATTTTTTTTATTGTAAACACATGTATTACTCTCTGTTAATATATTACAATAATATTGGTTATTCTAAGGGAAATTGTGATATGATGTAAAATTCTATGTATTTACATTCTTTGTGAGTTCATTAATACCATAAGTTCCTCAAATCAACCCATATAATTATGGAGAATAGGTTATAAACTACACAACTACACGTTTACAAGGCTCGAGTTGGGATCCAAGGTCTCAGACGATCATATAAACAGGGTTTTGAAAATATATATTGTTCTTTACAATGTTTGTCTAGTTCAGATTGATGACAGCATTTTTAATACCCCACTCATATACATGTACAAAATTTGTTTCTAAATCACTTATATATAATAGAAATAGAGGACATTATTACCACTAGTTATGTACTAATTAATATGATAAAGATCACGTTAGAAAAATACCATTATTGATTTCCAAGGTGTAGCACCTTGAACATGTGTAAGGTGTCCATGTTTGTACATGAATTAAATTGTCATTTCTGGTGTATAAACTGAAGAATTCTGTCATATTTTGCTGAGCTTACTTCTCCAATGCATAATTTTTTTTAATGATTTAAGGAGCCGCTGGTGTTAGTTACACAGGGGTATTTTAGTGTCTTAAAACAGGATTTGAGATTCTCATAACAGTTTGATACCTGACTGATCAACAAATCAAAATGAACAGAAGATAAGTAACACCAGGCAATTTATATACACATCATAAATCATTTTTATGATCTGTCAAATATTCAATTTGGGGAGCCATTAGTTCCTTAAGCTTTATAATGAGGTTAGCACGGTATATGATGGTGTGACAGTGTATGAAAGAAACCTATATGGGCTTTAGTGTCAGCCTCTGCCAACAAAGCATGATACTAATTTTGATTAATTGTATAATTTCTTTTTATTGCAGAATAATTTCAGAAAACAATGGCATACCTCCTCTTACATTTAAAAGATTTCAAGCTGTGTTATCAAGGATGAGTCTACCAGCGAAACCAGAGGAACGCATATCATTAGAAACAATTGGTGAAGCGAAAACACCAATAACACTTGATCATGATGAACAATATGGTGTACCATCATTAGAGGAGTTAGGTAAATAAGTTCTTCCCTTTTTATCCTTGGTCTTTTTGACTATGCACCTGAGCACAAAGTGTGATATTAATCTTTGACCTTTGTAAATTATACATTTGATGACCTTTGACATGACCAAGTGACCTACTAGTACTTAGAACAGCATTTTTAAAATTCATGATTTTTGTATTAAGATACCCTTTAATCTTCATATAGTGTGTTCAGTGCCAATCCATTAAAGAAATACAGTAAATTCGGTGACAACCTCATTTTGGACTGTTTCCACTTTAACACAAAGTCTGTAGTGTGATAATATATAAATAACACATGGGTTTGTGGGTAACAGTAAAAATATCATCCCGAGGAAAATACTGTTACCCGAGGCGTAGCTGAGGGTAACAGTATTTTTACGAGGGGTGATATTTTTACTGTTACACACAAACCCATGTGTTATTTATTTTATTACCCCCGAACAAAAATACTGTGATGATCTGAAATTGTCAACTAAATCTAACTGTTACAAAAATAAACCAAGAGTAACAATAACTAATTTTAAACTGTCCTTACCTTTTAAGTTTTAAGTGTACTTTAGGCCTACTTGAGAAGTTCTCTTTTTCTTTTATTCTTTAAGCAAATGATGACATCTACAAATCATAAACATACAATAAGCTAGGTTTTATTAGATAACAAAACACTAACCCATTTATAAGGTTATGATCTGTGAAATCTGATCCGTCTGCATCCAGAATATTCTTCGCATGGTTTTTGACAAAGTGCATTTAGAAAATAACGATGAAATCCTACTGATGTCTGTCCACCAACTCTATCTGTAACGTTTCACTGGTTAAAATTGTTAATTATCCTTTGTTGCATGCTTTAATTGTCTGCATATTCCAGTTTGACACAAAATTATTTACATTACAATTACTTCCGTTGAAAACGGATGTGTCCGGTTGACTATTCAACAAAAAGATATTTTATACGCGAAAGGAACTCTAGGGTGCAAAGAACTAAATTTTATGAGAGTAATAGTTACTTCGGCGATGCCCTATCGTCGAAAATAAAAATGAATCGAGAACAAAATGGCGGCCATTTTATTTCATTTTATTTAGAAAATAGACCACGTGACCAGATTTTATACTGTTAAAAAATACTGTTACCTATGTAACAGTACAAAATTCTTAGTCACGTGGTACACTTGCATTAACAGTAAGAATAACTCCCAGAGGCCTATGGGAAATTAACATTACGAAAAAAGTGAGGGGTAATAATCATTAATTACACAATTTGTTTACATTCTCCTGTATTGTGGTAAAAGTTTACACATTTGTTTTATGATCAAAAGTCAGATTTCTAAGAATATTTACCATTAGATATACCATTACCCACCCCCACCCCCCCACCACCACCACTACCAGTCTACCACACACCCACACACTTCTTTTTCCTTCTTAATTTGTTATGGCACATGGTGCAGTATTAGTAAAACATGTTTTTAGGTATTCTGAAATATGTTATTTACCACTTCCACATTATACTTCCTGCTATTGTTGTCAAGTTTATTGATTTGTCAGTGACTTTGACTACGTGCATTGAAATCTGAAAATTAATAAACAATGTATATATATATTACAGTTTGTCAAGAAAATTATCAGTTTTGTTACATATTGTGACGTCGCAAAAATTTTATTACATAATAATCATCTACTAGGACCATACTTTTATACACTAATATCTTAGCATTTTATTTTCACTTTGTGACAGTTACTAAAAAATAACAGTCTGTTACCTTGTATACTAATATGCTGATGAACAAATGGTGTAGTTTTACTGTAAATGTAGTAAAGTATATAAATGGGTATTTTGCATGAGAACAAAAGACAATACAAGTCGTCCTTTCTTGCCAAAAATTCTGAAATATATAAGTTGCTTAGTAGATATAGATCATATAGGCCAAGAAATACATAGATCTTAGAAAGCCATATTCTATTTTTATCCCTGTTGGATATTTTTCAATGTCAATAAACAGCATTGTCTTGGTTATAAACGTTTTCACAGAAGAGCACGAATTGTTTTGACTACAAAGTGATACAAGTAAAAAACTTAAGTAATTGGTAAACTGTCTTGCATCAGATGGATTTTTAAGCTTTTGTAAATAGCAGACAGTTTAAAAATTAATTGGCCAAAACAAAATGAATAGTCACGGCTAAGACTGCATTTGTTTTCATTATTTATCAATCATATATTCAGTGTATTCTCCTTTTTCAAAATGTAGGTCATCTTTTCTCTGCTTCAACAAATAGCCCTGATATATTTAAGAATTGAATGACCCCTAGAAAAGGTCATGACCAATAATTGTCATTTTCAGAATTAACAACCTTGGTAAGTCACATGACTTAATGTACTGAATATGATTGGTCTTCTAATTTAACTTTGTTAATTAAAAAAGGTTTTTGAATGGCTATTATCTTGGCTGTATTTTTGTTTTATCTTCAGGTTTTGACACTGCTGATCTGAATTCCAAAGTTTTTCGTGGTGGGGAAACAGAGGCGCTACAAAGGTTACACAGACATTTGGAAAGAAAGGTACATAATTATTACAGCCCCATAGAACCATGTATAACTGATCTGTAAGGACAGTTGCATATTTACTGATATTTCTGTAGTTTGAATATATTCTCCTATATTTAAAAGAAGTACATCGTGAAGAATTTAACTCAGATTAGCAGTAATATAGCTAAGCTTTTTTGAAACAATTGTAAGAGTTAATTTCTAGTGTTAAGGTTAAACATTTATGATTTACATTTAATTTACAATAACATATGCCCCCATAATTAGTATGATTGAAAGTTTAAAACAGTTTGAATGTCAGAGTGAAAGGTTGCAAAGTGTACAAATTAAGAAAGTTTCAATGAAGAAAAATTAAGTAAATTGACCAAGATGTTACAATGCAGAAATGAAATAGCTTGTCAAAGTAAACAGAAATTCATTTTCTCTGTTAGTAATTGTGTAGAATTTTGGTTATAAAGGAATCTCTGCAAATTTTTCATCACCTTTTTAAGATTCACCTGCTATGTAATATGTACTTATACTGGTTGTCACCATTAGGCTAAAGGTTAATCTATAGATATATTTTTTTAAGTTTAATTTCAAAAATTGCTTTCACTTGTCTAGAGGAGTTTAATGTTAGGCTAAAGATTAATCTACAGATATAATTTCTAAAATTAAATTTCGAAAATTTATTTCACTAGTCTATTCATGTACAACAGAGTTGCTTTATGTCCTAGAAATTATCACAAAATACACTTCTGTGACACACCTAGCTTTTATTTCAGGAAATATGTGCATATGTTCACTTGTCAACCTGTGCTGTTTTCTTGTTTATACCCTCTGGCTCAAACTCTTCAAGTACTGTTATAACTGTACCAAATGGAAGGACCTAGTCAGCTACCATTATTTAAGATGTGTGCCTTATTCTTTTCAAACAGGCATTTCACTTACAATTGATGAACTTCATGTTCTTTTGTACGAAATTTTTTTATATGAATCAAAATTCATAATTATGTATGAATGAAGTTGATATTGACTCTAGGATTTAGAATAATGAAAATATGTCAAAATGTGGAGAGAATGAAATAATTCTTCGTTTTTTCGCAGAATTTCTGTCATTAACAGGTGCTAGTATTGATTTTGTCTTGTATTACATAGGGATAAAATACTTGGAGAGAATTGTGGGAGAAATCAGATACTTTAGGAGAAATTTCCACTGGAAGTTAGTGACATACAGAGCGTGTTACCTTTAGCCAATAACAACAAGTTCAGTTACTAACCGATATATTGATGTAATGTCAAGGTTAAAAATATCTGTATCACAGGGCTTTGATGTGTTAATGTTAAAGTATTGGTATCACAGGGCTTTGATGTGTTAATGTTAAAGTATTGGTATCACAGGACTTTGATGTTTTAATGTTAAAGTATTGGTATCACAGGACTTTGATGTTTTAATGTTAAAGTATTGGTATCACAGGGCTTTGATGTTTTAATGTTAAAGTATTGGTATCACAGGGCTTTGATGTTTTAATGTTAAAGTATTGGTATCACAGGGCTTTGATGTTTTAATGTTGAAGTATTGGTATCACAGGGCTTTGATGTTTTAATGTTAAAGTATTGGTATCACAGGACTTTGATGTTTTAATGTTAAAGTATTGGTATCACAGGACTTTGATGTTTTAATGTGAAGTATTGGTATCACAGGGCTTTGATGTGTTAATGTTAAAGTATTGGTATCACAGGACTTTGATGTTTTAATGTTAAAGTATTGGTATCACAGGGCTTTGATGTTTTAATGTTAAAGTATTGGTATCACAGGACTTTGATGTTTTAATGTTGAAGTATTGGTATCACAGGGCTTTGATGTGTTAATGTTAAAGTATTGGTATCACAGGACTTTGATGTTTTAATGTTAAAGTATTGGTATCACAGGGCTTTGATGTTTTAATGTTGAAGTATTGGTATCACAGGGCTTTGATGTTTTAATGTTAAAGTATTGGTATCACAGGGCTTTGATGTTTTAATGTTAAAGTATTGGTATCACAGGACTTTGATGTTTTAATGTTAAAGTATTGGTATCACAGGGCTTTGATGTTTTAATGTTAAAGTATTGGTATCACAGGACTTTGATGTTTTAATGTTGAAGTATTGGTATCACAGGGCTTTGATGTTTTAATGTTAAAGTATTGGTATCACAGGGCTTTGATGTGTTAATGTTAAAGTATTGGTATCACAGGGCTTTGATGTGTTAATGTTAAAGTATTGGTATCACAGGGCTTTGATGTTTTAATGTTAAAGTATTGGTATCACAGGGCTTTGATGTGTTAATGTTACAGTATTGGTATCACAGGGGTTTGATGTCTGTATCACATTGCTTTAATAGTTTAATGTAAAAAATTCTGTATCACATTGCTTTGATGGTTTAATGTAAAAAATTCTGTATCACAGGGCTTTGATGGTTTAGTGGAAAATTGTCTGTATCACAGGGCTTTGATGTTTTAATGTAAAACTGTCTGAATTACATTGCTTTGATGGTTTAATGTAAAAATTTCTGTATCACATTGCTTTGATGGTTTAATGTAAAATTGTCTGTATTAAATGGCTTTGATGTCTTAACTTTAAAAACACTGTTAGACTTTTTTTATTTGACTAGGGTTGGGAGAGGCCCCCTAAAAGTCCCTAACCATAGAAAGAAATGAAATGATATAGACATTCTTGGACCTTTAGTGTGGGAGTTGCCCTTTCATGACACTCTGAAGCCCTCCATAATAGCAGTTTTAGTGTAAAATATAGCATGGCTTTTACCACTGTCAATTTAGCGCCTTATGTTGAAAATATTAAAGATGATTGAATTAGGACAAAAAATTCAATATAATATTTCAGGCATAGGACTATTAAGTTTGAAAAAGCAATATCATATTGAAAGTTTTGAAAATCAATATTATATTTCAGGCATGGGTTGCATGTTGAGAAAATCAATATTTTATTTCAGGCATGGGTTGCAAGTTTTGGAAATCAATATTGTATTTCAGGCATGGATTGCATGTTGTGAAAATCAATATTATATTTCAGGCATGGGTTGCATGTTGTGAAAATCAATATTTTATTTCAGGCATGGGTTGCAAGTTGTGAAAATCTATATCATATTTCAGGCATGGGTTGCAAGTTTTGAGAAGCAGTATCTTATTGCAAGTTTAGATAATCACTATTATATTTCAGGCATGGGTTGCAAGTTTTGAGAAGCCAAAGATGACATCACAGTCTTTGTTTCCTAGTCAAACAACGTTAAGCCCGTATTTAAGGTTTGGATGTATTTCACCTCGTCTTTTCTACTGGAAATTACAAGAACTCTACAGAAAGGTACACCTGTACTTTGATTGTTTTCTTGCTGTAAGAGTTATTGCCTGCTTTGTAGTGTGCAGGAACCTCTAACAAATATGATTTATCTACATGTATATGAAATTGTTTGTCCATTGGCAAGATAAACTTCTCCTGTGTGTGTAGCAAGGTAGAAGATGACCGTTGTATAGAATAATGTCAATGTACTGTTTGTCACAAATATTATCTCATTTATTGATTAAGACTTAAAAATTTAGAACATTTTTCACCTAAAACTATGCAGTGACCTCTGACCCAAAAATTGTTTATTTAAATGTTTTTAAATTTATGAATTAATTTTTGCAGTGAGTTCACTCATTTTCTTTTTAAGTCTGTGTTGCTCTGACTTGGCAATGACTTAATAATGTTCTTTTATATGGCCAGAATCTAAATGTTACTTTATGTATATAAAAAATCATATGTATTTACTTGATTTGTGAACTTGTTTGGAATAAAGAGGGCACTTTAATGTTTATCTATTGTCATGAATTATCTTTCTTGTATATTGATAGATTAAAAAGGGGTGTGATCCACCACTGTCATTACATGGGCAGTTATTGTGGCGGGAGTTCTTCTATACAGCGGCAACAGATAATCCTAATTTTGACAGAATGTCAGGCAATTCAATATGTGTACAAGTACCATGGGACAAAAATCCAGAGGCATTAGCCAAGTGGGCAGAGGTACAGATATCTTGTTATTAATGTTGTTGTTGTTATTTTTGTGTTAGATATTGGTAGAATTGGATTAATAGTTGTTGTTATGTTGCTTATTTATAAGATAATAAGATGATTTGCTAATTACAAGGGGAATCAGAAATAGGATAAACCTTATCCTGATAAACTCTTTATTATTTATTTTAGCACTAAAATATTGCTCAATACATGCATTGTTAAAAAGGTCGTCCCTCTCCTGTCTGGGACATTAGCCAGCTTTTTATAATAAAGTGGCTGTACAAACAATGATTACTTGATAACACATACAAGTAAATTCACCAGTAAGCTAGTGATTTTGTCCCAGAAAAAAATCCATGTAATATGTAATTTGGAAGCCACCTCTTATTTCTCAAAAAGATGGACGTCCTTTCAGTGAAAATTATGATTTTAAAAACAAACAAAAACAGGGAAAAGTAGAGAGTAACACAAGTACACAAGAATCGTGTTTTAATTGTTTTCATAGAATTAAGAAATCCATTTAAGATATTAACAAAGTTTTGGAAACATTTTTGTTTTAAGCAAGTTGATACTTCGTTTTAGTATAATAAGGTTTCTCCAGCTATATACTCGTCCAAATAAATTCCCAAATTTTACAGTAAAATGTTAATTTACCTATATTTATTTTTAAGAAAGGATTTTTTTTTTTTGCCCCCGGGCATATAGTGATTGAACGGTCCGTCCGTCCGTCTGTTCGTATGAGGTTAACCTAGAACGGCAAGTTGGATTTTTCTTAAGTTCTGCCTGTTCAAATGGCTTCTAAGTTTACACACTTACTAATCAATACAAAGTACATGATCTGGGCATGTTACATAACTCTGGCTTTCATATTTACCAAGTTATTGCCCTTTTCAGCACTTATAAAATGAATAATGGTTACCTAAAACGGCAAGTTGGAAATATCTTAAGTTCTATCTATACTAATGGCTTTATAATTTCCACACTTACTTATCAATACAAAGTACATGATATTGCCAAGTTATATAACTGTGTCATCCATATTTCCCAGTTATTTCCCTTTTTTCACTTTGAAAATAGGGCCTTGTCTGGTTAACTTATTTCAGCAAGTTGGATTGATCTTAAATTTCTCCTAATTGCTTAATTTCTTTAATGATATCTTTCATATTTAGTAGGTGGATACCTTTGATGGTCCTCTAATTTTTTGTGGAGTAAGTGGTCTCTAGGGTCAAGGTCAAGGTCACTGGTTTAAAAAATAAATATAAACATTTTTGCTCATACAGCCTTTATATTTCAGTTGATGTCTTAGTTTAATACAAACATGCCAAGGGAGGTCCTCCTTCTTTGGGTGAAGTAAGGGGTCATATGGGTCAAGGTCAATGTTACCAATGTTAAAAATACATTTTTACATTTTTACAGGTGTATTAACCTTATTCTATAGACAGATGTTATTTATAATTGATAGAAACATAAACTTTGATGGAGTTAGTGGTCAGTTGGGTCAAGGTCACCAGTGCTAAAAATAGATTTTTACACTTTTGCCCATACAGCTTTTATTTATTGACAGATGTATTTCATATTTGGTAGGAAGATAACTTGCATGGTATTCTTCCTTTGGATGGAGTAAGGGGTCAGTTGGGTCAAGGTCACCAGTGCTAAAAATAGATTTTTACACTTTTGCCCATACAGCCTTTATTTATTGACAGATGTATTTCATATTTGGTAGGAAGATAACTTACATGGTATTCTTCTTTTGGATAGAGTTAGGGGTCAGTTTGGTTAAGGTCACCAGTGCTAAAAATAGATTTTTACACTTTTGCCCATACAGCCTTTATTTAATGACATATGTATTTCATATTTGGTACGAAGATAACTTGCATGAAGTTGAATATTTTTCAACTTCACAAGTCAGAGCATTGACTTGGCAACTTATATTTTTCACAATTACAAAATGCCATGACTTTGTCAAGCTATATAACTTGTTTTTACAATTTTTTTGCAATTTTTCTGTCCATAACTGAGTGTATGGGTAAACATTTTTTGAAATATTGCTACTGACAAGAATCTGAGCCGGGGGCATTTGTGTTTAACAAACACGTGCTTGTTTAAATTAGATTTTATATAGAGATATTGAGATAATTTCATACATGTTATAATACATGTATAATAAATTGCCATGTATTTACTGTCTTGTAAGACAGAAAACAATATATAATGTTACAAGTACTGGTACTGTAAATTAAGTTCCTCAGAACTTGGGGGGCAAAAGTGATAATTAAACTGTTGACAGTGTTATGAAACTGTATACTTCTAGAACTCACATAAGTACATCATTAACTTGAGCAAATTACAAACATAATCTTGGTAAACAGCCATTAAAATGTGGAAGATTTCAGACTATGTTAGGAAACTTTTTTGATTTGGGTTTTACGTCACACCGACACAGTATAGGTCATTTGGAGACGTTCCAGCTTTACTGGTGGAGGTAGACCTCAGGTGCCCTTCCGTGCATTATTTCAGGCACGAACGGGCACCTGAGTAGAACCACCGACGTTCCGTAAGCTAGCTGGATAGCTTCCTCACATGAAAGAATCCTAAGTCCCTGTCGGGATTCGAACCCACAGCGGTGAGGGGCAAGTGGTTTGAAGTCAACGACCTTAACCACTCGGCTACGGACGCCCCAAAAACTAGAAACTTTTGACACAAGCACCAATAATGGCTTAATGCCCATATGACATGTATATACACGTAAGCCAGTCTTAACATGACATTGTGCAGAATCTATATTATTGGCTGTTTAATTTAAAATTTTCTTGTTCTATCCAAAATTAAAAGATGAATCGAATAGAAATGAAGAGATAAAATTGCAAAGAAATGAACAGATAAAAATGCCAAAAAATGAACAGATAAAGTGCAAAGAAATGAACAGATAAAAATGCAAAGAAATGAACAAGTCAATATGTAAAAAAGCAATTCTAACACACAGGTTTAGGTGGTCAGAGCTTATTTTGATATTAAAAAAAATGAAAACCCACTTTTTCTGCTGAATGTTGGCAAATTTTATGAAGGGTTATTAAGGAAATGGACTTGTCTCCATAATTGCCAATCAGAAAGTCATAAATTGCAACGTTTAATGAATGAAAATAATTAGCTGATAGAATTATGCCTGGTCAGACAGCATCAGTAAGCAGGAGCTCTTGCCATTACACTGTGACCAGAAAGAAATTATTTCCTACGGCATTTTGAAACAAACAATGTAACCTTAATCCTAAAATAAGTAGCTACGACTAAGTAACATCGTAACATTGAAATAAAAAGATACCATTAACGCGGTGTTAATTGTGATCAAAGTTTATCATGAAGACAAGAAGTATATGTTTGACTTATTAGAAAAGCATATTTTGCAGTTCTTAGTTAATCACATCTCGTCTTAATTGGTCCAGCATTTAGAAATGTAGCTGTGTTTTATTTCTCTATGATGATCTAGAACAACATGTTATTGCAGGAGAAGGTAATGACATTAGTCAGTAACAAGGTCATTATAGAATAATTACTGTGGGATGGTAAATGACAATTCCGCAGGACAAAATGTCACATAAATGCTGTAATTGCCCAAAGTAGAAAAAGCACTTGCAAACCTGTTAACGTTGTCAATTTTAACACAATAATTATAGCAAAAGCAATTACAGGAATAGTGATAAACAGGCAAGTGTAGTTAAGTGGCTCAACACTTGCAGGGATACTGGTGTACCTTTAAATTCTACACATCACAGATGTCTAACATGATGGGATACTTTTAGGTTTTTTAATGTCTGAATATTTATTCTTTGGGGATGTGAAGATATAAATTTGAAGTTGGCCATTCAACAGGATAGAGTATGACCATGTAAGATAGCCCGGCTTTATACTTGTTGTTAAGGCAAATAACTTCTGTTTAACAACTAATATAAAATAATATATATACATAATGTAAATTTTGCAGCCGATTTTTTAATATGATTAATTCATTAATGATTGCATTTCTAAAGTATTAATAACATCAACTATATATATTGGTTTGTTGAAAGAAAGTTATACAGAGAAATAATGGATAAAATGGATGAATTCTAAAATTGATATGTTTATGCATGAAAATAGAATGATCATTGTCTATCAATAAGCTACCCATAAAATGCTGTTGCCATTTATCTAATAATGTTGCTATTAATTATTTATATCAAAAAGATTGAAAATAGATTTATTAAATTTTTGAATTTGTAAAACACTTCATAAATTAAAAAGTTCTTCATGTGGATTTTTTTTTATGACACTCTGCAGTTTTCCTGATATTGTATAGTTTAATGTTAAGAGAATGTAAAAAGAATATTCAGATACCAAAATTCAGATAATTGAGATGTTAACTGAATGTAAGTATTGATTTTAGCACTTGTTCCCATCCCTACAGTATTTTCAATCTCAAATAAATTCTAAGCATATAATAGGTACTAAAATTCTGTCTATTACCAGATTACAGAAAATAAAGGGTAATTGGGATTGTGTACATGAAAATATAAAATGACATGATGGCTTTGCATGACCTGCTGAATTTCTTAAATTGGCTTGCTTAGCTTCTTTTTTTTGAAGTTGGAACTGTCCATTATCAGTTTGGGTATATCAGGATGAAAATCTACATGTAGTCAGTCAACAGTATACATGTAGAACCAGGCCAGTTTTATCTTCAGTGCAATCTAACCAGGCTAGCCTGGCTTTATTCTGGTGGTTCCAGACAGTCGGCTGTCATTTAAATTTTTGTCGGTATTGTGAAATATTCTGGAAAATCAGAGATAAACAAAAACAAGAGTTACAATACAGACATGAATATTTCAAGTTTTATTTTCATATTTAACCTGCTACAATCTGTTCTATCTACCTTGAGGGATCTCATATTTTACCATGTGTGGTAACAATGCTCTGTCGTCAGGAAATATTTGTTGCAATGCAATGGAGACAGGTTATGCTCGTACAAAATATTTTATTGATACACAATTGAATTATGTTTTAAACTTTTGTTAATTCACAGGGAAAAACTGGGTTTCCATGGATAGATGCAATCATGGTACAGTTACGGGAAGTTGGTTGGGTACACCATCTAGCTCGGCACGCGATTGCATGTTTCTTGACAAGGGGGGATCTCTGGATATCATGGGAAGAGGGATTCAAGGTACAGTAAAATAACTATACAAAATGTCTGCTTTGCATTGACTAAACATCAATGACATAATGGTGTTATTTGAATCACATGAACCTGAATGTTGTGGGCTTTAAACTAGCTTAATTATTCTCTTACAAAGTGCTTGAAAGAAGCATATATTTGTATGAAAATTTGTTGTAAAATGAAAGGATACAGAGTGGATGGTTAAAAGTTTCAACATATGAGCCTAATTAGTACCAAAATTAATGAAAATGCTTTGCTCAAGGTACACACTTTAAGCCATTTTGTAAAAAATTACATAACATGTGTTATTATAAGCAATAAAGCAGTCAAAATAAAGTCTTCAATATTTTATAATTCTGACTTTTTTTTTTCCTTCTTAATCATAAGTAACAAGTAAGTTGAAAAATTGGAAGAAAAGATTTTATAAAGTGATTAAAAAGTGCCTGAATGTCAACCTTGAATGTATGTATGAACTCTGTATAGAAATATTAGGTGAATTATAGATGCCATAAAACTGAGAAGATTTATGTATAAATACAGGTAATTTGAAAATCACCTAATGATTTTAAGTTTTCAACCTTAAATACAGTTCTAATTTCATGGTTAATGTGCTTATCAAATTACAATGGTACATTTACCAGCTATAGGTAATGTATTTGTTTTTGGTAAACTGTTACTATTATTGGACTTATATTGTTTCCTGTTTAAAGAAGTTAGCCCAATTTGAGTTTAGATGTTTATTTTTGTCTTTTATTATCTTTTGATATTTTTATATTTTTGATGCTCATGTGGTTGTTTTTCTCTCTCTCAGCTTACAATAATATTTTCATATTTACTGAAAGGCTATTTTGTAATTTGACTGTACATTTTTATAACCTTAAACTATTTTATCCCTCCACTCTTTCTTTGGAAAATGATTCATGATATGTGGATAGATGTGATTTAATGAACATTATTCATTTTGAACATGACAGGTATTTGATGAGTTGTTACTGGATGCTGATTGGTCAGTGAATGCTGGAATGTGGCTGTGGTTGTCATGCAGCTCATTTTTCCAACAGTTTCTCAACTGTTACTGTCCTGTAGGTTTCGGGAAACAGGCTGATCCTACTGGGGACTTCATCAGGTAATTCAGTCATACAGACCTGTTGATGTTAATTGTCAGGGGCATCAGTAGCTGAGTGATTAAGGTTGTTGACTTCAAACCACTTGCCCTTTACTGCAGTGGGTTCAAATCTTATCAGGGACTTTGGATTCTTTCATGTGAGAAATCTATCCAGCTAGCTTACGGAATGTAAGTGGTTCTACTCAGTGCCTGTTCATGCCTGACATAATGCACGCAAGGGCATCTGAGGTCTTCCTCCACCAGTAAAGCTACAACATTGCCACATGACCTATACTGTGTTGGTGTGACGTAAAACCCAATCAAAATAAGGTTAATGTCAGTAAAGGTATTTAATGTGAACATTGATAACATTTATACCTTACATGTATATATAACCTTAAACTACTAACAGAGCAATTATCTAGTGGTTAAGATGCCTGTCTTACAACCCAGGGAGAATAAGTTCGAGCTCTACTTGGGTCATGACCAAGATTCTTCATATTAAACCATTTCTAGTTAGTTCCAGGAAGCATATTGAAAAGTCAAGCCACAAGCTTCCTTCTCACTTGATTTGTTTAAACTAACCTTCAACTATTTAGTTTGAAAGCAAAGCTTTGAAGCTAATCTTGTTACTTTGGTTCTATATGAAATAAAGTACTGTGTAAGTTTCTGACAAAATTTTTCGAAAATGTCCATTCTTTATCCAGGAAATTTATTAATTTATTGCTCATGTTATTCGAAAGATTTTGTTTTAGCAAGGATACTTTCTTACATAAGGTTGTGAATAAATATGATTTCAATATAGCAAGTTTATTTATCACTTCACAGGTGCTAGAACATGCTATTTCTGTTATGTTGTTGGAATTTCTCAGACAAATAACTTTAGTAAAAAAAAGTGAACAAAAGTTTTATTCTTGTCATATTTTAATGTAAAACACAATGCATTATAGAAAATACATTCCGTCTCTTCTGTTTCTGCAGTTTGTTTACTGATAGAAATAAAAAAAATTATGCATCCAATTTTTTGTTGTTTTTTTCCCACAATTTATTAAGATATTATTAGTTTGGAATTGTGAGTTCTTTATATTTGTGGTAAAATTGAGGGAAATATCGAAATAGTCCTTAAAGTGCAATTATGTTCATTTTTTCACTGTCAAGTTGAGTTGAATTAGTAATATATTTCAAGAGATTTACTGTTATAATGGTGATTTACCAAAAATTTATAATGAAAAATGTTTAAGAATAAACTATAAAAACTACCTAAATTACAAAAAGAGTGTCCCACTCTTTAAAATTTGAATGTTAATGATACATTCCAAAAGATATATTAATAGAAATTTCCATGGGTCACATAGATTATTTTTTGCATAGTAAATATAAAATGGAACACAACATGGGAAAATGTAAAGTTATTTTGACTTTTGCCTGTGCACTCACTATTTACACCTAGATGGGCATAATGCCACTTTAACTGAATATCTTCTAAATTTGTGTAACTGATCTTCCCAGTTTTGAATTTTGAAACAGTTCATTAAAAGTTTAAAGTATTTCAAAGAGTGAAGCTACCAGTAAGGTCTCAGCAGGTTATTGCTTAAGAAAAGATTTCATTCTCATTTTAAAACTTTAAGCAAATATATTATCTTTGTTAAAGTAACTGTAGAGGACGATATCTGTAAATAAATATTCTTTGAGATTTAAGTCAAGGAGAAATTGATTCATGTGTTCATTATATCATTATTTTGGTACACTTGTCTGATACGTTCTGCTGTTGTTGTTTTTACAGACATTATTTACCAGTGTTGAAAGGGTTTCCTCCACAGTACATATACGAGCCATGGAATGCCCCTGAAAGTGTACAGAAAGCTGCCAAATGTATTGTGGGTAAAGATTACCCAGTTCCCATGGTGAATCACGCAGAGGCGAGCAAACTTTGTATGGAACGAATGAAACAGGTGTACCATTCACTGATTAAAAGGAGATCTAGAGGTGAGTTTACTGGATGTTATATAAGATAATTAGGTTCATAAAAAGGTTTTGTTCACAACTAGAATGATTGTCTTAATATAGATTGTCTTAATGTAGTTTTAACAAAGCTGGTTGGTTTTTTTTAAGGTGAGATTCCTAGAATAGGGAAATTTTTCATACTTGTATTGCGTCTGCCACTTCCTCAGTAAAAAACATTGGCACATTGTAACTCTTGGAAATAATTACATTTTTTGTTCCTTAGAAACAGCAGACATGTGTTTTATACTACCGGTACATTGTACTTTAACAATAGATTTAGGGCTTGTTAAATGATTATCATTTTCAGAAAGTAATGCTTTTTAAAGTTTATCATAAAAGTGTAAATGAAAACAAAATGGTTATTTGACTTGACTTACCTAATCACTATTAAACAAAAGGTATATGGTCAATGATAAACTTTATAGAAGCTGTAATAGGAAACACAGTGTTCGCGTTTACTGAGTAAACATATCAATTTACTCGCTAAAATTGCCAGGGAGGAAAGAAAAAAAGGGCTGTTGAGTCCCTGGGAAGAAACACTTTTTCCCCGATAATTGGTCAATTCTCTCTTAAGTTTTTTTGCTCTGCTTGAAAATGATTTTCTATTCACTTTAAATAAATTGTATTATAAGAACTTGACTTTCACCTCATTTTCATTTGTTCCTTTCTCATTAGCAATGCAGATTTATATCCCAAACGTAGACTAGGAGCAAGTGCTCGGCCTCGTTTTGGGCCAACCTATCAATGGTATCCGCGAACATCAACAGTCTCAAATTTGATTGTATTATGAAGTTATGCAAACATTGACATTTTTCTAATTGAGGACTCGTTCCATTTGAATTGGGACGTAACAGATCTATTAGCACTGAGTCCCAGGTACTCAGTAAAGTTAGGGAAAATCGCTAACACTGGGAAACATCAAACCGAAAGTTTTTGAGAAATAAAAATATCATCATTTACTAGGACTTTATGGGGGCTTCATTGCTTTAGAAGGCTTAAGAAGTCATATATTATATAATTCAGGAAGTTTATTATTGAAAATATTGTTTAGCATTGACAATCCTCTTGTGTGTTTTTTCTCAATCAATATCAGTTACGTTGGTATTCTCTCTCATGTCAAGGTCAACATTTTACTTGAATCAATACAATTGTCACTTTGTGACTACACTTCCTGGAAGGTGTAAATAGAAGTGATATATCTGAATTATGTTGAACGTGCTGAAGGTCAGCTCATCTCTTTATTGAAAGACAACATCATGTACACTCTGTGATATGATTTAACAAAAACAAAAATATATATAATTATTTTTTCTGGTTTGTAGTCTTTGAAAACTATTTAATTGCCATTGCTACATTTTGTATTTTAATTGCCATTTGTAACCTAAAGTTTAAGGAGTCTCCACTGATGTCTTTTGGCATGAAGGGACTAGAAATGGTTTTTCAAGATAAATGTTCCATTTGATGTGATTGTAGACCAATAACTTGTTTGCAAAATTTCAAAACATTTGCTCTATGCGTTTTTATTTTCCAGAATGGTTATTCTTGTTGCTAAAAAATTGACCCAAAATTGTAAGCTTTATAATGCTTTTCACTCAAACTAAGAATAGCACAAATATGTGATTATGGTTACAAGTAAATGTTTCCCACATTTTCAGTCATGGAGAAAACTTAGGTATGAAAATGCAGGGTTGAAATGATATCTCACAAATGATGTTCATGTCAACATTAAGGGGTATTTTTAAGAGAAAAGCACCATTCAGTCAAGAAAAAGATGATAATCTGTTAATCTTTAACATGCTGAATTTTTTTTAATGGACTTGTCCAGCTTCCATTTATGGAGCAGTCAATGACAAATTTTTGGGTTTTCAGAATAAAAATTTAAAGTAAGTCAGTAGAGAGGCTGAGCCTAGTCATGTGCAGGCCAGTCTGGTTCCATATTGGTGACTAACACTAATCATTTTTGGTCCTAACAGATTGGCTTGCCTGGCTATAGACTACATGTGTATATTTTAAATAAAATCAAATAAAAAACAAAAAGAAATATCTATACATATCTGAAATTTTCAGTGTCATGTCTAGTTGGGTGCTGCCATTTTCAATGTAACTCAATGATAAAAGGTATTATGATAACAGAACAATTGAACAATCACAGCTTTTCCGCTTAATAATAATTGTCTAGGTGTTCTGAGCAAAAAAGGAAGCTGTGCATAAAATACCGAATGACACTTTTAAAATGGAAAATATGAAATAAAAAATCAATTATTATTTTAATGGACTTCCCCTTTTTGCCTGCTTAAGAATTTAGTAAAATGCTATTTTTTGAAAGTAAATAAATTTTACAAGAAGAGTTTTGTATTTTTTCAGTTACGCTACCCAAGCAGATCGTGTATGATTCAGATCCAGATATGGCAGTGGAGGAGAAGCCAACACGAGGTAAATTACTTGTGTCATTTTACCTTCTTGTAAGAGTGTCTGGATCTGGGGCTTGTATTTGGCTCTTGTGGATTTAACTAGGTTGGATATTTGCCTGACAAAGTTCACTGTAGTGGAATACGAATTCCAGATGTTGTAAAGTATTGAAAGGAATGGGTTGAAATTTCACACATATATTTGAGAGCCTAATAAGTGATTGTCAAAGACCCATAACTCTGAACATTGACTTTGACCTTATGGCCCTATTTGAAATTAGAAAATTCTACATTATCTTGTTTTACTATCAAACATTCACAAAAGTTGAGCACACAGTCTTTCTCACAGCTCTCTTCCATTGTTTGAATTACTTTAGTTGATAGTGTAAAAATATATTATTGGGGAATATAGCATGTTAAATTGAATTACAGTAGAATACAATTTTACACACTCAACTTGAGCACACAATTTGAGTGATGATAATACCTGTACAGCATTCTTATCATTCATATTACCAGTATAATACAATAATTGTTTTCATTCTGTTATTACTGTAGGTAATCACCCGTCTAAGGCTGATGTGATAACAAATGAGGAGAATGTTATGATGGGACAACGATCGGCTACATCGGACAGCGAGAGTGACGGACAAATATCTGTAAAGGCATGACAAAGAATCCATCAGCAAGTCAACTAAAGTATTACAGCTCAAGTTCTGTCCAATATCATGATTGATTTTGCACATCGCTTTTGTACACATCTGGTTATCATTTAGCTTTGAATTTTACTTGTTAAAAATTGAATTGTCAATATCAAATGTATAGCATAGTTAGACAAATAGCATTCCTTGTTTCTGAGTTGGAATTATATGGAAACTAGTGAATATATGTAAACAGATATGGATAATTATCAAGACAAGTGTGAACATGATCATTTTGGTAGTTTAAAAGTTTTGCTTCAATCAAGAAATAATTAGTTGGTATTGTAGATAATAAAAGTATTTATATTAATTTAAGACTGTTTGAATAAAATTGTACATCATTTCCATGAATTTTATTGATGTATTTATAGTGTTTAGAGGGAAATTACCAAAATATCATAAATCCTACATCTATTGTGAAGTTGTGTTGCAGTGTATGTTGTTTCATCAGCAATGAAATCTTGTTTTTGCTCCAACCATACAGTTGTGTTGTTAGTTCAGCAAGGAAGTTGTGTTGTTGCTCAATGAATGCAGTTGTGTTGTTTCATCAGGAATAAAGTTTGATGATACATACTGATTAAAGTTGTTATGTCAGATCTAAAATGAAGTTGTGATGTTTCTCTGTAAGTAAAGTTGTTGGGACCAAGAATAATGTTATAGTAAAAGTTGTGTTGTTTCTATAGGAATGGAAATGTATATATATACCTGGATTGAAGTTGTGTTAATGAAGTTACGTTGTTGCATTTCATTTGATTTGGAATGCGGTTGCATAGTTATTTTCAAAGTAAAGAATGGTGTAAGCAAATGAAGCAAATGTGAAAAAAAGCCTTTAAGCTTTTTAGATTTTTGCTTGTTTGTTTTCTTCTTCTTCAAAATTACAACTTGAAGAAATGAATGACATTATCCTCATGTAAGAGACATGTCATTATAAGATCAAACCAGTTTAAATATTGACCTCAGTATAAGAAATACACACTCTGTTTTAATTTATATCATTAAAATGTCATTGTTGTAACAGTTATAAAGTAAAGTATTTGGACTAAGTACAAAATTTATAAGAAACTCCACTGAAGTCAAAACCCTAAAACATTAAATTTGATTTTCTTATATCGACTAAGACATTTGAAAAGGAAAGATATGCAAAAGATAATCAAGAAATATACTCGGAATTAAATAATACCGTAATTTTGGTCATTTCTTAGCCTAATTTAAGTTTAAAATGGTTTTCATGTTTGGGACATTTTTCCCAGATGGACAGTGAGCAAATGATCAGAATTTTTACACAGTAGTCATTGATCCAGACCTACATCATATGGAACAAAAATCTCGAAAAAATATTTCCTGTCCTATCATATTAAAAAAATTGTCAGTGGAGTCTCTTTCAATAAAGTCTCAAAAAGAGCTTTTTTTTAAAAAAGAAAAGAGGAAAGAACCATTGGTGGTCGCCCATCATCGTTTATGACATTGTTACCTGCACAGTTTAATTATACCTGTACATGTACGTCAATGGTTAACAGAATTCATCTGATTCCATCATTGAAAATATGATACAATTTACAATCTTATGTCATGTTGTCATTGAATTTCCAGCGTTTTATATTGTTTTATTTTAGCATTGTATATAAACTCATCTTTATCATCACTGAGTCTTCACTGTGTGCCATCCATCATTTTTCTGAAATTTTATGAAAAAGGCTTTTTGTGATAGTTTTTATTTCATAAGAATGATTCTATTGCCTACACAGAATGTTTATACTATGATCTGTTGTTCAACTTCTGTTTTATTGCTTATGTTTAAATGGTATAAAGCTATAAAAAAGCCAGCCTGTAAAAAATTACATTGTGTGCTCAACAGACATAATATTTAGAGTTTTAGTAAAATGTGGCTCTCTTATTTAATGCACATGAATTGTATTTTATAAAAAGAAAATGAAATGGAACAAAAATTTCACTGCTAATTTTACACTTAAATTAGGTTTAGCAATGATTTTACTCAAAAGTGTCCCTCTTTATAAACTTTCTTCCGATGTATACATTCAGCATGATTCTATTTAGAAATGTTTATTTTGTATATTTTGTATTACTTAATGTTAATAATAATATTCCATTTTGTCATTAGATTCGCAGGACTTTGTAGGTTTTTTGTCTTTTTTTTTCTTCAGAAAACTAATTTGTTAAATGGCAGATCATTGCTTAAATTTTGCTCTAAAAAGTTATTTGTAAAGTTAAAAACTGAACAGTACCATCAGTATAGTGCCAAGCCAGCATGGACTTGGGCACTACATGTATATAGTTAGTTTAGTCTATTATAAGTTTCTTATTATAGATATATGTGTAGAAACCCCATAAACTAACAATTGTTTGTGCTAATTTTAGCAGTTATGATTAAAACAAGTGCTGTCAATGTATCACTGATTGATACCATTGTTTTATTATAGAATTCATATTTATAGCCAATGTTGAAAGACGACATTTTTCATTAGAATATCCCCTATTATACAATGTCAGCGTGAAAATGAATAATCATTTGTCTATTTAAAACATATTGCCTGTAACACCTTAATAACATTCCCTGGACAGGGATTAAATGGCAGTTTTGTGCAGTTGCTTTCACATAACATACATTACCTCTGGTCACCGTGTTAGGGGTCATTAATTTTCCAATTTAAAAATAGTACACTGCACTGAGGGTATCATAGCATTATAGTGACCGACGAGTCAACCTGCATACATTAAGGGACTGAAGCCTCAGTTCCATTTAGTGTTTGGGGCTGACTAGGAGGTTACTATAATGCTATGACGGCCGAGTCCTTTGTCCTTTTTAGCTCGACTATACGAAGTATATGGAGAGCTGTCCTACTCGCCCCGGCGTCCGCGTCCAGATTTTAGATTAAAGTTTTGGTGCAGTAAAATATTTTTCACTATAACTTTGTCATTTCTTAAGGTATCAACTTCAAACTTCAAATATATGTTCCTTATCATCAACCACATCTTATGTGACAAGATGCATAACTCTAGCACCAATATTTACAGATTTATCTCCCCTTGAACTTAGAATTTTCTTTAAAAAATACTATTTTTTACTGATACTTCTTTGTTTCTTAAGGGATCAACCTCATACTTCAAATATATGTACCTTATCATCATTCCCATCTTATGTGACAAGGTTCATAACTCCAGCACCAATATTTTCAGATTTATCTCCCCTTGAACTTAGAATTTTCCTTAAAAAATACTATCTCTTACGGTTTCTTCTTTATTTCTTAAGGGATCAAATTCATACTTCAAATATATTTACGTTATCATCATCCCCATCTTATATGACAAGGTTCATAACTCTAGCACCAATATTTTCAGATTTATCTCCCTTTGAACTTAGAATTTTCCATACAAAATATTATTTTTACTGTAACTTATTTATTTCTAAAGGGATCAACTTCATACTTCAAATGTATTTACGTTATCATCATCCACATCTTATGTGACAAGGTTCATAACTCTAGCACCAATATTGCAAGAATTATCTCCCCATAAACTTAGATTTATTTTCTAGAAAAATGTTATTTTTTATTTTAACTTTTTTATTTTAAAAGGTATCTACCTCAAACTTCAAATACTTATTCCTTATCATCAATTACATTTTATGTGACAATGTTCATAAATCTTGAAGCAATATTTACAGATTTATCTCTCTTTGAACTTAGGATTTTCTTTAAGAAATATAATAACTTCTTTATTTTTTAAGGTATCTACTTCAAACTTCAAATATATATTTCTTATCATTACACAAATGTTGTGTGGCAAGGTCCATAACTCTAGCATGACTATTTCTAGAATTATTCCCCTTGATCTTGGAATTTATGTTAACAAATGTTATTTTTTTACTATAACTTAATACATAATTATACATAATTGATTTTTCTTTCATAGTTTTGTCCTCCTTACTGCGTCCAGTATTTTATTAGTCGAGCTTCGCTGTCTCCTGTGACAGCTCTTGTTTTGTATATTATACTGCACTTTACTAAAACGTAACAGTAAAAGTTCAATGTGGAAGGAAATCATTTTGGTTGAATAACAAAATTTCTAGTAATATGTTTTAAAAACTGTTGGCAGTCAGCTTTTATAATGCTGTTGTGTAAAATATTCATCGCATTTACACGATGCTAAGTTAAAGTAGTCCGACAAAAATTTTAAGTGCCCACTCAGGGGGTTGCTATTCTATTTTGTCAGAATGCTGATGTCATTGTGAATATTATATCATTTAAAGGCTAGCTGACACTTGGATAGATAAAGAAGTAACCATTTATATAAGATATAATTTTATATTAATTTATATAATTATGTGCTTAAGATAAGTCTGTGGCCGGTTGGTTAAGATCCTTGACTTCACACCACTTGCCCCTCACCGCCGTTTGTTTGAATTCCGACAGGGACTGCATTCTTTCATGTGAGGAAGCTATCCAGCTAGCTTATGGAACGTTGGTGGTTCTACTCGGGTGCCTGTTGGTGCCTGAAATAATGCATGGAAGGGCACCGAAGGTCTTCCTTCACCAGTAAAGCTGGAAGGTCGCCATATGACCTATACTGTGTGGGTATGACTTAAAACCAAATCAAACAAATTGAGATAAGAAATAAGTCTCTTACAATTCTATCATCCTCATAGAAACTGATATGAACATTTTAGATATTGGTGCAATAATAGTTAAGTTTTACAATATGTAAAAGAACGGGACAGTTCACTTGTTACCAGTATCTGCTTCCTTTTTGTGTCGCCTCTACGGAGTAGTGGCGACATATAGGGATCACTTCTCCGTCGTCTGTCTGTCCGTCTGTCCATCTGTCTGTCTGTCTGTCCGTCCGTCTGTCACAAAACTTGTCCGGACTACTCCTCATAAACTACTGGTGCAATTTCATCCAAACTTTACAGGAATGATCAGTACCAAGTCTAGTTGTGCATATTGTCAGCATTTTCCGGTTCAATGATTTTTGTCAGAGTTATGGCCCTTTAATAATTTTTAATTTTAAAGTTTGTCCGGACTACTTGTCTTATACCACTAATGCAATTTCAATGAAACTTTACAGGATTGATCTGTAGCTCAAGTCCTTGCGCATATTGCACGGGTTTTCCGGTTGAATGATTTTTGGCCGAGTTATGGCCCTTTGATAAAAAGGTTTCTTTTTCTGTGTGATGCCAGATACACAAAAGCTTGTCCGGACTACTCCTCATAAACCACTGGTGCAATTTCATCCAAACTTTACAGGAATGATCAGTACCAAGTCTAGTTGTGCATATTGTCAGCATTTTCCGGTTCAATGATTTTTGTTTGAGTTATGGCCCTTTAATAATTTTTATTTTTAAAGTTTGTCCGGACTACTTCTCTTATACCACTAATGCAATTTCAATGAAACTTTACAGGATTGATCTGTAGCTCAAGTTCTTGCGCATATTGCACGGGTTTTCCGGTTGAATGATTTTTGGCCGAGTTATGGCCCTTTGATAAAAAGGTGTTTTTGTGTCGCCTCTACGGAGTAGTGGCGACATATAGGGATCACTTCTCCGTCGTCTGTCTGTCCGTCTGTCTGTCCGTCCGTCCGTCACAAAACTTGTCCGGACTACTCCTCATAAACTACTGGTGCAATTTCATCCAAACTTTACAGGAATGATCAGTACCAAGTCTAGTTGTGCATATTGTCAGCATTTTCCGGTTCAATGATTTTTGTCAGAGTTATGGCCCTTTAATAATTTTTAATTTTAAAGTTTGTCCGGACTACTTCTCTTATACCACTTATGCAATTTCAATGAAACTTTACAGGATTGATCTGTAGCTCAAGTCCTTGCGCATATTGCACGGGTTTTCTGGTTGAATGATTTTTGGCCGAGTTATGGCCCTTTGACAAAAAGGTTTCTTTTTCTGTGTGTTGCCAGATACACAAAAGCTTGTCCGGACTACTCCTCATAATTTACTGGTGCAATTTCATCCAAACTTTACAGGAATGATCAGTTCCAAGTCTAGTTGTGCATATTGTCAGCATTTTCCGGTTCAATGATTTTTGTTTGAGTTATGGCCCTTTAATAATTTTTAGCTCGACTATTCGATAAGAATAAGTAGAGCTATTGCAGTCACCCGAGCGTCGGCGTCGGCGTAACCACTTATGTTAAAGTTTTTGTAATAGTTCAAATATTTTCAAAGTCCATTGACATATGGCTTTGAAACTTTGCACACTTGTTTACCATCATCACCCCAACCTGTAGACAGGAGGAGGTAACTCTATCAAGCATTTTGACAGAATTATGCCCCTTTTTCGACTTAGAATTTACGTTAAAGTTTTTGTAATAGTTCAAATATTTTCAAAGTCCATTGACATATGGCTTTGAAACTTTGCACACTTGTTCACCATCATGACCCCAACCTGTAGGCAGGAGGAGGTAACTCTATCAGGTATTTTGACAGAATTATGCCCCTTTTTCGACTTAGAATTTACGTTAAAGTTTTTGTAATAGTTCAAATATTTTCAAAGTCCATTGACATATGGCTTTGAAACTTTGCACACTTGTTCACCATCATGACCCCAACCTGTAGACAGGAGGAGGTAACTCTATCAAGCATTTTGACAGAATTATTTTCTTTTTCGACTTAGAATTTACGTTAAAGTTTTTGTAATAGTTCAAATATTTTCAAAGTCCATAGACATATGGCTTTGAAACTTTGCACACTTGTTCAACATCATGACCCCAACCTGTAGACAGCAGGAGGTAACTCTATTAAGCATTTTGACAGAATTATGCCCCTTTTTCGACTTAGAATTTACGTTAAAGTTTTTGTAATAGTTCAAATATTTTCAAAGTCCATTGACATATGGCTTTGAAACTTTGCACACTTGTTCAACATCATGACCCCAACCTGTAAACAGGAGGAGGTAACTCTATCAAGCATTTTGACAGAATTATGCCCCTTTTTCGACTTAGAATTTACGTTAAAGTTTTTGTAATAGTTCAAATATTTTCAAAGTCCATTGACATATGGCTTTGAAACTTTGCACACTTGTTCACCATCATGACCCCAACCTGTAAACAGGAGGAGGTAACTGTATCAGGCATTTTTTTTACTATCAAGCACTAAGAATAGTCGAGCATGCTGTCCTACCGACAGCTCTTGTTATTTTTAAAGTTTGTCCGGACTACTTCTCTTATACCACTAATGCAATTTCAATGAAACTTTACAGGATTGATCTGTAGCTCAAGTCCTTGCGCATATTGCACGGGTTTTCCGGTTGAATGATTTTTGGCCGAGTTATGGCCCTTTGATAAAAAGGTGTTTTTTTCTGTGTGTTGCCAGATACGCAAAAGTTTGTCCGGACTACTCCTCATAAACTACTGGTTCAATTTTATCCAAACTTTACAGGAATGATCAGTACCAAGTCTAGTTGTGCACTGTCCGTCTGTCACAAAATTTGTCCAAACATGAAATTGGCCATCATGAGGCGACACATGTGATTACTGATCGCTCTTGTCATATTTTGTCAGCTTATTTATTGATTGATGATCCCCAAAATGGTGTCACTTTTGTCAAGGGAGCTTACTATTGTTAAAATCGAAAACTAGACTTGTTAAAATAGGCTTAACTGTGAAAATGTTTTTTGTCCATTTTGAAATAAAGCCCACCTCTTTTTTCCCTTTTTTACCAGTTTTTCAGGTCTTTAGAGTTCATAATTATATAAAAAAGTTCTAATTCTTTTATAATTAAAGTGGGTAATGTGTATTTTTGTGTAAGATATGCTTGTATATATATTATATAAGATAATAAATGTGCCTCAATTTGTACATAGAATGCTGTTGTCCTAAGAAGAGCTTGAAGTTTTGGCTTTGACCATAAATACAAGGTGTTTTGATACAAGATAAGGTTTTACCGTTAATGAAATTATTTGTTAATCACAACATAATTTGTGTTCAGAAACTTTTTTCTTTTACATATGTTAAATGTTAATGTAGGTTTCCTATATGCATCAATGCATTTCTGCCTGGGTACTTGTTCATGCCTGAATTAATGCATGTCAAGGTACCACAAGGTCTACCTCCACCAGAAATATGACTGACAGTGACAAGTAAAAAAAAAAGTATTTTTGATGTGTCTAGATACATGTTAACTTGTTTAAAATTACACTTGCATTGAATACAATAGCTTGGAACATGTTGTTTACTATCATTTTTTCTCTCTCTCTAAATTGAAACTATTGTGGCATGTACATAATATGCTTAATACTTGTCTTGTGCGTTTCAAAGGTCAAAGTTTCAAGCTCTTGACTTTATATATGATGATTTATTTTGATTTGTATTAACTCATTAAAGCACAAGGTGCTGAAGATGAGTAATTGTGATCACTGTTTGTCCATCAGTCTGTTCATACCTTTCTTTAAATAACATTTCCTAAACAACTGCGCCAGTGTCATTAAAACTTCATAGGATCTCCTCGATGATCAAGTTGTTCAAAATCCATTTTATAAAGAACATGGTTTTTGCATATTATTATGCTCATTATAATGACGTTCTAACAACGTTGTTACACTTAAAGGTACTTTAAATGACATAATGTGCTTAAAAGACCTTGAATTTGATTACACTTCTTGAAAAGTGTTTAAAAATTGCTTTAATTTAAGCATTGGACATCTGTACAAACCCTGTGTAATGTTTCTTAGCTCAGTTGAGAATTAACAAGAGGGCCATGATGGCCCTGAAGTCGCTCACCTGTATATAGGCCCCCGGAGCGGGGCCAGTTTAAATCCCAGGGCTTTTATTTAAACAAACTTGGTAGACACCCATTAGAAGATGTTTCATGCTAAACATCTAAGGTCTAGCTGGTCAAGTTTTTTCTTTACACATATAGTTAAAAACAATGACACACCTGGGGCAGGGCCAGTTTTGACCCAAGGGCTTTTATTTGAACAATCTTTGTAGACACTTACTAGAAAATGTTTCATGCTTAATATCTAAACTCTAGCTATTCGGGTTTTTTCAAAGAAGATTTTTAAGTTTTTGCTATACACATATAAGGAAAATCAATGTCCCCCGGGGCGGGGCCAATTTTGACCCAAGGGCTTTCATTTAAACAAACTTTGTAGACACTCACTAGAAGATGCTTCATGCTTAATATCTAAACTCTAGCTATTTGAGTTTTTTTAAAGAAGATTTTTTAAGTTTTTGTTATACACATATAAGGAAAATAAATGACCCCCGAGGCGGGACCAATTTTGACCCCAGGGCTTTTATAAGAACAAACTTGGTAGACACTCACTAGAAGATGTTTCATGCTTAGTATCTAAACTCTAGCTATTTGTTTTTTTTTTCAAAGAAGACTTTTTAAGTTTTTGCTATACACATATAAGGAAAATCAATGACCCCCGGGGCGGGGCCAATTTTGACCCCAGGGCTTTTATTTGAACAAACTTGGTAGACATCCATTAGAACATGTTTCATGCTAAATATCTTAGCTCTAGCTCTTTGGGTTCTTTAAAAGAAGATTTTTTTAAGTTTTTACTATATGCATATAGAGAAAATCAATGACCCCCTGGGGCGGGGCCAATTTTGACCCCAGGGCTTTTATTTGAACAAACTTGGTAAACACCCATTAGAGGATGTTTCATGCTAAATATCTTAGCTGTATAAGGAAAATCAATGACCCCCGGGGCGGGGCCAATTTTGACCCCAGGGCTTTTATTTAAACAAACTTGGTAGACATCCATTAGAACATGTTTCATGCTAAATATCTTAGCTCTAGCTCTTTGGGTTCTTTAAAAGAAGATTTTTTTAAGTTTTTACTATATGCATATAGAGAAAATCAATGACCCCCTGGGGCGGGGCCAATTTTGACCCCAGGGCTTTTATTTGAACAAACTTGGTAGACACCCATTAGAGGATGTTTCATGCTAAATATCTTAGCTGTAGCTCTTTGGGTTCTTTAAAAGAAGATTTTATAAGTTTTTACTATATACATATAGGGAAAATCAATGACCCCCTGGGGTGGGGCCAATTTTGACCCCAGGGCTTTTATTTGAACAAACTTGGTAGACACCCATTAGAGGATGTTTCATGCTAAATATCTTAGCTCTAGATCTTTGGGTTCTTTAAAAGAAGATTTTTTAAGTTTTTACTATATGCATGTAGGGAAAATCAATGACCCCCTGGGGCGGGGCCAATTTTGACCCCAGGGCTTTTATTTGAACAAACTTGGTAGACACTCACTAGAAGATGTTTCATGCCAAATATCTAAGCTCTAGCTCTTTGGGTTTTTTAGAAGAAGATATTTAAAGTTTTTTCTTTTGGTTGCCATGGCAACCAGAGTTCTGCATGGAATTAAATTCTTTGAACAATTTTCAAAGGTGACCACCATAGGAACATTCCTGTGAAGTTTGGTTGAAATTGGCTTAGTGGTTTATGAGAAGATGTCATTTAAAGTAAAAGTTTACGGACGACGGACGGACGGACGCCGGACGAAAAGTGATCACAAAAGCTCACCCTGTCACTTTGTGACAGGTGAGCTAAAAAAACAGAACAAATCTTGTGAACAACAAATGTAATATACCATATATTATATTTTCTGGTGAGCAATACAGGGCTAACTGGGTCCTCTTGTTGTTGTTACGTTATTTGTTTCAAAAACATTTTCATTGTAATTATCATTAAATGATAATAAAAAATATTGAAGCTATTTTAAGGCTTATTCCTTTGACCACAAACATAACATATTTCCCTCAACATCAGTATCTGTTCCATCCTTAGCATATTGTAGATTTCGCACTTTCAGTCCAAAATACATCTAATTTTTAATTGTACGTATTTGGAATTAATGTCTTGGTTCATTTGTGATCTCTAGGGTTGTGTTCATCAATAAGTGCAAATAAGACTTATCCTTGCAGTGCTGAATGGACTATTAGATACATGTACTTTTCATATAGCAATTATTACCTTCCCTGGCTGCCATTCTGGGGGTCATTCACCATAATTTATATCATATCATTAAGAGAAGATAAAAATCTCATAATTCATTCAGTCCATGCATGATATCCATCGTATACCTCATAATATTATGCGTCTTGGTCATGCAAAATGCCACCAGGGTGCTTATGTTAGATCCAATTTTCCTCATTTGAAACTTTCAAGTTTATTGTATTTTATTTTTTGTGCATCTTTCATTTACGTTACATTATAATGAATCATTATTTTGCTGCTTACAGACAATGGAAGATAATACAGTAGCTTCATAAACCTTTAAAGGATGCAAACTTGTTACTTCCCCTGACAATAACAACAATAATAACCAACTTGCTACAAGTTTTTCTTGTCAAGTAAGATGACATCATAAAAATCTTACACTGACTGCTGGTACAAATGATATCATGATTGCATCACAGGCAGTAAACCACTGGGAGTGATTACAGAAAATAAGTAGAGTGTAATAAAGTAACAAAGAAACTGTAGAATTTACGTATATGTTTATTTACAACAGACATTATGTTAAAATTTGTAACTTATATCACTTAAAGCTTCTCTTAACATTTTATTTTGACTGAGTTTCTAGTTAAGAATTTGACATAACAACCCTTTACTTTCAATATTAAATGGTTGTACTAATTTGTTAATCTTTAAAAAGTCTTAAATTCAAAATATGACAGGCTTAATAACATAAGGTATAAGTAATTGTAGAAAAGCAAAGAACACTACATGTGGAGAAGCAAGTCTAATGGTCTATCAGCTTCTGAAGAATTATTCTAAAACACATCTCAAAAATACTTTTACCTTTTGATTTGTCATCGTCTGACCTGCTAATACCACCCAACTTGGCAAAGAAAAGGTTACTTCTAAGTTATATTCTAAATAATGCAAATGCCAAGTCAATCTGTTCATATATTGTAACATCAATAAATAGAAAATCTTCAAAAAAAGTACACTTATATAACCAATGTGTTTTTGGTTTTTTTTTCCTAGTAAACTGAAAAATTTCTAACAAATTTCTAATGATCTAACAAGTTTTGGCCTTTATAGATGCAAGCTTTCTTTATTTTAACTAATATCTTTTATAAAAATAAACCCTACAATATAAAACATACATGTATGCATGCGATTGGGTTGGAGTCATAAGAAAGAAAACGGTGTTATTTCTGCATATTTACCATGAGTTTTCAGCGTGGTACAACACATAAAAATATTACCCCCCTTCATGAGTATTAGACATCAACCAATTAACACTGAATCAACATCACAAGAAACAATTACAAAATATAAAGGTTATTATAAAGAGAACACATATACTTATTTCCATACAAATATTCTGCTTATAGACAAGAAAATGAATATTATATTTAAACTAGTATATGTATGTGTTCTAATGGCCCAATCACAGACAAAATCAAAATAATGACTAAAACATTGAAATCAACAACAAAGTAACAATAAATAATTCAGTGTAATTATTACAGTTTCTGCTTTCCATAAAACATAGAAATGGTTATAATTTTTGCTATGTGAGGGTAGTCCTCAAAAACACATTTATTTTTTTTAATCAGCAGCAAAATGATATCTTCACTTCATTTATATATAAAACAAGTATAAACAATTTTAATATGTAGAGACAACCTCAAACCATTTTAAGTACATGATGTAGTGTCAGCATCTAGCACAAAGTTTTACTTTATAATAATTACACCAAAATTACAGGACATTTATTGTGTCAAGCTTTAAGCTATAGTAAATCCATAGAACCGCTATCCACTTTTATCTGGTGAACCCAAGTTCTGGTGTACATAGAGCTCAGTTCTGGTGTACATATAGCTCAGTTCTGGTGTACATATAGCTCAGTTCTGGTGTACATAGAGCTCAGATCTGATGTAAAAAGACCCTTGATGCTCAATTGTGGCATGATTTCGGACAAGCTCCTTAGATAAACTATCTGCACTGTAAAATAACTGGATATATTCCTCATACAAAAGAATTTTATATCCAAGGACTACCGACAAGTAAAAGTGAAGACCAAATGATTACAGGTAAAAATTTAACAATTCAACCAGAAAGGCCCAAACTTTAAGAATATACACACTTTCCATAAATCAATCACAACAAAAAGTTGTTTGATTAGCTTGTTAACACTGATAGAACTTTAGTGTCTATTTTGTTATATGTTGGTATTCAGTTCTTGTGATATTGTTGCTGACTTTTCAAATTCTTATTTGTATCAAAATGGCACCAAAATTATAACAACATCCATTCATCATTAATACAATATATTAATCAACTCTCTCATTCAACATATAAACATTCATTCTATTATACTGTGCAAAATATTTATACATTTATATCAATATATGTACATTTTAATTAATGTTCCATGGTAAATTTTAAAAATAGCCTCTTTTATCACAGAACCAATTCAAATCTTGTTCATTTTTCACCAAACTTTCTACAAAAACAAAAGAATATTCATTTGTGTTTAACATATTACCTAAGGCTGCAGAAAAAGGAAAAAAAATATCTACTTTAAAAAAATTCAAATCCGTTTATTGCATATACAATCTTATTAACAGAAACAATCCAATAAGTTTAAAAAAATGCTTTTTTTCTGTTTATTGCTTCAAAGCAAGACTTTCCTGTTGACAGTTTTACGGTGAGAATTTCTTGTTAACAATACTTTCATCGCAACATGCAAACTTTCCTGCTTAACTCTAAGCCTGAATGTGGAATCTACTAAACTGATCAATTAAGACCACGATCAGCAGGCAGCCAGTAAAGATTTTCCCTAAAAAGCTATTAATGGTTAAGTCCAGATTGACAGATGGACAAGTTCATTTTAGAGATTTAGACGGTTTAGCTACCCATGATAAAATGTGTGATATTTTCCTAATCATCATTTATCAATAAATCAATTTCACCGCCCCTTTTCTTACATTTTAATTCTTAATGACAGAATCAAATACACTTTTATCAATAAGAAAATGTTACCTCTTTATAAATTAAAAATCTTTACTCTGAAGTTATAATAAAAGTTATATAACAATACATTGTAGTTCATAAAAAAGTTCATCTTAGTTTTAAGTTTGTTCACTAAACATCAACAGAATGTAATTTTGATAAAGGCTCCACCACATTGAAGAACACAATCATCAACATATTTCAAATTTTAAAAAAATGCCCATTTTTATGAAGCAAAATCAAATTAAATTATGAAGTTTCAATTTAAATATTTGAACATTGTCATTATAATCGCAATTTCTGCAATGCACTTTAACAATAATACATGTACATTTGTATACCAATGCTAACTATCTTTTAAAATGAATTTTTAGTTTACTTTTTTATTATAAAAAAGTATCAAGACATACATGTGTAGCAAACATGTTAATGCAGAACCATGTCCAGTGTTTTTCCCTTTTTTAGACAACTACATGTAAAGTTAACAGACATAAAAAGCCTATCCCCCATCCCCTTATATAGATACAAAAAAAACCTTTAAAATTCATAATTTGCCATGTGGTGCCATCTTATTTTATGCCTAATTTCAAAATATTGTTAATTTATACATTGGCCAATGCTGTCCAATTAAAAAAAAACACTACTTTTAACATTTCATTCATTTTAATATTAGTATTCAGTATGCAATACAGATTTTATTCATGAACTTTAAAAAATTTCTGCATCCGGTGAAAAATTTAAGTTCCCTTTTCTTTTTAAACTTGCCAACACAAAATTAACTTTGAATAGCAAGAACTGTCACATGTTCAAATCATCAACAGTTTTCACAACAAAGCTGTTAACTAAATATACAATAAATTATAGTAACATCTTTATGTGTTTTATATAGTATCTAATATAACTCAAGCCAGCCAACATTTTGTGTGGCTGTATGAAACAGATGTATTTTAGTTATAATAAAATATGCAGTAAAATGTTCAAAACATTGTAAAATGAAGTGAATTTTATTGAAATCAAGTTGTTCTGATTTTTCCAGGAACATAATTTTTGTCTATTACTGGTTCTTGTAAAAACATATGTAGACATTTTTCATTCTGCGCTAACGGATGACCAGCAACCCTGCAAAAATACAAGATATATTTATCAAAATTTGTTGTAATCAAGGAAAAAGCATAAATAAATTTGTGTCAAAATATGAAAAGCGGAGATCCCTGAAGAGCAATGAAATAATACCTACTCTGAAAAATGAATGCCCTAGTTTTTTTACTACAAAAAACATTTGAATGTTGTGCACAGCAAAAGGCTCTAATGATTAATACAAACTAATATGTCACTTCATATTTCTCACCATCATATTTTTTTACCATTTAAAACAGCAATTTATTGTATTCTTACTGTACATAACAGTGAAACTAAGTAATTAAAACTAAAAAACATGTATCCTGCATCCTGATGAAGGTTTGAAAAAGACCAGAACCAATAAAAAAGTCTAATTTGTTCTCCCCTCCCTTTATTGTATATCTTTTGTTACAAAAAATTTTACTCTAAAAAGCCAATTATTAACTTACTTATTGACAAAACATTCCAATCCTTTTCTTCTTTCTTCTATAAATTCATCCTCAAAAATACCATCATCTCCTCGGAATGGCAGCTGTCTTTTAAAGGCCTTACCAGGCAAAGGAGGTACTACAATCTACAATTGATTAATTCTATTTTTTACTTTTTCTCTTAATAAGAGATAACCCATACATCTAGTACTGAGGATAAGCAATGAATAAAATGCAAAGCCATTCTAGCAGACAAAACATGACACAAGGCTATGCCATAGAACCAGGTTTCAAACTGGAAACCATTTATCTATTTCTTAGCAACAGTGACCTTGACCCTAGGAGACCCAAAAGCAATCCCAATCCAAAACATAAGCTTGCTACATGTATATAATATAATGTACATTGTACCATGTCAGAATAGATTGCAATATCTGTTTCCTAACTCGTTTGATATTCACTTTCTTTATGTATACAATAATTTTTTTTTAAAAGCAAAAAAAAAATATTTTGAAAAGTTCTTTCAGAAAATTTTACTGTCTGTAATATTCAAGTTATCTAAAATAATATTACATTATTACCAATAACAACAACATACCTTACTGTCACGCTCCAATTCATTTCGTAACCATTCAAAATCACTGTATCTTCTCCGAACACTTGATTCTTTCACTTTAAAAACTGGTAAATTTGTCTGAAAAATAAACAAAGAAATTATGAAAAACCAGAAATTAAGCATTTCATATCATTGGGAATTAACAAATTTCATGGTTTTATGCAGTGTTTTATTTTTTCTGACACTATCTGGATAATGCTCTTGACGATTGCCTGATAGAACAGGCCTAGACATTAACTTTTGAATCAGGTTGTCCTGTTGGGCAAGTAGTTTTTAAAACTACTTTTTGCCCTGACCTAAGACTTACTTGTCCTGACCTAAAAATGGTAAAAATGTATCAATCAGAAAAGACAAACAAGCTCATACATTACTACTTCTTGTATAAGGTCATTTTAACATAAGGCAATAAACAAGACATATTGTTTATATAAATGAAATTGATTGTTAGTTAGTCACAAATATTTTTGTATTCAGTAGTTAATCTAAAACATCAGTTCATCAAGCATCATCCAGGCTAATAACGACGACTACGTTTATAATGTCGTTATATTAGATAAAACAATAAATCATTTTTCAATACGAATCTAAAGGTCAATACGATTATTTACATATTTTCAATGATATCTTTACATGCACACATCAAAATTAAAACGACAGCATGACCCGGGAATTACCTTGTACAAAATTAAATATAGTCTATTATTAGAACGGGGAATTACCTTACAGCAGCGCATGCTCATATTTTGGCTTCCGTTTTCTATATTAACAAATGTACATGACAGTAGTGTATTTACATTATTGATAATGATTCATGGTGTATTTTTGTTTTACAGATGTTTATAAATGAAAAGATGTTTTTTTTCTATTTATTTTGTACATGCATTTTTTTAATGATGCTTTTTAATTTCACTTGCCCTGTCGGAAAAGTGCTTTTCAAAATAACTTGCCCGGACTAAACTTTTAGTTGTCCCGGGCAGTCGGACAACCGTTAATGTCGAACCCTGTAGAAAATCTTGGCATAAAATGACAATAGATTGTGCAATACAGTGCCAGGAACCACAAATCAACAGGTTTCAAAATTGTAATACCAGTATTAACAAGAACCATGTCAACATGGCCATCCCCCTCCGAATGTGTTTGCTCATTGGAAGAATGTATATGTAGTAGAGCAGAATAATTCCAATTTAAGAGGTATTTTGGTAAAGAAAACTGAGGGCTGAAGTGATTACAGATTTGAAACCTATGTGAATACTGATGGCTGAAAATAACAAAGGGCAATAACTGAAAAATAATGCAGGGTAGGTTATCATTCTTGTGTGCTGCACCCCTCCTCAGTAAAATCTATCCACCTATGAAGTTTCAAGTTGATACCTCAAATACTTTTTGAGATAAGCTCCGGACAAAATAGCATGAAAAAGAACAATGGGCAATAACTAAAAAATTATGGAAGGTAGAGTTATCATTCTTGTGCACTGCACACCTCCTGAGTGAGATCTATGCACCTATGAAGTTTCATGTTGACATCTCAAAGGCCTTTTCAGTTATGCTCTGGACAAAAATTAATTTTGAAAAATAACAAAGGGCAATAACTGAAAAATTATGTAGGGTAAAGTTATCATTCTTGTGCACTGCACTCCTCCTCAATGAGATCCATCCACCTATTAAGTTTCAAGTTGATACCTTAAATACATTTTGAGATAAGCTCCGGACAAAATAGTATGAAAAAGAACAAAGGGCAATAACTCAAAAATTGTATAGGGAAGAGTTATTATTCTTGTGCACAGCATTACTTCTAAATAAGATCTATCCACCTATGAAATTTCATGTTGACATCTCAAACACTTTATTTAACACTTTTGAGTTATGCTCCACTGAGGTGAAAAATTAAGTATGAAAAATAACAAAGAGCAATAACTCAAAAATTATGAAAGGTAGAGTTATCATTCTTGTGCACTGCACACCTCCTGAGTGAGATCTATGCACCTCTGAAGTTTCATGTTGATATCTCAAAGGTTTTTTATTTGTTTGGGTCGTCAGACCAAACAAATAATGGTAGCGAAATTTCAGACTCTAATGCTTTTAATTGCAAATGCCGAAAGTAGTCCGCTTTTTTGAAGCGGTTACTTCCCTTTATATGTAACACTTAGGCCCAAAAATTTAGGGGAGATCACTGCGTAAATATGGTCACAGGCGGATTAATTTTCAAGCAAAAAAATTCCCGAATGGTCGAAGATTTCTAATATTGTTTAATTATTTATAGATATACATGCTTATAGTAAGCGCCATGATTATTTACACGAGTGTTAAACAACAGTTAACGTCGTAAGAAACTCTAACTTAGAATAATATGGTTTTCTTCAGCAAATTAACAAATACATTCACCGTGGATGAGGGGTTTGCGCGCTCGCTTAGGAAGCGAGAGGTCTGGAGTTCGAATCCCAGTTAAGGCAACTCATTTTTCTTCAATTTGTTTTTAAAAGTCAGATAAACATTGGATTGAATATCATTGTTGCAATTAGTCTTATAGCCAATCAATCAATAGCTGGAAAGCATTGGTGGCACTATACAATATAATCTCACAACCTTCACCTTTCTGACATTCTGAGACCCAAACAAATTTAGCGCCTTCTGTGCTTTGATTGAGTTATGCTCTGGATAAAAATTAATTTTGAAAAAATAACAAAGGGCAATAACTCACTAACAGTATGGTTGAAGTAGGCAAGGTAAAAAAACAACTAGAAATTTGTCCATAAAACACAGATGCATCAACTGTTTTGTCAGTCTACTAATGTTCAGCAAGACAGTATAACAAACAAACAAACAAGGAAAGTTCTACATGACTCCTCCTATCGTAAGTGGTTTGGGCATCCCAAACCATAAAAACAACATCCAATTTGTTGACATCTTGATTATTCCAAATATAGAGCTGCAAGAATTTCAAATCTCAATTTTATATCCTAATGTATGCATAAAAGAAAAAAATAAACTTTCAAAACCTTACAAGCATAAACACACATACTGGCCAACAGTAAGTAATTGGTATCTATTTGTCTTTGTTCAGGAATTATGTTTGATAATTGATAAGTAATTTGGTCAAATGTAGTTTTAATGCCCCCGAAGAGGAGGCATAATATAATCGCACCGTCTGTCCATCCATCCCCACTTCATTCATGTCTGGACTAACTTTGTCATACATTCATGGATTTTGAAATAACTTGGCACAAATGTCTACCACATCAAGACGATGTGTAACGTCCCTACCTCAAAGGTCTAGGTCACACTTATATTTTGAAGGTTCATGCTATCACAATTAGAGATTACAGGTACAATAATACAAAGAACAATATTCAGCAATTAGTTACTTTCAATCTCCTTTCTTTTCATAAAACCTGCATGCTTAAGAAACCTTTTCGGGGGCATTCCTCACTTGGGTGATAGCTCTTATTTATTTTGTAATTTGTTAAATGTTATAAGTTTATGTTTTTCTTGCGAGTTGCTAAGGGTTCCCATTTAGTTTCATTATAATATTTTTCAATGCTAGAGAGTTAAGTCGGGCCCATGATAATACATACTTATTTCATTAAAATTCTAACTCGAGCGGCTACGGAATCGGCCTTATGCCTAAGTATAAAACTTTACCAACTGTGTATGTATAAAACATTGTCAAATAATTTTGTTGTTAGGGACGGGGAGGCGTTAGTCGATTCAGTAGAATTTTATAATTAGCCATGTGTCTCTGCACACCCCAAAATATGTAGCTGACAGTGACATGAAATTTGGCGACAGCATCAACTAGTTCACTTCGCTAAGATTTGAAAAAAATCTTGTTTAATAATTTAATCATATTATTAAATACAACAATAGCTTAGATATCGAGATGAATAGAATTTTATTGAGTTTAACAGTAGGAGCAGTAGTCCAGTGGTAGGACGCGTGCTTAGGGATCGAGAGGTCCCGGGTTCGAACCCCACCAGGGGCACTGCTAATTTCCTTGAGCAAGAAATTTACCTGCGCTTGCTACACTTCACCCAGGTGTAAATGGGTACCTGCGAGGGTGGTATAAGTCCGTTGCGCCAAAGTGTCGGTTGCACTAAGCGGAGTTAAAAGACTCCCCAGGGAGATTGATAGATAGATACCAGTAGCCCGATGACCAGGGGTAATAGCTGTAAAGTCGGTGAACGTGCGTAAGCATGAAACTTAGACTATAAAATGCAATTACTTTAACTCAGATAACTGTTCATTTGCTAAACAATAATCTACAAGATAATACATTCTTAGGTCTGGTTATTTTATGTCACAGGATCATAAATTATGCTATCCTTGGAGAAAGAGACATCAAATAAATTAATAACGAGTTCGAAGAGCTGGCCCAAAGGGCCTGCTCGCAAAGCGAGCTATACAGTAACAAGAGTACTGCTAGATAGTAATGGTTATGAAAACTTTCGTCTGAATTGACACATCGCAACTTTTTGAATTTCAAGATAACGATAAAAGCCGAGCTAATATGATTGAAAACGGAAGCGTAGAGTGGTGTCCTGAGCACTTATATCGGAACCATAATACCGAATGACAAATGTAAAATAAAATTTAACGATTATTTTATACTATTTCACGGTAAAAGAAAATCGAGCTTGCTTTGAGGCTTTGCCTTTTTCATATTATTTGCAAGATATACAGACATATGTCAATGATTTTTTAAATATTCATTTTATTTTACAAACTTAACATGATTTGGTCTTGGTTGAATCATGTGAAATCCCATACTTCCTACTTAGTTATTTTCTTGGAAGTGGCTAGCCGTACGGGCCCGTACGGCTAGCCAAAAGTTCTAGCCGTACGTGAGTCACGTACGACTAGCCTGGACACACTGTATTGGCTAGCCGTACGGCACTTTTCAAAATTATATGGAAGTCGAAAATGCATATGTTATTTTGTGTCTTTAAACAACGAGTTTAATCAAATCTCCGCATTTGTCCTAGTAAGTTCACTTTAATAAAGATACTCTGCAATTTTGCACACACAAAAATGAATACGAGTAAGCGTTGTATAATCTATCTTAATAAAATTAAGTGTCAAAGTTGCATGTTATAACGTCCTTAATTTTCATGCTTATGAATGTATGAAAGATGAATTGTTCAAGCTGTTAATTAAGCACATGGATCGAATAAATAATGATCGGGGGGAGGGAATAAATAAATAAATAAAAAGAATATTAAAAAAAAGTGAAAAGGAAAAATAATTTAATAATGCAAACTTTTAATAATGGACGATGGACAAACTTCTATACCGTCGGTAATTGGCGCAATTATCAGAGCCCAACAACAATTATTTTCGGTGTTTTTTGGGGTTTTTTTTTTTCAATTTAAAAATTAAACTTAATTAAACAAAAAAGGATTATTATCAAAATTTTGTAAACTATTTCAAGTGATGTTATTTAACTGCAACCAAACGCTATTTTTTCTCGACGTCTTGAGATGACAAAGTAAATTCTTTACTGTAGCCAACACGTCGATTAATCTCTAAAAAGCAACCATTCTTGACTAAAATCCTCGCTTAAAGTCATTATCAACATATGCACTTAATTTCGCCTTCCATATATTTTTGAAAAGCGCCGTACGGCTAGCCAGTACAGTGTGTCCTGGCTAGTCGTACGTGACTCACGTACGGCTAGAACTTTTGGCTAGCAGTACGGGCCCGTACGGCTAGCCACTTCCTATTTTCTTACCCGAATTCTGACTTCATAATCTGTGTAACGTTTTTTGGCTACGCCGTGTGTTTGTGGATCTAATACATCTATCTCTAGAAAATTTGCAGGAGGAGAATATGCGTCCTCAAGCGTCTGTTTCTTAGGTTGAATCCTAGCTGTTGCAGTTTGCCCAGTGCCTGCCATTTTCGCCTCCTACACAGGTATTGATGACGTTGCAAAATTTGTACAAACATTGTTGAAACGAGAAATGATAGGATGACACGAAAAGAGCATTCAGCGAATATTACAAAACCCCGGTATAGATAGATACCGAAAAAAAAATCTATTTTCGCGAAAATAAGATCACGGCTAAAAAAAATACTGTATGAAGTGATATATCTGCACGAAAATATAAAGATCTACTCGTGTACGAAAATAAGATCTCTGAGAAAATAAGATCTGTACTGTATGAAAATAATGTTTTCGACTAAGATTTTTACAAATACTTTTATAAGATCTGTAAATATGAAAGTTGCATGAAAATAATATCCTTACGAAAATAAGATCTATACGAAAATAATACAAATGTAATATCTGTTTCAGAATGATACGAAAAAGGGATCCATATGAAAAAAAATGTCTTTAAAATCTTTAACGACAATAAGATTTGTATAAAAATACATCTGTATAATAACAAAATCTGTAAACAATAAGATATGTAATATAAATCCGTGCATATCTATATGAAAATAAGATATCAATATAAAAATGATTTATACCCAAATAAAAGATAATTGAAAATAAATGCAATATGAAAATAATATCCATATTTAGTAAAAGATAAGTATAAAACTTTATTGCTTTTAGTGCTTTAATTAGATAATGCATGGACAAGATGTTTCTATATTATTTTGAGAGAGGGAAAAAATGATATTACATACGACACGTGCACATGACTGTCGGCAGCAATCATTGCGGTAATATGATGATTGTATTATTGGATTTTCGCACCTATCGTAATTGACACACACACACACACACTTATTAAAGCCCATCATTAAAAGTGTTTATTGGCGATTTCTCAGTCACGAATCATATCTTATTTTCATATAGACTTTTTATTTTTTACAGATTTTGTTATCATACAGATATATTTTTACACAGTTATAGCTATTATTTTATACAGACATTATTTTCGTAAAGAGTCGTTTTTCATATCATTCTGATACTGTCAATGTCAAATTATTGATGGTTGCTTAAATTGTAAACACAAATAGAAGCACATTAAAGAACAACAAAGCTTTGTCACAAGTAGTTGTTAAACTTTGTGTATTGTGTTACAAATCATGGCCACACGGAAATGTAACTGGGAAAGAACAATAGTAAATTAATACGGCTGATATTTTATTTTAACATATAGAAAAAAATACATAGATTCTCTATTATGAATAAAGTACAAACTAGACACAGATATGGTGAATTAGTATTTTGTATGAAAGAAATAATAGCATTTCGTTTACAATTTGCTACTTTTATTACAAATAATTAACCAGGTGATAATAGTATCTCACATGAATCTTACAAGTCCTACATGTAAATCCATTAGTTGCAGTAACCAAGTTGCAGCATTATGTAGCACAGAAAGAAAAATATATTCATTTAGAACTGTCGCATTATATGCCAAAAAAAGGGGAAAATAATGATACCATGTTCTGAACGTTGTGGTCATTATTAAATTACTACTTGATGTACACGTGTCTTTATTATGTTGATAACACATTTTTTCAGTAAAGAATATGTTGATTAATCTTCAAGATTTCAAGATTCATGAAAAGCTGTCATGGTTCATAAGAACATGTGGCATAAAATACAAAATTGTGAAAATGTAACAACCGGAACACGGAAAAATGTACATAAAACCTTATATTTTTCAAGATTTTAATCAATACTGTTATGGTTCATAAGAACATGTGACATAAAATACAAAATTGTGAACTTGTAACAACGGAAAACAAAAAATATAAATAAAAACAGGTAGTGAGTGACAATTATATTGTACCCATCAAATAATATAAAGATATGATTAGATTCTTAATAATAACCGAAATTTATGCTTCATTAACAAAATGTTCTAGGAGACTTATGATACAATACTATACTTATTATTTGCATGTTGTTATTATTTCTTTACAAAACAAAGCAAGGTTTTTCAAATGTGATTTGTTTTTACTTTTCATAAGATCTTCATTTTTAATGCAATAGGATACCTTTAATGATACAGTTTAATAAATTTACATTTACTATTAACAACGTGTGAACAATAAAAACGATTGTAAAATTCGTCACCCAGTTGGTTTGACTCGCATAAACTACATAAACGTAAGTTTCTCTTTATATTTAGGAATCTACCTTTCTCAATTAGTATTTTATGATTCATACATCTAAATTTTAACAAAGCTGAAGACAGTTTGCCAATGAAGTCTGTTAAAATAATCTTCGAATACAAATTCTGATTGATACAAACGGTAGTTTAAACATTTGTTTAAAAATTGGACATCACCGTTCCTTATCTCAAAGTTGGGACTTAATATGACTTTTGAAATTAGGACTAGTTACAGATTGACATAAAAACATTGTACCAGTTCATGTTTAAAAATGTTGAATTCTGCTTAAGCCGGTGCTAGGGGGCGTGGACGGTAGTTTGCACTTGACAGAACCGTCCATGAACAGGCTAGATCAATCCGAGCCTGCAACATTTTCAATTTTGCCTTGTTGGGCTTTCTTAAGGGATTCTTATTTTCTCTATTTAACAAATAATTTGATAAACCAAGTTCGTCCAAAGTAATATCCTCAACAAAAGAAAGCCACGGTAATTCAGTTCTGTATCTAAAATATACAGAGAATGCAGTCTTATAATTATAAATTTTACAAATCTTATCTTTATCATTCAAAAGCTTACACCAGTAGTTAATATTTCTACTTTATATTTGCAACGATATCAGTGTAACTCTAAGTTTTACCATATACAATTGGGAGTACTTAGCATTGCTTGAGTTAAAATATAATTTTGTAAAATTTAAGCTGAAACTGATCCATACACTTTAAATTTCTATTCCCCAAACTTCAGAGCCATAACAAAGAATAGAACAATTATCGTGTTAAACAAGTGGAACTGTTGATCTACAGATGGTAACAATTTTCAAGTTTTTTTATCAAAGAGAACATTGAATTCTTCGCTTTATCAATAAGACGTTTTCTAGTTTTGGCAAATTTACCATTTTTCCATAAATTGAATACCTAGATTTAAAAAAATGACTACAGTAGATTTAAGATTTAGATATATTCAATACTGTGTTTTAAATTATCTTTGTAGTATTTTCATGTCTTTGTAGTATTTAAAAAGTCTTTTGGTAGACTAAAACTTTTAGGTAGACTGGTTTATTGATTTTATTTAACGAAATTTAGCGATACAGTCAACTATATACATGTCCGTCTTATTTTGCATGGCAACCAAGCAAGAAACAGGTGCTGGATGTCCTTTCACTGATGTTTAATTTGTGTTTCTGGATTTAAAACAATAAGGTAAGGTATCCAGTTTTTCTGAAAAAACAGTTCGTTTTACATTTTGCAATGACTGTCACTTATTTCCACATGAAATAATTGTTTGGAAATGTGGAAAGTTCATGATAGTTTTCTTTATTTTTAAATCATGTAAATGTAGATCTACATCGGTGGTCTTCTAGCTGTTTTTTAAACTTAAAAGAATCATATCGTTGATATTACCAATTGGCACATTTGTGGACCCATATTTAAAGGAAGAAGAACATGTCATAAAGTAATTGTGGACATTTATATCGCGATCCAAGGATATGTATAAAACTTTAGGATATTATCCCGTGGATAATGTAAACTGATTAATCAGTTAATATCATAATTAGTAGTCTACTCTATAGTGGTATTAATAAATTGTGTATGAATATCATGAAAAAGGAATGATAAATCACATAGAAACTTGTTTGACTGACATCAAGGTAGTTGATTACATTATTGTGTTTAATATGTGAAGGGAATTGTTTTGTTCATTCATTTGGATGTATTCTTGTCCTATAACATAAGACGTTTCCGTTAGTACTACGTACACTCCAACATTGATGCAAAAATGTTTAAGTTTACTGTCTGCATATCTTTTGACTCAAAATATTGTTTTTGTAGTAAATTACGACGGTTTATATAGCGCTTCAAAATTGCTGCACGTTTTGCTAAAGGAACTTATGAAGAAGTCAATAAGAGTTTAGACGTTAGAGTGTACGTTCTATTAACAGAAACGTCTTATGTTTTAGGACTAGTTGTATTTGAGTGATTCATATACACATCCTTGGTCAGCGTGGACAGCTAGATATTCCCGTCTGTATTAGCAGCCAGTGTTTGATTATTTTCCTTGTATTAATTGACATTTACATTCATATTGCTGAAATGATGTCATCCACAGGTAGTCAAATATATTGATGTGCCAAAGCTAGATTCTGAGATTTTTTCCCAGACACAAAATAGCACAATATCTTGTTGTGCAGTACAATAAGTTGGTCTAATCCACAGCAAGCAATTCATTCATAAAAGGTTCACAGGAATGACATCACACAACTTGGCTTTTATAGGGTAGGGGAGGGGAATCAAAGTCGTCCTACAACTTTACAGTTTAAAAAAAATACACAAACAAACTATATTTGTTTTCTTGACTTGTTTTCAGAAAACATGGCATCTGTCATGTCTGGTTTCCTACCTGATTCATCAGGGGTCCAGTTTACAGCACGTCCTGCACTAAGAACAAGAGACTGTTCTCGTAATTCAATGAGGAATGGGCGTTCATCTTCTGTTGGTATGTAATTCAGTTCAACATTTGTTTTGTATTTACTATTAGTTATCTTTTAATTTGATGATAATAATGTTTCCTTCTGTAAAGTTATATTATAACATTGTTTTAATTTTAAGTACACTCAACAAGGTTTTTAATAAGCCACTTCTGGAGTTATTGGTTATACTAAGACTTTATACTGGTTGGGGACCACCAAAACCGGACAACCACCAAACCGGGACGGCCCGGAAAATGCTTAATTTAGTATTTTCTTTGTCCAGTGATTGTCAGTCACTTTTTATCAACAATAAACGCATGATTCTTCAAAAATTAAGTAAATAAATTTATTTCATCCTCCGTAAAAGGTATTATTTTAATGTCTATTTC